GGACCACCCCCTGCAGTGGGCAGTCCCCGTACACATGCCCAGCTCTTCCTGTCCGGCTCTGAATAGCACCTCGGCATGCCGGGGAGCCCCAGTGCTGAGCCTCCTGGGAACACAGGGACACCGAGGCACCGAAAGGGGCAACTTCACATGTGCAGCAAGAGGAGGCCAAGGCTGGGACCCCAGCCCACCATCCACACTGCCTCTGGCTGTGGCCCCTCCTGTGTCTGTGCAGAGGGGTGCAGCTGCAGGGGGAGGGCTGCGCCCACCCCAGCTGGCCCAGAGAGCCGCTCGGCCCGGGAAGAAGCCCTGCCCCACAGTGCCACCCACCGCAGCTGTGCTTGGCAGGCCGGGGACAGTAAGTCCTGGCAGTTGCCAAAGCAACGCTGCCATGGGGCAGAGGGCAGCCTGCCAAGGGTGCCCAGCCTTCCTGGGAAGGCAAGCCTGCTGCCCAATGTTCAGAGCGGGCCGGGAGCCACCCACCCACCCAGAGGGCACACGGTGATCTGGGAGGAGGCCACATGGAGAGGCTCCTGGGGAGAGGAGCTAATTCTCCTCCATCCCCGTGCCCAGCAGGGGGCGGTGTCCAGCAGGAGGCCCCCGCATACCCTGCTGGCCAGCGCTCCAGACAGACGATGGGCAGTGCCAGGCGGAGACCCCAGCCTGGGGAGGGGATGTCTGTGCACATGGGGGACAGGGGCCAGCAGTGTCATCCAGAGCTGTGCAGTGGCCCCTGTGGGCCCTGCAGGGCTGCTGAACTCAGGGGACCAGGGCTGGGGCTGGAGGGGCAGCTCCAGGCAGGAATGAAGCTGGAGGGGCTGCGGGGGACAGGCCATCTGTCAGCTCGGGGCAGGTGCTGGCAGGAGAGTTGGAGCCCGTGCCATCCCTCCATCCGTCCACCAAGCTGCTGGCCCCTCCACCCCGCTGCCAGCCCCCACACGAGGCCTGGCTGCTCCCATCCCGCTCTTCCTGGGGTTTTTGCTTTATTAAACCATCCTCACGCACTCTGTGGGTTTCCTTTCTTCATTCTGGTGTAATGAACATAACAAAATTAGCTACCTTAACATGTGGCACCCAGGGGCGTTGACACCTTCACAGTGACTTGTGACCAGCACAACTGTCCAGCTCAGTGTTCTCCCTGTCCCAAGGGGAAACCTGACCCCACTGAACACCGACCGCCCTCCCCCTCCCTAGGCCTGGCCACCAGCCATCAGTGCTCTCACTATGGATTTACCTATTCTGGACCTTTCATAAAAATAGACTCCTACGTCCTGTCGTGTCTTCCGTGTGGCTTCCTTCACCCCACATGTGTTCCTAAGCTCCTCCATGTTGGGCTGAGCAAATTCCATCATCTGGCTGGAACATCTTCTTAGTCTGTTCACATGTCACTGTTGGTGCAGCTGCTACTGAGGAGATGCTGGCATCCGGGGGAACCCTGCCCAGGGCTGCCTGGGATGCCTGGGCTCAAGGCAAACCCTCTTGGAGAATTCTGCAGGACCAGGGCCCTTCCACGGGGTGGACATCATTCTGCTTATAGGAACGTGGCCAAGGCAAGGGAGGTGCTTCTGGGACAGAGGCAAAGACAGCACGCTGGAGCCTCGTAAGGCCCAGCACAGATGCTCAGTCCAGGAAGCTGCTGGAACACCCGAGCCCAGACACACAGGGAGTTTGTGACGCTGTGGAGTGAGGTGGCCTGTGGGAAAAGACAGCAGACAAAGCAGCTCGTGCAGGCCCTGGGTGTCGGTCACTGAGGGCGGAGGTTGCACAGCTAAACCAGGGTGGAAAAGGAGCTGCTCGGGCCTTTATTTCCCTGTCACTATTGAGATGCAGTTCTGTTGCTGAAATACAAAGATGAAAGTCTTAGGCCTGGAAAGCAAATGGGCAGTGAGGCATCCCCTACAGATAGGCCGTAGCCAGAGGGGCTTCTGATGAGGGGTCCCTGCCCCGGTCCCCAAGGTCCCACTATGGCAATAGCCCTTCACAGGGTCCCCCAGAGAAGCCAGCTTGGCCCAACAGAGCCTCCTGCTCCTCCACGGCCTTAATGTTACAGAGCATCCTGGGCATGGCTCCCTGGCCCCTGTAGTGGACACAGACAGCTGCTTGGCCTTGATCACTCTAGGAGGCTCAGGTTCTCCTGCTGCTTCTCAGGCACTCGGGCCAGACTTGTTGTTTCCACTCATATCTTCATCTCTTGTTTTACACGAAAGCACAGGATAAGTTCCTAGAAATACAAAACCTACCAAATCTAAAGCACACAAAATAGAAAACCCGGACAGACCTACAGCTAATAAAGAGATTGACTTAGTAGGCTGGGGATTTAGCTCAGTGGTTTTGCCACCTGCTGTGCAAGCGCAAGGACCCGAGTTCGATCCCCGGTACCAAAAACAAAGAGATTGACTTTGCAATCAAAAATCTCCTGACAAAGAAAGCCCCAGACCTGCTGGCTTGAGTGCTGAATTCTACCAAATGCTTAGAAAACAATGCTCTCAGAAAACAGAAGAGGAGGAAATACTTCCTGTGTCATTCTGAGGCTATGCTCAGCTGGATACCAAAGGCAGCAAAGACACCACAAGAGGAAAAATCTACAGACCAAACCCTCATGAACTCATATGTGAATGTCCTCAGCGAAATACATACTGAATCCACCTGCACATTAAAGGACTATCACCTTGACCAGGGTGGTTCCACACGACAGTCCATTGGTGTAATACACCTCTTGTCTCAGCTACTTTCTCGTCACAGACACAGTACCCAGCACTGGCAACTTCAAGGAGGAGAGGATTATTTTGGCTCATGTTTCTAGTCCAAGGGAGAAACAGCTTGGGAGAGGGGCACAGCAGAGGAAGAGCTGCTCACCTCATGGCAGACAGGAAGCACAGAGTCAAAGCAGGACCCAAGGAGGGAGATAAAGCCAGGGACCGCCTCTTGCCACCAGACCCTACTTCCCTAAACCAAGCTAGTGCCGCTATGGTCCAATCACCTTCCAAACACATGAGGCTGTGTGGGCCATTTTAGATCCAAACCATAACCTCACTTTAGCAGAGTGAATAATAAAAATCACATGATCGTGGCAACTGATGCAGAAAAATGATTTGACAAAATTCAACACCCTTTCATGGTAGCAGCACTCAACAAAGGCGGAAGAGGAGTAAATCATCTCAACAGAGTGCAAACCATCTATGGAGAATCCTGAGCAGTGGGTTCGCTCAGTGAATGTGGAGACTGATACTATTCCTCTAAGGTCAGGAAGGGGGCAAGGGCCACTCCTGCCCCTCCTGTTCAACACAGTGCTGGAGACTTTAGCCACAGCAGTTAGGCAAGAAAAAAATAAAAAGCATTCACATTGGAAAGAAAGAACTAAAAATTATCTCTGCTCACAGATGATATGATCTTGTACATAGAAGATCGTAAAGAGGTCACAAACAGATGGCCATGAAGTGCACAGCTGTAATACCAGAACTCTGAGAGGCTGAGACAGGAGGGCTGCAAGTTTGAGCCCAGCCAGGACAACTCAAGACCTTGTCTCAAAAAAGAGTGGGGGGAGGGGGTGGCTGGGGATATAGCTCAGTGCAAAGGGGCCTGGAGTTTAATTTCTGGTACTGAAAGAATCCAAAAATAAACTGTCAAAGCTAATAAATGGATTCAGCAAAGTAGCAAGAAACAAAGGCCACACACATATATCAGTTACATTTGTAAACACTAACAATAAACAATGTGAAAAGGAAACTGCAAAAACTAATTCCAAGTATAATAGCATCAAAAAGAATAAAATACTTAGGCAGTAACTAATTTGTCCAATGAGAATCATAAAACACTGCTGAGAGTAAAGAAGACATAAATAAATGGCAATGCATGTTCAGAAGTCAAGACTGCCCAAGTGATCAACAAATTCAGTGCAATCCCTCTCTAACTTGCAATGACTTTTGCAGAAATAGAAAAACCCTGGGCTGGGGATTTAGCTCAGTGGTTCCAGCGCCTCCCTCACAAGCACAAGGTCCTGAGTTCGATCCCCGGTACCAAAAAAAAAAAAGAAAAAGAAAAAAACATCTTGGGCTGGGGATTTAACTCAGTGGCACTGCATCTGGCTCACAACCACAAGGTCCTAAGTTCAATCCCAGATACCAGGAAAGAAGAAAAACCCTTCTTAATATTCATAGGATATATTATTAGGTCTTCTCAAAAGACCTGGAATTTTCAAAACAATCTTCAGTGTTGGGGCCGGGGATTTAGCTCAGTGGTTCCGGCGGTCGCCTCGAAATCGCAAGGTCCTGAGTTCGATCCCCGGTACCAAAAAAAAAAAAAAATCTTCAAAAAGAAGAACCAAGCTAGAGGACCCACAGTTTTGAGTTTCAGAGCTTACTACAGAGCTACAGTAATGGACAGAGGGGTGTGGCATGCACCAGACATGCGGGCCCGTGGGATGGAATAGAGAGAAAGTCTCTTGCATATATGGTCCAACTGGTTTTGACAAGGGTCTGAAGACCATTCACTGGGGAAGAGATAGATCTTTCTTTTTTGGTACTGGGGATCAAACTCGGGACCTTGCGCTTAGGAAGCAGGCAGCAGAACCACTGAGCTACATCTCTGGCCCTGAGATAGATTTTTTAACAGATGGTTCCAGGAAAAGTAGATGTCCAAATGCAAGAGAATAAAGCTAGACTCAGGGCTGGGGATGTAGCTCAGTGGTTCTGCCACCTACCTGGCAAGTGCAAGGTCCTGAGTTGGATCCCTGGTTCACCCCAAAATAAAAATAAAAACAAAGCTGGACTCAGTTCGCACAACATCTACACGTAAGACTGAAAGCCTTGCAAGTGTTAGAAGGAAACATAGGTGAAAACCTTCATGACATCGGATTTAGCAGTGATTTTGTGGACACGACACCAAAGACACAGGCAACAAAAGAAAATATCAACAGGATAAAAAATATAATCCAAAGAATGAAACATTGCCAATCATATGTGATGAGGGATTAATGTGAAGAATATAAAGAGAATTCCTAAGGCTCAACCACAAAAAAATAATTTATTCAAAAGTGGGCAGGGACCAGAATAGACTTGTCCCCAAAGACCCACAAATGCCCAGAAAGCACGAGAAAGCTCAGCATCAGTAGCCAGGAGAGAAGTGCAGCCCAAAGCCACACGGAGACCACCAGCAGGAGGCCTACTTCAAAAAGGCAGAAAACAAGCAGTGTGGGCGAGGGTGTGGAGAAATTGGAGCCTGTGTCCTGCTGGGGGGAAGTGCAAGGGGGCAGCCACCGTGGAAAACAGTACCGTGGTTCCTCAACAAACTCAAAGCAGAATTACGGTGTGAGGCAGCCCTTCCACGCCGTGACCCCAAAGGGCGGAAGCAGGCACGCAAGGAGACAATGATCCACCCAGGTTCACAGAAGCGGTGTTCATGGTAACCAAGAGGTGGGAAAAATCCAAGTGTCCATCAGCTGATGAGAGGATAAACAAATGTGTCTCTCCACAGGACGGACTAGGATCCAGCCTCTAAGAGAAAGGAATTCTGACACGCACTGAAACATGATGAACCATGCGGTAGGGTGCTAAATGACACAGGCGGCCACAGAAGGGCGGACACTGTGGACGAGTCCACTGCAGGGGGTCCCTGGGACTGTCACACTCGTAGAGCCAGAGAGTGGGACGGGGGTTGTAGGGGCTAGGGGAGGAGTGAAGGAGTTCTCTTGTACCGAGGGCAGAGTTTGGGGAGGAAGCCGACAGTGGGGATGCTGCCTCAGAGTGAATGAGCTGACTGTGCTCAGCGCTGATGAAGACAGCAGCTCTTCTGTCGTGTGCACTTACTTTACCAGGATGAGAAAGAACAGCATTAAGCAGAGGGAAAAGCACCCCCAAAGCTCAGATACTTTGATCATCAAGTATCTTTCCCAGGTGACTTCCTCTCCTTTGGTTGTCTCTTTTGCACATTGCAAACTCTCTACATTGAACATTGCTTCATCTCATCCAAAAAGTGATTTTTTTTTTTAGTACTAGATATTGAATCCAGGGCCTTGCACTGAGCTCTATCCCCAGACCTCCCCTACTTTTTTTGAGACAGGGTCTCAGCTTAGGGTCTCCCTCAGTTGCTAAGTTGACTGGGTTGGGCCCAAACTTGTGATCCTCCTGCCTCAGCCTCCCAGAGTGCTGGAATCACAGGCCTGTGCCTGGCTTACCTCAGTCATCCCGGTTAAAACAATGACACATGGAGCCGAAAGACAGGCAAGAATTGCACTGGCCTCAGCTGCTGCTGCGGACAAAGATAGCTCTGCCTTTCGGGACAGTGAGCCGCCGGGACAAACGTGTCTACACCATGCTGGTCTGGACGTCTCCCTGGTGCCTGAACCGAGCCCTGAGGCTCCCCCTGCCCACCTGTTCCTGGCTGGGATGGACGACAGTCTTCTCCGAGCAGACAGCTGAGGTTCACGTTCTCACCTTCCTGGGGTCTCTTGGCAGGGTGATAGAGCCTGCCTGGGAGCTGCTGCAAGGGTCACCTGAGACACCATTGAGTGCGGCGTGGGGCAGGGCCCACTCCACCATGGTCATTGTCACGGGCCACATATCCTAAACACATTCCCTTCACTAGGACAAAATCCTCACACCAGGACCAGCCCCGTGAGAGCCCCAGGGCCTCTGCCAGAAAGCCACGTCCCTCTGGCAGCACACAGCCCCAGTCTGAGCCCCCGCCCAGCCTGCTGTCCCGCTGAGGCAGGGCACGCTCTGGGCAGCATAAGGGGTGAAGCCACCTGTCCCAGGCAGAAGTGATGATGTGCCTGGTGTCCCGAGCCAGCAGGGACCACCCCTGCCCTCCCTCTACCCTGCTAGGGGGACACAGTGTGATCTGGGAGGTAGCTGTGGCAGGGATGACTTCTTCTCTACCAGGGGCCTCCCTGGGTGCCAAGCTGTGTGGCCCCTACTGGCCCAGTCTCCACCCTGCCCTAGTACCCACCTCTCAAGGGTCCCCTGAGCCCTGCCCGGGGTCAACCTGCAGCTATTTCCTGCCCAGCCTCTCCTGCTCAGCACCACAGGGTTGCAGGTAGAGGCTCAGTCTGGGGTTCCAGCCCTGTGACCTTGGCCAAGGCCCTGGGTCCAGCACCCTCTGTTGCTCACCCACTCCCCATCTGTCTGTTCCTCCCTGCTCCCACCCAGAGCTTGGCAAGGCCAGGCGCTGCTGCCGATGGTCAGTCTGTCTGGCCCAAGGTGAACGTGCCAAGCGCCAGTGAGTCCCTTGGGGCAGCAGGTGCCAGGCTGGAGTGCCCAGGAGGAGTGGGGACAGCTGCAGCCTCAAGATGTAAACAGGCAGAGCAGCCATGGGTATAAACCTGAATCCCCACAGCCACGCAACAGTGGGCCTGCCGCATTCCCAGAGCCCCTGAGGAGAGCCCTGTGGAGGGAGGTAAGCCCTGCCACAGGGGGGAGGCAGAGTGGGCGCTGGGCCACCAGAGCTGGCTGGGAGCTCAGGGCCTTGTCTTCCTATACGGTATGAGGGGCTGGGGCCCGGGGGAGCCCAGGGAAACACAGGGGAGGTAAAGGAAGGGGAAGGGGTCTGAAAGCTGCTGCGTGTGCCTGGGTCGAAGTGTGTGCAGGGTGCAGGTGTGCAGGTGTGGCTCCTGCCAGCTCACGGACAGGAGTCTTTGAGGGTGGCCATGAGCCAGGACAGTACAGGGAGCCAGAGACCCTTAGGCCCTGGGTACTGAGTGGGGACCAGGTGGGGGCTGGCAGGGCCGTGGGTCCAGGGCCTCCCGACACAAGGGCTCCACAGGCATGCCAAGGACCTCTGAGGGACCCTGCTGCCCCTCACCCTATCCCACGTATGAGCCCTTTCTCCCACTCCAGAGTTGAACCTGGTGGCCCCTGGCAGATGCTGCAGCCCCTGGCCCCCAAGGAGGGCCATGTGGATGGTCTGGAGTGGTCAGGGTGCAGGAAGGGCATCCGGGTCCCGGCAGTGCTGGCACCTGTGGGCCTTGAAGCTCTAGGCAGCTCTGGTTCTGGAGGTCAAGGAGGTGGGAGGTGGAAGGGCAGGGAGGGGAGGAAAGGGAGGCTTTTGTACCGAGGAAAGAAGTAGGACCTTGCCAGGGGCCGACGGCCGCCCCAGGAGCTAGGCAGGTTCCCCACCAGGCTGGACAGCACAGCCTAACCAGGGGACGGGGAAACCCCAGCCCAGGTGCAGATGTGGGAGCTGTACATAAGCAACAGCCCGAGGCTCTGCCTCCCCACCCAGCCACAGCGTGGCCTGTGCGCTGCACCCGACGGGATGGAATGGGAAGAGGGATGGCAGGTGGGTGCCCAGTGCGCTGCAAACGGATGTGGACTCCTGGCTTGGCCTCAAATGTGACCCAGCCTCGCCTCCATAGAGCAGGTGACAGGTTAGCTGGGTTCAGTGGCACACACCTATGATCCCAGCTACTTGGGAGGCTGAGGCAGGAGAATCATAAGTTCAAGGCCAGCCTGGCAACTTCGTGAGACCTTCACTCCAAAAGGGCCGGGAATGTAACTCAGTGGTGAGTGCTTGCCTCACATGTGCAAGGCCGAGTTCAGCCCCCGGCTCTAAAAAACCAAAAATATACCAGCAGGTGACAGGTCCCCTGGCAGGACCCTGAGGGGCAGGCGGGTCCTCTTGCAGACTGGATCTTGAGATGGCGGGGTGGGGGAAGGGCCTGTCCTGGGGCCTCAGTTCGCCCAGCTGGGTACCACCTGCTCCCCAGCCTGCTGCAAGCATCAGCCACTGGAGCAACTGCTGGGAACCAGCTCCCGGCCCACAAAGGGTGCAAAGCCCCTTCCCCATCTCCCATCAACCCCAGCGGCACAGAGCAGTGGGGGCACCCAGGGCAGAAGGGCTCCCCGCTCCCCAGGGTTGGGTGCCGCCTTTGACCTGTCAGGAGGAGAAAGGACTCGCACCGCCGCCCAGATGCATGCTCCAGAAGGGCCCACCACCCTGTGAGCCTTCTGGAGGGTCAAGGAGCCCGGGACACCTCTCAGATGGCCGCTCCGAGAGCCCCACAACCCAACCCGCCCCAGAGACGCATCCCGAGAGCCTGGCAGGCCACAAGGCGCTGCCAGGGGGGCACCCACCTGGCCCTCTGCTTGCGCCAGACCCTGGCCTAGGCAGCAGCTGGCCTTGGCAGGAGCTGGTGACACACAGACTCTGGTCTGCTGGGGACCTGTAATCATCCTGGCTCTCAGTGGGGAGACAGGCACGGGGAGGCTGGAGCTGAGAGCTGAGCAAACCCCTTGGCCTCTGGCTCTTTTAAGCCTCGTGCCCCTCCTGCATCTGCTGAGGTTTGTGGCGTTCACTGGGGATGGGACCCGCGGCTGGGCAGGGCACACTTCCCACAAGCTGGCTGTGTCCACCCCTAGGGCCAGGATGGATGAGGACTTCTCCTCCCAGATGAAGGGGTCACTGGCCATGGGCACGTCCCTGTCAGACAAGGACATAGAGCTGATGCCCTCAGATATGAGGCACCACAGAGCTACACACCCTGGGCCAGCCTGTGGGGAGGGAACAGGCCCAGCTGCCCTGGCCCAGCCCCAGCTATGGACACTTTTCCTGTGTCCCCCGGACTGACGAGCCCAGGAAATCATGGCCTGTGGGTGGGAAAGGGGGAACAGGCACTGCTGCCCCGACCAGCGCTGTCTACCAGGCTGCTGGGCCCCACGCCCCGTGTGACCAGAGCCCGGGTGCTCTAGGGTCGGTCCTTCAGCTACCTCGGGTTCTTTGAGTACATGCAGAAGTTCCAGGCCTCGGGCCAGCTGGACAGTGTCACCCGTAAGGCCTTCCAGAGCCTAGACAAGGACGACAGTGGCTTCATTGAATGGAATGAGACGGAGTAAGCCAAGTGCGGAAGGGGCGGGGCGGGGCGAGCCCTGCCCCCTGCCCACAGTCCCCACTACCTGCCCTGCCCACAGTCCCCACTACCTGCCCGGTGGGAGGTGGGGCCTGACCAACCTCAGTTTCCCCATCTGTAAGGCGGGGAGGGAGGGGGCGTCCTGGAAGCATTGGGTGCTGCCCAGCAGCTCCCTGACTAGCCCATGCCCCCCTCGGCTCAGGTGCTTCCTGAGTCACCTGCCCACTGCCCCCCCCCCCGGCGGGTGGGGAAGCCGCGGCCATGCTCCGGGTGGCCAACAGGGACGAGGACAGGAGGATCAACTACGAAGGTCGGGCGCACGGCGGGGAGTGGGAAACCCCACCAGGCCCCGCCCCACGACATCCCTCGAGGTTTGCTGTTGGCCGACAGCACCCAGCGCGTTCCCCACTGTCCACCCTGCAGCCTCCGTGCACCGGGGCTGGCAGATGCCCCAGACCTCAGCACATGGGCGGCCCAAGGCTTAGAGGGCTTTGCTCAGGACTCAGCCCTGACCCCTCCTCTCAGTTTCCGCACTGAGAAAGGCTGGCCGATCACAGGCCCCTGCTCAGCAAGGTCTGGTCTGGTGGGAATTCCCAAGGGTCTCCGGAGACCTAGGTCATTGTGAGCCAGGGCAGGGGCCTAGCAGGACCAAGGGTCTGGCTCAAGGCAAACAGCAGTCTCTGGCCCTCCTGTACCCCTAGAGGCCCGGGGTGGGGGTCCCCAGACTGTGAGACCCTTATAAAAGGGGCAGCCTCATCATCTCTAGGTTGAAGGGCCCGGGAGGGCAGAATCACAGAACAGGACATTTATGGGAAATGGGTTGCTTGCTCCGGAGTTTTCTGAACTTATCAAACAGGAGAAAATTCCCAAGAAATAGAAGCATGAGCAGGCCAGGCCTGTTTGGGACGCCTCAGGCCTGTGCAGGGAAGGTGTGTACCGGGCAGAAGTTGCTGGGGCTGGTTCGAGGAGGCTTGTGCCAGGAAAATGGAAGCAAGGCAGCTTCAAATGAACTTGGTGGTCCTGTGTGTTTGCAGAGTGTGCAGGCGGGAACTGCCTGGGGGAGGCGGGCACACGGACCTGGCCCCACACCCTGCCCAACTGCTCAGCCTGGTGCCTTCTGGGCCTGGACCCGGAAGGGCCCCTTCCAGTCTGCCCTGGGCTTGCTCCTGCCCAGCCCCACACACCGGATTCACACAGCAGCTGTGTGGACGGGGCCCGGGCACCCGCCGCCCAGGGCAGGGTGAGTGGTGCCCTACAGTCTCTCCAGGGCCGGAGACACCCAGGTGGCAGCTCTGTCATCTTGTCTCCTATTTCTGGCCCTGGCTCCCCTCCATGCTCATCCTCCACCCCCCTCCCAGTCCTCTGGCAGGACCCCCAGCGACCAGTGCTTAGCCCTCCGCCCTCAACACACCAGGCTCCTTGGCCTTTTGGTATAAGTACCACTGCTCACAGTCCTGCCCCTCTCCGGTCCCGCTGTCCAGGGGCAGAGGGGAGCAGCAGGGGTGGGGTCACCTTGGTACCATTCATGGGAAGTGGGTAGCCCCCTCCAGTGCTCCTCCAGGCATGCCCTGCCCCAGGGCCTTGGCACCTCTGTCCCTCAGCCTAACATGCTCCTCTGCTGCCTGATGAGCTCCCTCTTCTCTCTCAGTCTTGCCCAATGTCACACCCTGTGAGGCTGACACCATCTCGTGCATCACCGCCCTCCTTGGGCATCCCAGAGTCTCTTTCCCCTTAATCCACTATAATAATCGCCATGAATTATGTTTTTTATAAGCAAGCAAAACACCAAGGACACAGGGTCCTGAGATCCCAGAAAAGGGAAGCCTGCATGGGAGGAGTCAGAACAGGCACAGCAGCCAATCCTCCCAGCCTGGAGCACCCTTGGCGAGCCCAGACCTGGGGTACTGGCCCCCTAGGGTCAGCAGGTGACCTCGCCCAGCCTGGTGTGCTGTTCTGTCTGTGGCTCCTGCCACACTATGCTTAACTACAAGGCCACAGAAAGTAAAAATGAAGGCGAAGGTACACATGTAACACACCTGAGGTATAGAAAGCGGGTGTGGCAAAGCTGCTATCAGATAAAGGAGACTTTAAGGCAAACACAACTGCTCTAATGTGTATGCATCTAATAATAGGGGTTCAAATGCAGAAAGTAAAAATGAGCAAACTGAAGTGAGAAAGAAATGGTGTACAAATATGGTGGGAGGCTTTAGCCTCCCCATCTTGCAAACGGTAGAGCAAATAGGAAAGAAGTCAGTAAGGCTATCGTAGTCAGGAAACAATGAACTACCTGAACCTCCGTGGTACAGATACCGCCCTTCATCTGACACAGTCTCTTAAAACACACGAGTGTAGCATTTACCAAAATAGGCCAGATGCTGGGCCGTAAAACGAGTCTCCATCCAGTCAAAGGACTGAAATACATGGAACGGCTCCTGTGACCACAGGGAAGCAAAGTCAGAAATCAAAAACAAAGATAAGAAAAGCAATGTAGCCTAAACAGTCCCTGGTTCAGAAAAACCACCATGAAAATTAGAAAATATTCTGAACCTAAGGATAAGGAAAATACAACATACCAATCCTTGTGGGTACAGCTTAAATTATTTGAAAGGCAAAAGTGCTGGCAATCAATGATCTATGAGTAAGTACCCTTCTCAAGGAGTTAGAAAGAGAATGGAAAGTTGGACTCAAAGAAGAGGGGAGGAAATAAGGGCGGGAATTCTGACATGTTAAGGGTCAGAATTAAGTGTCCTCCCTGTGCCCCCCACCACGGCCCCCAGCCTGGCCAGGAAAGGAACACAGCTGGGAGGGCAGAGGTTCCGGGCACCTCATGGTGTGAAGACCACTCCATTGCCTTGGGGAGCCCGTGTGTGCCCTGCTGGGTGACTCCAGTCCCACCTCACGGTGCCCTGTGCCCTCATCCATCAGGTGCCAGAAGTACCTGCAGCAGAAGAGGCTGGATGGCCACAGCGGAGGCCACAGCGTGATCTGGGTCTTTCTAGCAGCTACTCCCAGAGCCCAGGTCCAGGCCCCCTCGCCCGCACATGGTCCCACCATCATCAGGAAGCAGAAATGGCACCTCAGGCCCCTTCCCCTGGTCGTACTTGGCACCTTCCCCCACTCTGGCCTCTCAGGGGTGCATTTCTCATCCAGGTAGGGTATGGATGCTTGTGCGGCTTGTGGGCAGGCCAGAAACTCAGCCCAGCCCCTTAATGTCACACACAGATTATCATGACAACCAAAACTTGAATTTAAAAATAACAAGAGCAAAGAGATCCAATGGCAGCAGGTGCAGAAGCGTACTGGAGGGCGGTCCCCAGGGGGTGTCAGGCACACGGCTGTGAGAGCCTGAGTGAATGAATGGACGCGGGAAAGAACGAACAAACCGAGGACTGACGGAACAAAGGAAGGAAGGAACAAAGTCAGGGCTGAAGGAAGGAGTGGACAAATCAATGAGAAATGAACAAAGGACAGGGAAGAAAGGAACAAATGGACAAATGAATGAACAAGTGAATTTAAGAATGAATGAATGGATGAACAAATTAAATGAACTCAAGGATGAATGAATGAGCCAATGCGGGAATACATGAATGAACAGAGGAATAGGTGAAGCCACAGGAAACCTGCAAATCAGGAGCTGGGACTCAGGGGCTGTCTCCCTGGCTGGGAGCCCTGGGTCCCCACTGCCTTTTCCCCGACTGCAGAGGTCACCTTCGCCCCCATCTGCTCAATATCTCACTTGCAAAACACCTCAGTTTAGCAATGAAGAGTCACTTCTCCTAGCAACATCTAACATCAGTGTCAGATCAAAACTTTTTTTTTGCTGCAGCATGCAAATGTACCAGAACAGAAACCTGTCCCCAGTTCAGCCCCTGGTCACTGCGCCCTTGGTCCCCTCAGGCTGCAGCTGCGGCTGGTGGTGGCACTGGGCCAGACCCAGGGGCTGAAGGACCACAGCTCCTCTCCAAGCCCCCTGCGGCCCCCACTCCTGCATCCAGTGCTTCCCCGCCTCTGCCAAGATTTGGAACCGGAGTTCAGGACCCCTGGCAGAGGGGAGCAGGCTGCAGGCGGCGGGGAGGGAGGTGGAGGCCGGGGCCAGGAGCACGGAGGGTGACAGGTCCTGCACTCACAGCCTGCACTCTTCCACTGACCCGGAACGGCCCCTTCCAGGCCGAGCCTCACTGCCCTGGCCACACACGCACAGGCACAGGCCACACTGTCTGAATTCACCTTGACTCAGGAGAAGCCGGTGGCCCTGCAACCTGCACCCTCCGCCACGGAGGGGCGCTCTGCCACTCGCAGTCTTTGTTCACCAGGACCCAGCCTTGAACAGGAACCAGGACAGCGCTTCTCTGGGGAGATGGCTCATGTCCAGGAGTGACAGGCAGGGACCAGGCCTGGTCGGAGAGACCTTCAGGGCAGGCCCAGATGTGGCCAGCGGCACCTGAGGCCCAGGACGAGGGGTCTTCCTGGAGGGGAGGGAGGCTGGGCGGGTGTCGGTGGTATCCTGGCCGACCCAAAGCCTGATCCTGGCATGATGTGGCCTTCCTGGAGGACCCTCCTCCCCGTCCTCTCCGCCTCCATCCATGTGGCTGCAGTCTGCACTCCTGCCGGCCACGGCCCACCTGGCCAGGAGCAGGGTGCTCAGTGGGCTCCGAGGTGGCCGTGCCGTGCGCAAAGGACATGCTCTGAGCTTGGGAATGGGCCAATGCTGCTCTCCTCAGCACCGTCCAGGCGGCCGAACCTCGATGGGGAGGGGGTGTCCCGGGAGGGCTGCCCACTCCCTCTGTGTCTCTCCAGCCATGGGGACACAACAGTGGCCCAGGGCTCCGAGGCCCTGCAGGGTTGGGGAGAGCCTCAGAACTTTCAGGGTGGGATGTGAGAGCTCCCGCCCAGCCACTGGGACAAAAGGTGCTCTGTGCTCAGACAGGAGCACCGCTCTGGGTCACAAGGCAAGGCAGGGTACTGGACAGGGAGCTTCAAAGGGCGGGGAGGGAGCAGAGCCAGCTTTGTGGCCACAGGGACCCGCACCCAGGAGAGAAAGACAGGTCACACAAAACCCTAGAAACCATGGCCTCTTTCGCTGTGAAGGTGGTTGCAGGCACTCTGACCACAGGTGTTCTGAGGAGGGGTGGGCAGAGGGGCGCCTCACTCAGCTCTCGCTCCCGCTGCGCAGCCCTGGGCTTGGTGGCCATGGCCTGGGCACCAGCCTCGGGGCCCTGTGCCCGCCTCTGGCCTGTCTTCCGTCCCTCGGGCAGCATCACTTGGCACTCAGAGGCGGCCGCCTGTGCTGCTCCAGGAGCTCCTCCAGGTGGTCAGCCCGCCTCACGGCGGCCTGCGACACATGCAAGGTCAGGCGTGGGCCACCCCAGCCCGGGCAGGATGCGGGATGGCAAGGGGAGCCATGGGGACCCACCTCGTGCTGTCTCCGGAGGTTGCTCACGGCTTCCTCCTTCTTGGCCAGCGCCGTCTTCACCCTGCAGCAGAGCACAGTGAGCTTCCACGTAGCGCTCACCCTCGGCCCCACATCAGCCTCCTGCCATGGTCCCTGCTGACCCGGGCACCAAAGCTGGCCCTGGCCCACTGCCCACCGGAGAGGCCTCCATGGGAATCCCTTCAGCCCCTGGCAGAGTGGGTTACTGGAGCAGCTTGGGTGGGGGCTTGACTGAGATGGGCGGGAAGCCCCCATGCCCACCTCAGGCCCACAGAGGGCTGCAGGCGACAGGAGAGCTAAGGGGTCCCTGGGGCACACTGCTACCCCATCTGTGCTCACCCCTTCCACAGAGGCCTGCTCCTCCTAGGCCTCCACCTTGGGGCAGCCGGCCTGCTCTCTGGAGAACCACAGGGTGGGGCCCTCGGCCTGACCCCACCCACTCAGCACCCCCGGAGCCAAAACAGAAGAAGGGCACCGGCCTGGTGGAATCCCTGGTGCCCTGGAACCAGGTGCCACCAGGGGACCAGCCCTGCCCACGGGTCGTCCTGCGTCCCACATAAGGAGAGAGGGCATCTGACCTAACTGCCTGCTCCCCCGCCTCCCCCACCCCACCCCCAGGCCTGCCACCCCCAGATGCCCACCTGCGGTGCACCTCATCGAGCTCCAGCTGCTGGCGGGCCTGCAGCTTGGCCAGCTCGGCCTTGACCTGCCGGTTCTCCTCCTCCGAGGCCGCCAGCTGCTCAGCAAACTCTTGGCGGACCAGCTGGGTCACACTGCTGCGCTCGCCGGCCAGCTGCGAGTTCACCTGGGGGCAGGGGAGGCGGTGAGCAAGCTGGCAGCGGGCGGGGACTGTGCTGCAGGAGGGGATGGGGACACTCACAGCCCGCACGTCCTCCAGCTCTTTCTCCTTCTGCCGCACCAGGGCCTGCAGCCGCTCCTTCTCCCCCTCCGCCTCCCCAAGCCGCCCCTTCAGCTCCGTGCACCGCTCCTGAAGCTTCCGCTCCGACTGCTCCAGCTCCGAGAGCTCTGTCTCATACTTGTCTCGCACACGCTTCACACTGGCAAGTGGGCAGAGGAGCAGGGTGGCAGGGGACCTGGATGAGCCACTGCTCTGTGCATCTCAGCTCCTGGTCCTCCCGGGTCTCGGGCGCCCAGAGGCAGCCCCAGCTCACCGGCCCTCGGCGGCCCTCTCCGTCTCCTCTTTGGCCAGTGTCATGTCAGCCTCCAACCGGCGGATGACCAGCTCGATCTCCTGGTCCCGGCCTTTCCGGATCTCTTCCTTCAGCTCACGTTCCCGGTTCAGGAGCCATGCTTCCTGCAGGGACATGCAGCTGGCTCAGCAGCTGCCGTCGGGAGGCAGCGTGTCCATGCATGTGGGAGTGGAGCGCAGGGGCAGCCACACGGGCTCCTGGGATGGCTCCCCTGCACTGAACCACAGGGGGACGCACAGACCCATGCCCGGGGGAGGGCCATGTCCTGTCATCAGGACCTAGTGTGCGCACAGGGCATGAGGAGGAGATGGGCAAGAGGTGGATACAGCAGGATGGCCTCTCAGCTGTTAAAAGAGTGTGGATGGGGCCAGCTCGTGGAAGCAACTGGAAATTCCCAAAGGAAACACAGGGAGCAGCCTGAGGGCTGGGGTCAGCTGGCTCAAGGGCTCAGGTGGGGCAGCTCCTGGGGAAAGAGGGCCCAGCCCTGTCAAGGCGCTTCTTCCCTATTCCCAGCTCCTAATCTTCCCGGCAGAGAGACACACACAAGCTCAGATAAACCACTCAGCCCCGGAAGCGCAGCCCATCCTTACCGACCTGCCAGAACCCACCTCTTTTTTGGCACAGCTGGCAGTCCATGCTTGTCGCTCTACCTCCAGCTGGTCCTTTAGGGTCTTCAGCTCCATCTGCGCAAGGACAGGAACAAGGCCCAGCGACTGCCTCATGGCCTGGTTGGCCCACAGCTGTGCCCTCTGCCCCAGCCACAGCCCCTGCCCAGGGCCCTGACCACCCAATGGGCCCCACCCAGGGCTAGGAGACTGCAGGGTTGGGCGGCAGAGAGGGCTGCCCTACTGGATCCCGGGCTGGGCACAGTGCTCCCAGGGGGACAGGGAGAGGACCTGGTGCCGCCGCTCCTGCTCCTCCCGGCCCTTCTCAAACTCGGCCCTCAGAGCTCGGGTCAGCGCCGAGCTGCTCTCCTCCAGCTGCTGCCTCAGCTCCTCCAGCTCTGCCCGCTGCCTGCAGGCCGGGTGAGGGGTCAGGGGGCAAAGGGCCACTGTGCGAGGGCGCGGGTGGGCCAGGCCAGGGGTCACGGGGAGAGGGCTGGGTGGGTGAGGGGAAACTGGAAGGGGAGAGGGAGGGGCCCACGTGAGGGGCCAGGGGCCCAGGGCACCTGGCTGCCTGCTGACCCAGCCGCTCTCTCTCCTCAGCCACCTCGCTGTACAGCCGCCGTCGCTGCTGCTCCAGGGCCCGCTGCTCCTGCTCCAGGTGCTGCTCGAACCTGCAGGACGGCAGGGATGGCGGGGACTGGCTCACGAAGGCAGGGCCAGGAGCCCCAGGTCACTGCTGCCTACAGATACGAACCATCCCTGGGCACGGCCCTGGCCACCCAGGGCCACCGGGTCCTGGGTCTGACCGTGCAATCTGGTCACACCTCACATAGGCGCTGGGGCCGAGGGCTGAGGAGAGAAGCTGTCGGCCCCAGAGGAGCTGCGATGCCACCTGCCTGAGCGTCGGAGGCTTTTGGTCTGGAGATCTAATGAGACCTACAAACCCAGTCCCCTCACACGGTCAGGGCACCCGGCCGGCCCCAGCGAGGCCACTGAATGCTGATGAGGGAGGCAGGGCCACTGCTCTGGGAGCTCAGCTCCTGTACCGCCTCCGATACCCGGGATCCAAGACGGGGCCACGGAGTTCAAAGCAGTGAGCCCGAGCCTCAGGCTGAGGGTCCCGCCGTTCTGGCTCAGACCCTGTCCTCACACTGGGACACCCACCGCTGCTGGGCACGCTCGCGCTCCTGCTGGCCCAGCGCCTCCTTCTCCCGCTCTGCGTTCTCCCGCAGCTCCTCAGCCTGGAGCAGGTAGCGCTGTGCAGTCTGCTCCTCTCGCTCGAGCAGCTCTGCTTCGTGCAGGTCCCGGAGCCTCCTGACCTCCTGCTTGTGCTTGGCGATGAGCTTCTGGATCTCAGGCTCCAAACCTGAGAAGGGAGCCAGCTGCAGAGGAGCAGGGGGCCCCGTTCACCGGAACAAGGGGCCTGGGGACCCCCCCCAGTGAGAGGACTCCACCTTCTAGGAGGACCCAGGCCACCACGGCCACTCCGGGGCTCCTGCAGAAGCACAGCTGAGTGGCAAAGGCAGGGTTGCCCTGGGAGTCTGGCACCTGGAGCCACCGCACGCCTCTGCCGCACGCCCTCTCCCCGCCGGCCCTGTGCCGTAACCACTGGGCATCCCAGCGGGCTACTCGGACCTGGAACAGGAGGCCAGGCCAGAGGAGCCCCCACACCACCTAAGGGTCCCCGGCTCCTTCAGATACCAACCCCCAGTCCCTGGGGGGAGATGCTGCTCCCAGTTCAGGCCTCTCTGGCCAAGGCTGGGCCAGACTGTGTGGGCCCTGCCACCTCCTGCCCCAGGACAGTCACCATGTCCAACGTGGTTGCCTCCCTAAGGAAGGTCTTGTGCTCACCCCATGCTATACATGCGACAGACACTACTGTTCACTCTTAGAAGAGTGCCCCACCTCTGATGATGGCCTCCTTGGTCACCCTTCCATCCAGCCTCATCTTTGATGGTGACCTTCCTGGTGCTCTCCCCCAAGCAGCCTAGCTTGACAGTGACCTCCTTGATCTTTCGGGGACCCCACCTCTGACAGTGACCTCCTTGATCTTTCGGGGACCCCACCTCTGACAGTGATCTCCTTGATCTTTTTGGTTTTCTCACTGATCCACTTTTCCCGGCGGACTTTCTCAGTGGCACTCATAAGTTCTTTGAGTTTCTTGATCTCCTAGGAGTGGGAACACAGGAAGTTGAAAAGAATCGATGCAAAGAATGGGTGCTGCCCCTTTGTCACCTCCTGGGTTTGCACTCTAGAGAGCTCTTAGGTCTTCCCAAGGGGCCCCGGGCCAGGCTGGAGGCTGGGGCCTCTCCCACCACGCCTGGCTGCTGAGAGGCAGAGGGACAGCATCAGCCTACAGAGGCCCCCGCAGACCCTCTGGGACAGCTCAGGGCCAGTGTTCTGCCAGTGTGTGGCTGGGGGTCCTCAAGCTGGGGTGTTGGCGATGGACACTGGGCCCTTCAGAATGCCAACGTCAGCCCCACTCAGAGCCAGGCACACGTCAGGGAAGGCCTATGGGAAGCAGAGCCAGCCAGGCCGTATCACTCTCCTCCTCATGTCCTGCCGTCCAAGCAGGAGGGAGCCAGGAGCTTGGTTCTGGCCCAACACAGCAGAGAGATGAGCAGGCCCCACTGCCTGGTGAGGACCAGCGGCTCTCGGCGGGCGGGCTCTCACCAGCTCGTGCTGCTGCTGCATCTGGGCCAGGCGCTCCCGACACCGCTCGTCCCCCCGCTTCAGCTCAGCCACCACTGCTTCACACTTCTCACTCAGTGCCTTCTTGTCTTCAATCAGCTGTGACAGGTCGGGAGCCAAGGCTGCATCAATGCTCCCGCTCCCAGCCCACCCCCATTCTTGTGCTATGGCTGGACCCTGCGGTCAGTGGGAGGACTACGTGCACCTGCGACACAGGGCTCCAGCTGCTGCCAGAGAGGCCCCAGCGGGCACAGTGGTCTGGGCCCTGGCATGACCACACCGGGAGCTCCCCAGGATGCAGAGCACTGCAGCCTCCCCTGTCACCTGCCTCTTGCCTGCCAGGAAGCCTCTGAGGACATCCCACTGAGGGCCCCAGACCAGGCCCCAGACCAGGCCCCAGGTTTGGACACCTGTGATGACCACCAAGCAGAGGTCACCAGATGCACTGCCAGACCCCAGGCCTGGAGCTCTCCCCAGAGCAGGAGTCTGTGAGCAGTGACAGCAAAGTGGCAGCCCCTCAGACCAGGAGTGGCCTCCCTGGGGCAGACAGCACAGGAAAGCTCTGGAATGTGTGTCTGGGAACCTCCCACCGGCCAGCCAGCTCCAGCACTGCCCATCCCTCTGAGGAGCCTGCTGGCAGTGTCCTGCCTGCTCCCCCTGCAGCCCACTATGCCCAGATGGAAGGGGGGCAGCCCTTGCCTGGCACTGCGTTCAACAGAGGGACAATGACCAGCATGAGAGGCCCTGGCTCTGGGAGTCCCCACAAGACTATGGCGGTCTGGGCCCGGCCCCGTCCCTCTGACCCTCTTCCCATGCTCGGCCCCGGGCAGTGTCACCTGGTCAATGAAAGTCAGGTGCCGCTGGATGGTGGCCTCGTAGTGCTCCTTCTGCTGCTGCATCTGTCGGCTCAGCTCCTTCTCCGTCTCCTTGACCCGCCTGACAGTAAGGTCACGCTGCTGTGCCTGCAGGGTACAGGAGGGGTCACTTGTGCCGGGTCCCCCCAGAGTCTGGGCCTGGCACTGGCAGCCACGCAGGGAGAAGGCAAGACAGGGCCTCCAGGAAAAGCAGAGCCGCCCTGGCCCCTGGGGCGAGGTGCTGGCAGGGCGTGCCCTGCTGGCCCCAGGAAAGAGGCACCATGGCCGTACCAGTGCTCTCTGTAGCAGAACCATGGCTTGCTTCTTCTCCTCCACCTCCAGCTTCAGCCGCATCTCGGACACGTTCCTGCTGGATGCCAGCTCTGGATGGCCTTGCCCTGCCTGGGGCACCAGCCTCTGTGGATGGCTGAGCATCAGGCAGGCAGCCCACTGCTGACTGCCTACCTGGTGGATGGCTAGGGTGGCCATGGACATGTGTGACGCCCTCCCTCGGGAGGACCAGCCACAGGCAGGGTATGTGGCAGAGTGAGGGACAGTAGGTAACAGCGCCATTTTTGTTACCCAGGAGAGTAAAGGCCGTAGCTTCAGTTATCACACGGACCACTGAGAAGGTTACATCTTCTGACCTCCCTGCCTGTAGACTAAAATCCACTACTGCTCCACTCAGCTGGCCACTGGTTGTCACCCAGGACTGACACAGCCCAGGGCACAACAGGGCCCAGGGGTGCCAGAGGTGACGCATCCAGAGCGGGGTTGGGGCTGCTGTGGGGGGCCTGGTGACTGACCACTCCCACTGGGGGCTGGGGGCCCTGTTGGTGCCCGCCTCCTGCGGGGGCATGAGGGGCAGCTGGTGAGTGTCTACCTCCCGCTGGGGGGCCAGCCGGCTCTGCTCCGACTTCTCCATCTCGTCCAGGAAGCTCATGATGCTCTGCAGCTTGGCCTCTGAGAGCAGCGTCCCATCCTCGGGGGGCCCGGGGAGTGCACTGAGTTTCCCAAATTTCTCCAGGTTGTCAGCTGTCAGGGAGCTGGTGTCATCCTCCTGTGGGTGGGGGCCCAGCATCAGGGGCTGCCCAGGCAGCCAGAGCACGGAGGGTCCCCCTAATCAGGGACCACTTGGCCAGGAAGGGCAGGGGTAGGGAGAGAGGCAGCCAGGCCTGGGTCTCAAAGGAAGGGCCTCTCCAGCCACACCAGAGCCTGGGGCACCGCTGACGGCAGAGGTAGGTTACTGTGTGTCCTGACTGCAGGGAGGCCGCGGTCAGGAGGGAGAGCAGGTGTCAACCTGCACCTTTCTGATCCTTGTCAGGTGGCAACCGACCCCTGTAGTGACCTCAGGACCCGTGTGGACAGTGCCAGAGCCTGGGCTGGGTGAGGGCAGCTGCGTGGCCTAGTCACCTCGTCGAGCCAGGCGTATTTCTCCTTTTGATAGCCCCTGGGGTGGGGCAGTGGCTCTGGCTCCTCCTCTAGCAGTTGCAGCGTGTCCAGCAGCTCATCCAGGGTCGCCCTGGACTTGGCCCTGCTCCTGACAGGGGCTGCTGTCACCACATCTTCGCTGGCCACATCCTGGGGGTGGATACCCTGCAGCAGACAGGCAGAGAGTGAGAAGCCAGCCGGGTTCAGTGGCCAAGAGTAACCCACGTAGCAGCCCAACCATGGCGCGGGGCCTAGGCCTCTGTGGCCTGCTTCCTGCTCTGCAGGCTGACAACATCTGTCCCACCCGGGAACATGTCTCCGGGTCCCTGTCTGGGAAAACAGACAGGCTCAGTCACTGGGCCTCTCTCATAGGGCAGCCTGGTGGCCTTGCCATCCCCTGGCCTGAGGCCACCCGGGGCAAATGTGAAAACCTGACTGGATTTCAGAGCAGTTCCACCAGACCCTGCCCCAGTGCGGGCTCCCAGGTTGCTGCCTCATCCCTCAGCAGGAGCCCTCGAGCAGCCTTTCAGGGCACCAGGGACCCAGCGGCGGAGCCAGGGGCAGGGAAACAGCTGGCTCAGCCACCCCTGGCACAACTCGGCCCGCAGCTGGAGCCAGGAAGCGAGGGAAGGCGGGCTGTGCACAGACCTGCAGCTTGTCCTCCCGAGACTGCTGGGGCTCTGGGGATGAGCTGGAGATGGGCGGGCAGGGGTCCCTGGGGCTTGCAGGCTGGACGCTGGCACCTGCACGACAGAATACAGCACCATCTCGCCCAGAGCCCCAGTCCTAAGAAGCCCTGGGAGGGAGTCAGGTACGGGGAGGCAGGTGTGACACCACAGAGCAGAGGCACTGGGGAGCCTTGGCCTTCAGGGTGTGAGGCTGGAAGAGCCAAGCAGCCCCAGGGCTGGGGTCTCTGCTTGCTGGGCCCCTTGTCCAGGGCTGGTTGTCAAGGCCAGCCCTACAGTGAGTGGGGTAGGGGTGGAGGCAGAGGGCCAGGGCTGCAGAGACCAAGGCTCCATCACTGTACATGGAAGCCACCAAACAGCTGCAGCGTGAGGGCCAAGGGCATGCTGGCAGAGGCCACGCCCTCCCTGGTCACAAGCTCCAGGGCTGACGGACAGCGCTCACCAGCATTGCTGGCCTTGAGGCCCTGTCGAGCAGCACTGCCTGGCAGTGGGAGTGGCCCCTGGGCGGGTGGAGGTCGCCCCAGCGCTCTGGTCTCCAGGCTTTCCTTGGGCAGTGCAGCTTCCCCTGACTTCTGGGCTCGCTTCTCCCGAAGTTCCTGCAGGGAAGGGGGAGGTCTCTGAGCAGCCCTGGGCGAGGACAGCCCCTCATCCTCCCGCAGCCAGCCACTCTGCGGATCCATATCACAATTAGCTTTGGGTCTGGGGGCTGCAGGGGCCCCTGCACCTGAATGGCCGCCCGCCTGGCCTGGCGGGCCTTCTCCTCTCGGGCCTTCCTCCTCGCCACCTCCTTCTGCTGGTGCAGCTCCAGGAGGTTCCCGCCACCCAGGCGCTGCCGCTGCTCCTGCCAGGGAAGCCAAAGCCAGGGGGTTTACAGACGAGCAGATGGACGGACACCTGGGACTCAGCTGGGGGTTTCCACTTGGCTCCTACCATCCCGGGAGGCTGCAGTTTTCGTGGGGATGGGGAAGTGAGACCCTGAACCTGCCACCTCCATTCAACAGAGGACAAGTCCCAAGCCTTGGCACTGGTGGCTCAGCAGGGGCACAGCTCCACACCTTGGGGACAGAAGCCTGTATGGAGTGTCCTTCCAGGCTCGCAGGCATCTCCTGACACCCAACCCTTGACGACAGTCACTGCAGGACCAAGTGGGCCCACATACATGGGTACACCTATGGGTGCTGGCAGGTCTCAACTATCTGTCCCCAAAACTCTACCTACATGGTTCAGACCTGGGGTTTCTAGGGTGGTTCACGTGCTCACACTGACCTCTCGCTTGGACGTCAGCAGGTGCTCCAGGCTTCTGGCCCCTGCATGGTGCCACTGCACCTGGCGGCGGTACCAGCGCTGGATGGTGATGGCAGCCTGGTTTACTTGGCAAATAAACCTGCCCAGAGAGCAGGGCCCAGCACTAAGAGGAGGCCTGTGGGCCCCTTCCCCTCAGTGCCCTGCAGGAACCTGAAATCACAGGTCCAGCCAGGAAGAGTGAATCTGGTGGCTGCACGCACATAGTCCTTTTCCACCCGGCCAGGGCCGGACAGAGCCAGTACTTCTGGGCTCACTCAATTAAAACCCAAAACCTACCCTCTGGAGCCGTTGCCTAGGCAAAGCGAGTGTCTATGGATACAGGCTTGGGTGGCTTTACGGATAGAAACTAGGAACGAGAAATAACCCAAATGCCTACTAGCCAGCTAGAGTGAAGACAGGTACATCCAGGTGACAGGATGCTGCTCGGAGTGAAGAGCAACCACCAGCAACTCATGCCAGGCACAGGAGTCACACGTCACGGCTGCATTTACAGGCATCCCAGAGAAGGCACAGCTATAGGCAAACAGGCTGGTGGAGCCAGGGTTGGGGCAGGAGGTGGACAGAAGGAGCTGGAGGGAATCCTGGGATTGCTGGAATGGTTTGGACTTGGTATGGTATATCTGTAGCTATCACCATACACACTTTACTATATTATAATACTCAAAAAGCTGATTGAGGGCCGGGGATTTAGTTCAGTAGTTCCGGCACCTGCCTTGCAAGCGCAAGGTCCCGAGCTCGATGCCCGGTACAAAAAAAAAAAAAGGTGATTGAACACAAACTTCACTCTCGGTTCGAGGGTCCAACCAGAGATCCGTTCAGCAAAGGCACTGAGGACCCAGGACACAGACAGTTGCCCGCTGTGAAGGCCCTGGCTCTGGAGAGTAACAGGTGCCCACCCCAAGAGGCCTGTCCAGCTCGCCTCCCTTTCCAGTGCCCTCACTCCCTCTTGCCCATGCGTTTGGCTGGTCCCCTGGGGAGTGGGGCAGCTGAGCCCAGGGCAGGGGAGGCTCCTAGGAGCCAGGGTGGGCAGCGCCTGCAGTGGCCGTCTGGCCCCAAGCCACATCTAGAACCCATGGGAGTGCGTCCAGGAGACGGTCCTTTAGGGGTTTTGTCCTTCTCAATTTCACATCTTCTTTCCCCTAAACATTTTATAATTAAGCTTACTGAGGTATAATTTACATATTATAAAACTCACCCATTTTTAGCATCTAATCCCATGCTTTTTAGAAATCGACAGAGCTGTGCAACCACCAGAGCAATCCAGCTCTAGACGCTCCCATCACCCACAGCGCACTCTGCTCTCCAGGTCCCACCAAGCAACCATCACCCAACCTCCTGCCTCTCTAGATCTGCCTTCCCTCGGTGTGTCACACAGGTGGAGCTGCATCACGTGTGGCCTTTTCGGCCTTAGTGTTTTGAAACAATTATTAAATGGCACTGCTGCCACTGGAGACACAGGCCCCAGCTCCCCGGAAGTGTTCACCTCTCAGCCTCCTCCTCGGTCACTTCCTTCCGCCTGAGTGGGGTGCTGCTGCCCGCAGGCGCACTCTGGGCTGCCTGGTTGCCGCTGGAGAAGTTCTTCCCGAAGCTGCTGCCCTCACTGCCCTCACTGGTGGCCGCCTTGATGATGTTGCTGGCAGGAAGAAGAGAGCCCAACTAACTGCCCTAGGGGACAGCTCTGCCCCAAGTTGTGCTGGGCTGAGCCTTGGAGAGGCCTCTGGGCCACAGCGCAAGGCCAGGCCCCCAGCCCCACTTAGCTGGGGCCACATGCACCCCAACAAGGTCCCATCACTTGGCACCCAAGAGAATGTTCTTTATGGTTAAAGAATAAGAAGTTCTCAAAAGCTGCAGGAGCCCAGAGCTAGATGAAGTCAAGAAACCCCAAGGGCCACTGACCGAGCAAAGTCATGCAGGGGCCCGGCCCCTCTGTTCTGCTCAGCCACCTCACTGAGACACCCCTCAGCTCTGGACACGAGGGCAGCTTCCCCCGGAAGGGGCCACCCCAGGTGTGAGTTCTGGGCTCAACCTCGTCTGGTCTGTCTTCTCTGTCCCTGGGAAGCAGACCTGGACCACACGAGCCCAGGTGACAGTGCAGAGGACAGGGTCCCTGCACACAGCCCAAGGACCCTCACATGCACACGCCCCGAGGCCTGTGCAGTCAAACACTGGGCCAGGCGCCTCCCAGCCGACGCCAGCTTACTTGAGGGAGGGGGTGGTCTGGTTGGAGCTCTTGAGGGGGTGCGCCTTCTCCGAGGGGGTGTAGTGGTTGTGCACCATGGAGGTGACACAGTTGCCCACAGCTGCCTTGTTGCTCCTGCCAGAGAGACGGGAAGCTGTCAGCTTAGGAAGCAGATGGCCAAGATCACGCCTGTAGCACAGACAGGCTCTGGCCGGGAGGAGCTGTCTGGGCCTCCTGTGGCATCACCCGAGGGTCCTTCGGGGCCCCAAGGCCTGTGCCGTTGTTGGGATTGGGGACCCCTCCTGCGCTCCAAGGGAGCAGCCTGTGTCCGCAGCCCCGCTGAGGCTGAGTGGAGCCACACTTGCCTTCGGGCTTGGAGGCGACCCACAGGTGGGCTTGAGGCCCTGACGACCCAGCTGAGGCAGAGGCCGTGCTGGCCACCACTCCCACACACTCTGGCCGTGCGCCTGACGCAGCCCGGATGTGACCTGGCCCCCACCTCCAGGGACACATACAGCCCCCAAGCTTAAAGCAAAACGAGGCTTCAGGAGCCACACAACAGCACCGCACAAGCCCTGCAGGGCATACCGGCCTCTGGAGGGAGGGAAAGCTGTCTTCCACAGCCTGCTGGGCCAAGCACAGCCCCATCCTCAAGCGGAGGCAAGCGGGCCCTCCTGGACAGACACCACCTGCCACCTTGTAGCCCCTCCCTTCACCACTGGAGAACAAGGCCATGCATGCTGGGTGTGGGCGCACGCCTGTAATCCCAGACTCTGGGAGGCTGAGGCAGGAGGATCACAGATTCAAGCCCAGCCTGGGCAACTCAGTAGCTTAGTGAGACTCTGTCTCAAAATTTAAAAAAAGAAAAGAAAAGAGAAGAAAAAAGCACTAGGGATATAGCTCAGTGTGAAAGCCCTGGGTTCAATCCCCAGTACCACGTATAAAAATGCCATTGCTTCCTTTCTCCACTCATTCATTCCTAAACAGCCAGATCCAGCCACCAGCCAGACAAAGACACACAGAGTCCTTGGCCCCTGCCCCTGGCTGGGGCTGCCCCACTACCTGCAGGTCCCACCTGTTATTAGCAGTGAAGCTGGGTGCCAGGGTGCACTCCTTCCTCCGTGGGCCCATGGGGGCATCGAAGGCCCTGGAATTCTGGGCATTGGCCTGCAAGCCAAGGCCCCTGGGCTGCTCATCCTGTGGGTCACATGGACACCCCTCAGTACACCCCAACTCCAGTCCCGCCTACCTGACACTGCTACACCCATAAATACAGGAGTCCCCCCCCCCCAAGAAAGCAGACAGGGTGCCCCAGGGCCCCCCAGGGGGACCCTCTTGCAGTCAAAGGCAGCTACCTCGGGGGACTAGGACTCGCGGTCACCTCATGCCCAGCCTCACCAGGACATTCCAAGTGGCTGCCTTCTCACCAGATGCCTTGCTCAGACCCACCAGCCTCCTTCTTCCAGCAGGGCTGCCCTCGAACAGCGTCAGGAAGTCGGGGGACTCTGCCAGCCTGTGTCCCAGGGAGGAGAGCACACAGGGGCAAAGTCAACCGGCAGTGAAGCCTACTCCAGCAAGGAAGACAAGTCCAGGGTTTAGAGGAGGAGGGGCCAGGACAGGGGGATTCTGTGCCCAAGGCCACAGTTTAAAACAGCTTCTCAGGCAGGGATTTAGCTCAGTGGTTCTGCCGCCTGCCTCGAAAGCAAATGGACCTGAGTTCAATCCCTGGTACCAAAAAAAAAAAACCAAAAAAGACAGTTTCTCAGCCCTGATGCCGCTACAAAGGCATCTAGCAGAGGTGCCTGGGGGGGATGAGGCCTGGGGGCCCCCATCGAGCCCTGGCAAAGGCTTGGCCGTACTAAGCCAAGCTGTCTGGGAACCAAAGGCCTTAAATAGGTGGCCTCCAGCCGCTGACACTCTCCTCTCTGTGGACCGAAGGGACTCGGGCCTGCTGCTCAGAGGGGATGAGGAGCCACCGTGACCCAGGACCCACCTTGCCACCTCTGAACTGAACCGGAGGGAGAGCTCCTGACACCCTGCTTCGTGGGAGGCTACAACTGTAGCCAAACACAGCTGTGATGGAAAATATACTCTGTCCACCTCTCGGTACATTATCCAGCCATAAAGAGGCTGAGGCACTGACACAGGCCACGGCTCAGCAGAACCCTGAGGACGTGAAACCTTGAAGACAGCTCAGTGAAAGAACCAGACCCACCCAAGCAAGGTGAAGCACACCTATAATCCCAGCGCTCTGGGAGGTAGGGCAGGAGGATTTCAAGTTTGAGCCCAGCCTGGGCAATTTAGTGATTTAGCTAGACTCTGTCTCAAAATACAAATAAAAAGGGCTGAGGAATTAGCTCAGTGAGAAGGCCCAGGGTTCAACCCCAGTGCCATGAGGAAAAGATGAGAGAGAGAGAGAGAGAGAGAGAGAGAGAGAGAGAGAGAGAGAGAAAGAAAGAAAAAAGAAGAGAAGAGAAGAGAAGCAAAGAGAAGGGGTGAGGCAAGGCCAAGGACATAGCTCCGTGGCACTGCAGCTGCCTGGTAAGTGCAAGATCTTGAGTTCGATCCCCAGTCAGCACTGGGGAAAAAAAAGAGAAGATGGGCCAGGGATTTAGCTCAGTGGTGCCGCCACCTGCCTCGCAAATACAAGATCCCAAGTTCGATTCCTGGTACCAAAGAAAAAAAAGAGAAGAAGCAAGGCCTTAGGCCACATGTTGTAGGCCACATGACCGCCAGCTAGGGGAACTGTCCAGAGCAGGCCGATCCCTAGGGGCAGAACCCACGTTGGGGGTTGACGGGGGCCGGAGGAGGGGAATTGGGGACTGACTGGTAATGGGCATGTGGTTTTCTTTCTTTCTTTCTTTCTTTCTTTTGGTACCGGGATCGAACTTGGGTCCTTGTGCAGCAGGCGGTGAAACCACTGAGCTAAATCCCTGGCCATGTGGTTTTTCTTTTAGGGTGATGAAAACATTCTAAACTTGACTGTGATGGTTGCACAACCCTGTGAATACACCAAAAAAAAATAAAATCACTGAACTAGGCTAGAAGACCCTGCCTCAAAATAAAATACAAAAACAGCTGTAGAAGTAGCTCAGTGGTAGAGCACCCCTGAGTTCAATCCCCAGTTATTGCAACAAATAAATACATATTTTTTAAAATGTCTGGGATGTAGCTCAGGACTCTAGCTTAGAAGGCAGGCACGGTGGCACCTGGCTGCTCTGGCAGTTCTCGCTAGTGCAGTGCTGACAGGCAGCAGCCCAAGAACTGTGGGGAGGCTCCCAACTCTGACCTGGCCCCTGGCCGCCTGACCATGTCTGTTCCTAGGCCTGGCACAGCGTTGCCAAGACTGCCACGCTGGCCAGCACAGGCCTCGCTGCCCCCAGGGAGCGTCTGGAGCCCCGAAAAGCACCTCTGAGCTGACAAGCCTCGGCGGAGACGGACATGCAGAACGGGCCTCAGAATCCACCCATAAACAAAATGGATCCCGGCAAACTTGACAACACCTCCTTGGGGGTGCTGAGGGGTGAGTATCACCCAAACAAACCCCACTCCACTCCTGCCAGGCGGATGGCATGCAATGCAAAATGTCTTTATTTGTGGAAAATGTAAAAGAGCCAGCAAACGAGGGCCACATCACAGGAACTCCCACCCGCCAGTATGGAGCCCACCGAACACAGGCCAGGGAGGAAGGCCACTCACACCGGCACGATTGCTGCATCCAGCAAAACATGCAAGGCCCTTCATCAGGGGAACAGCTGGGACCCACGAGAGGCCACCTGAACCCACACAGTGAAGCCTAGGGCAGGGCAGGCCCACGGGGCACCCAGATCCCAAATGGGATCCCAAATGGTGGCTTGCCGCCACCCCATGGAAACCCCACAGGGTCAGCCTTAGAGAAACTCCAGGAGATCACCTATGTGCACGTCAAAGCACAGGGAGCATGAAGCTCCAGGAACATGAAGCCCCAGGCCCGGCCTCTCCCTAACAGCCACCAGCTTCAAAAGCAAGCGGTATGGAGGAACACAGGGAGTGTGGGCCAGCTGAGGGAGATGGGCCTGGGGACAGGAGCCAGGGGCCCGGCCAGCCCACACACAGCCATGGCACTACAGAGGCACAGGCGACCGGGTCCAGGCAGAAAGATGGCTGAAGCAGCAAAAGCGCTGGGCCCTCAACCGCTAATACAGCCAGACCCACTCCAGCCTAGAGCCAGGGAGAGGTGCTTCCCGGACGTCCTTTAAACAGCACAGCCACACTGCACATGCCACACGCACACACACCACGGACACCATGGACATGCCACACATACCAAACACCACGAATTACATCCCACCTACCCACCTCACATGTGACACACACATGATAAACACAATGTATCTCATACACATATATACACACCACACAAATACACACTGCTCACACACACCATACATGCAGCACACACATGCCATACATGCATACACACAATGCCATACCACCCCCAGCACTGACACTGTGGCTGCTGCCCCTTGCCCTGGCGACTCCTGCACCCACATCCCTGGGGGGAGAGGCACTATCTCAGCGAGGTCCCAGGCAATGCCCCACACAGCCCTGGGCGCCAGAGGCTTGAGAGCAGTCCTGCTGCTGGGTCAGGGGCACTGCTCTGCTCTCTCAGGAGGGTCTGCACCTTGGCTGGCCCAGAACTTAAACCATCTACAGACCTGCAGCCCAAGGAGCGCCTGCCTGCTCAGGGACCTGGCCGGCAGGAGTTGGCCACAATCAGCTCACAGGCGTCGATCCGACCCTCACACTGGCACTGGGGCCCCATGGCGGCTCCTCCCCTCTCGCCAGTTTGGAGCCCACAGGGGAAAATGGCTGTTTAACTGTCCAGGACAAGGACAGGGGCATGGAGGATTCAGAGCTGACTCAATGCCCCACCTCCTGCAGGGGACAGGTTTGGATGTCCGAAGGGCAGGGGAATGGCCGCAGCTGGAGGACGCAGATGAGGGCCGTGCAGGTCTCCCCTGTATGTCCACTGTCCCCACCAGTAAGGGCAGAGGCTGCAGGCCCAAAATCTGTCCCAGGGCCTGGTACCAGTGTTCTGCGGATGTGACAGGATAGGCTGGCTGCACATGGCTTCCTTGGCCCTCCTAGTTCAAGAGGAGGGAGTGGGACCCAAGGGCTGGGCTGCAGAATGGTCACCCCAAGTCCAGTGCCCTGCAAGGGCCACCACTGACAGAACTGGAAGGGCCTAGGCAGAGGCAGGAGGAGCTGGCACAGAGAGCCCAGGGGCGGGGCTTCCAGAGTCCCAAGGGCTGCAGCCACCCAAGGAAGACAAAGATTACCTAGGGGACCCAGCCCAGGGCTGGTTGACCTGTGTGGTGCTGTTAGATCTTCGAAGGTTGTTGATGGCGCTGGAGCCCCCGGGCCCTGCAGCCTCCTGCAGAGAGGGAGAAAGCAGCCCATTCAGTGACAAAGATCTCAGACACTCACCTGCTCCTCAGCGCCAGCCTCGGCCCTGGAGAAATGGGTGAGAACAGAGGGGTGACAGGTAAGTAGGGGCACAGGACCAGGGGCCAGTGTGGGGCACAGTTGTGGGTATGGGAGGCCCTGGCACTGACATCTCAATTTCCTGTGTGAGGCAGAGGCCTCTGCACCTGCCAGGACTGCTTGTTCTGGCTGTTGGCCAGGAACTGCTCCTCCCTGCCACCATTATCACAGTGAGCTCTGGGAATGGCAAGAAGAGAGCACCGTGGGTGAACGGTAGATGCAGCCATCGGCACGGCCCATGGTGGCAGGCAGCTGTCTGGGCGCAGAGCCACCCATGCTGTGAGGAAGGTACCTCCCTCATCCCAGACACCAGGGCAGCCTGACGCTCAGAGGTGGTGAATCAGAAACAACAATGCTGTTGATCAATGTGTGAGCCCTCCGGGATCTCAGTGGAGAAAGCAGATGTCTGGGAGCGGCAGAGGAAGGGATGAGTGTATCAGATGCCACTATGGCGTCAGGAGGTACCCCTGGAGATGGCCCACTTCCTAGGGAAGAGGAGCAGAGGACTTAAGAGACAGCCCATGCTGTCCACAGCTTGTTCTCAACTGGGTGAGGCAACGCCAGTTGTCAGCGGACCCCGGAGCAGTGCATGGGCACACGTTATACTATGCCTCCAACTTCTCTGTAGGCTTAAAAATCTTCCAGATGAAGTATTTTGAGGAAAAGGGATCAAAATCCAGTGGGGCATCCTGGGGGTCCCCTACCCCATGCCAGCTTACACCAGGAGATGTGACCCAGCCAGACTCCACCCCAAAACAGTGAGGCTTTAAGACTAGGAAAACAAAGCTATGGACTTTAAAATACTTCAGGTACTTTAAAATCTGAATCCCTAAACTAAAAACTAACAACCCAACCAAAATAAGACAAAACAAGAAAACCAGGAAACATGGAATCCCACTGCAATCTGCCATGGGTCTTTCCCCACCTCATGAAATTGTTTTCTTTCTTTGTTTTTGCTTTTTTGAGACAGGGTCTTGCTATGAGTTTGGGGTGGCCTTGAACTCACGGTGATCCTCCTGCCTGAGATTACAGGCGTGCACCACCACGCCCAGCATGAAATTGTCTTCTTAAGTAGGGAAATGGCAGATTGGTGACATGGGTTTGTTTGTCTTGCGAACTCAGGACCTTGTGCTTGTGAGGCAGGCAGGCGGCAGAACCACTGAGCTACATCCCCAGCCCAGAAGTGGCAGATTGGGAGAGGCTACTGGGGATCGGGGTCCTGAAGTGATACTGGTTGACAGTGCTACTTTCCCAGGAGGAACCCATGCTATCCGACCGGGCTGCAAACAGCAGACCACTAAAGACCATGGAATGCTCAATACCAGGCAGAGCTGCCAGGCTCCTGGCTGGTGACACCAAGGCTCAGTCAGTTCCTGTGAGTGTCCTAGCTGGATCACACAGTGGACCCTGGGGCAGCCACTGAAAGGGTGTCAGAGAGGATAGAGGCGCGGTGAGGAGATGAGGTATGGACAGTGCTGGGGCTTAGGGTGAAGGAAGCTGCACAGGGGCAGGAGCTGGAGGAGCAGGGGGCTGGGGAGAAGTCGCAACCCACTGCAGAGGCTCGGCACTGTGGTGGTCACACACGGTCGTGCTGAAGAGCATGCCTCCTCCTCACGGAGCCGTGCAGGGCCTCACGGAGAGCCCCATGCCCTGGGGAGGGTGCGCGATGCGGGGAGAAGCAGCTGCAGGCACTGTGTAGTGAGGGTCCAGCCTTGCCAGAGGGAGCCCTGGCCTTTGCCCTCAGCTTCTGGGTGGTAACTACAACCCCCAGAATATCCAGCCTGATCAAAGGGCCTGATCAAAGGGCCTGACCCAGGGCCTGTGGCCACCCTCATGGTTTAACACTGTGACCTAAGTTGGAGCCACGGCCAGAAGGTGACATGGGATGGGGCTCGATATCAGTGGACCTGTGAGGGGCTGAAGACAGCTTAGCCAAGGGACTGCCCAAAGGCCTCTGCACTGGGGACCCCAAGCACTCTGCACACCAGGACCAGGGCACGCCCTGGGCTGGCAACGCTCCGTGCATGTTGTCACCATCGATGCAGGAAAGCAGGTCTGTCCCTATGCTATGGGAGAGGACAATGGAGGCTCCGTGTCTGACCCCTGGACTCTCCCTCCCTGGGCTGTTAAATCTGCATTCTCGCTGGGGATTTAGCTCAGTGGTGTGTGCCTGTCTCGCAAGGGCAAGGGCAAGATCCTGAGTTCGATCCCTGGTACCAAAAAAAAAAAATCTGTCACTGTGTCAGCTCTCAGCAGCCTGCGGGTCCTTCTGGGAAATTACTGAATGGAAGGGTGGTCTTGGGGACCCCCAGACAGGCTGCTGGTGTCAAAAATGAGGGTGTCTGCAAGGACCATGTGCCCGCTGACTCATGCAAACCTTCTGAGGACGTGCTTGGCTGTGAGCAGCTGGTGCAGCCCGCAGCCTGGAGGACACTCGCTGAGCAATGAGAAGCAGCACAGGTGGCTGCGGCAGAGCCCAGCTGGGGACTGTCACTGTGGAGAAGGTGGGAGCGCTTCTGCACAGCCGCAAGGAGACCTGAACAAAGGACAGAATGACACCACAAGAAAACACTTGGGAACTCGGCTTCATTCATGATATGAACCACAAACCATAGGAAAAAAATAGAAAAGTCAGCAAAGGATAAGAACAGTCCATAGAGAAGGGAAGATAAATGGCCTTAAACACATGAAAAGCCACACAGCTCACTCCCAGGGGGATGCAGGCAGAGCTCTGCAGAGCAGAGGTACCAGGGTATGGCCCTCGAGCAGTGGCCCACGTGGAGCTCACAGGAGAGGAAGGCAGAGGGCCCAATAAGGTGCTGGCTCCACCAATGAGCTTGTTCCTGCAGCCCAGGCCACCAATCCCGACAGTACCTCGCTCATTCACTGGAAACAAACCAGGAGCTGAGGGAAGACAGAGGGGCTGGATCCTCTCAGGGTGCCACAGAGGAGCAAGGGGAGAGGCGACACCTGCCCAGGTGCTGGGGATAGCTGGAGACCTCAGCGGGAACTCATGCTTGCTTAATACAGGTGCAGACGGAGACAGAGGGAAAGTTACTGGTGTGTCCACACACACACACACACACACACACACGCACGAACGCACGCACGCACACGCACACACAGAGGGGGCCTAGCTCCCAGATCTCAGTCTCACACCACTCTCCAATGGAAGGGACCGGGGCTGCTGGAGAAATGGGCTGTTTCAAGACTGGAGTGTGAAACACACCAGATAAGGCCAAGCAGCTTGAGGGCCAGGAAGTAAAGTGCTCAAAAAACAAAACAATGGCCCACCTGGCATGCTCCCTTCCCTCGCCCTCTGCATTTAAATGGGAGGCACATGTGACTCACTCAAAATAACATATGTAGAATATTTGAAACCAACAAAACAGCCCCAGCCACTGCATCAGGGTGACTGACTCAGGAGACCATCACTTTTTCTCCATCTTCCAGGCGGCAGTTTTACCACCTTACTGCTGAGAACAACAGATGTCAGGGAGCAGGAGCATCTTGAGCTCAGTCAAGAGCACCAAAGTGAAAAGGAAGTTCTCAAAAGGTAAATAAAGTCATGGACTAAAGACCTCAAACTCATGGGCAGGGGACCAAGAGGTGGAGGAAGGGGCGGAGGGAAGGGAATGAGGAGTAAAAAGGAAGTGTGTTAGGGCCGCGGGGATTTAGCTCAGTGGTTTCGCCCACCTGCTGCGCAAGCACAAGGACCCGCAAGCACATGGACCCGAGTTCAATCCCTGGTACAAAAAAAAAAGAAGGTGGGTCATGTGCACATACTCAATTCCCCTAGATGAATGTAATCATTATGTGCTGCAAACATGTGCTAAAAAACCAAAACAAACAAAAAACACTCACTCCACCATCACACAGGGCAGGGCATCAACAGCCCAAGAGCACAGGACCCCGCCTGGGGACAGAGCTGGCCACACGGCTGGAACACATATGTGGTAACACCTGTTCTATCAACACGCTCTGACTTTTGAGATATAAAGACTTTGTTCCTTTGCAGGGAAGCAAACTGGAGTGATGCAGAGGGCAAAGCAATCAAGTGGCCACTCAGCTGCAGCAGGGAAGAGGACCCTCTGGGTCTCACACCAGCGTCACCTAAGCCAGACACCCATCAGTGACTGCAGCTCCTGTCTGGGATGAGGAAGCTTGGGACAGAGGTTCTGGATTGGGGTAGCTCTTTGGAGACAAAGGGCAGAGTAAAAGTATCAGGATGACACAGTCACGAAGAAGGCCCCGAGCCAGGGGCCAACACCCCCCAGAGCCCCCCAGAAACCAGGAGAAAGAGTCCCCATCCCTGTGTCAGGGGTGAAGTCACAGCCTGGCCGAAGCAAATGCTGCCCACGAATCTCAACAAGACCAAATGGCAGTGAGGATAGGTGACCAGGAGGACAAGGATGGCCAGGGACAACTTTCAGACCCCGCCAGGTATGCCGGGGTGAGGCCATCTCAGAGGGCCCCTCCTATGGCTTCACAAGCAGTCCAGTGACCCAGGGGCACAGCTCAGGCCTGCTAGCTTGAGTTGATCATCCCTCCGCTGAGGCAGCACAGTGCTCCTGACTGTGTCTGTCAGAAGCAACCTGGCAGGACACCCCAGGTGCCTGCTATGCAGGTCACAGGATTCAGAAACTTATTTGGACAAAAGACCCTCCACTGGACAGCTGTTCTTGCCTAGAACTCAGCTTGACACCAAAAGACCCCAGCCTGTCTGACACGGAGTTGGCTTTTTCAGGGAGGAGAGAGGGGGAACCTGCTGTCCACAGAGGAGCCTTGGCCTGCACCCATCAGGCAAGCCCTGATGCCCCTGTACAGGGCTGCCTTCTCCCCTCCTGGGACCTCCACACAGACTTCAGCCCTTGCAAGGCAGGGAGCCCCCGACCAGTGCATCGGAGCGAAGCCTCCAGGCCCCTGCTACCAGAAGCTGAGGTCAGCCTGGGGTGGCATGGAGCCTCCGGAGCACTCATTCTTCCCCACCCCTTGGCAGACAGCAGCTCAGGGGCACAACAGACCCGAGGCCACCTCCACTCATTGGTGACAACCCCTCCCCCTTCCCTGCAGAGGGGACAGAAGAGGAAAGGTGGCTCTCACCCTGCACACCTGAGCCCCTGCCGCCCCAGGCCACGGAGCTCACCACCCCCGCAGGTCAATCCCATTTCTTGAGGCTCCAGGCAGAGCCACAGGGCCACAGAGCAGGAGTCTGGGCCAGTGCCGGTGGACACGCTCTGCCTCGGCCTCTCGGTGAGTCAGTGGAGCTGAGCCTGAAGCCACGCCACAGACGACAACCCTCAAGGGCCAGGTGCCCGGACCCATCCACCTCAGGCCCTGCACTCACCAGCGCCTTCCTCCTGGGTTCGCTGCCTGCGGCCACAGAGACAGAACGCACAAAGGGCTTAGAGGCCGATGCGCTGCTGGGGCGCCGGGACAACGGTGGAGGAAGGCCCGTCAGACTCAGGCCTGCGCAGTCGGGGCTGCCTTCAGGGGCACTCCTGATGGCCCTGCAGCCTTTCATGGCGGGCAGTGGGCCCTGAGGAAGTGAGAGATGAGATGGGACACCCTGGAGGAAGTGCAGGCCCCTGCATCACCACCCACGGCAGAGCCTCAGACACCATCCACACACTCTCCTTGTGGGGGACGGGCCCCCAGGGGAACACGGCTGCTCTAAGCGCCCCCACAGATGTGGGGCTGGGCAGCAGGGCTCTGAACAGGAGCAGGGGGCAGTGGAGGCTGGCGGCACAGGCACAGCAGCACCTGACAGGATGGCCAGGGACAGCAGCAGTCATGGGGATGAGCAGGCTCTGCCCTTCAGCCCCACCTCCATGACCTAGTCAGGTACCCCACCTGTCTGCTGTAAAATGGGGTTAAAAGTGCATCTTGGGCCAGGAATGGTGGCGCAGGCCTGTAATCCCAGCACTCAGAAGGCTGAGGCAGGAGGATTGCTGTGAATTTGAGACCAGCCTGGACTACATAGTGAGTTCAAGGCCAGCCTCGACTATACAGTGAGACCCTGTCTGAAAAAACAACAAAAAATTTGTATATATACATGCCCTGACTGACAAACGAGTTCTTTTCTGGGAGAATCATTTGAAAGTCGATTTGTTTGGAAACCAACAAAGTGACTCTAATATACTACACCTGTGAAAATTTGCAACTCAAATGTTCATAAATCAGGGACTTAAATAATAATTAAGTAAAAATAATTTAAGAAGAGGCTGGGAATGTAGCTCAATGCAAAGGCTCTGGGTTCAATCCCCAGGACTGCAAAGGAAATAAATGATGCCTCTTCACAGGGTCTGTCAGGAAGTTCAGACAAGATATGGCCATGAGGCTGGCAACCGAGAAGTGCATGATCTCAGAAGTTCCACAGTAAAGACACCCCCAGGTCCCAGGCTTACCTGGACACCACTACCTCACCACTACCCCTGCACTGCCTCAGAACATCCATGTGCTCCTGGGATGCGGCAACCTCTCTCAATTCCAGGGCTCCCCTGCCACCCCTTCTTGTATAGGCCACCCTCCCATCTCCCTTGCTGTCTCCTCTTCCTCTTCCCAACCCAAGGTGGGGCCCTCTTTCCTCTATCTGCCCTCTCACCTGGGGACCACCTGGGGCCTCCTGGCTTCCTCCACACCAGAACTCTGCTCCAGCCACACCCCTTCTGCCCCTGGCTGGCTGGCTCCCATTCAGCCTCACAGGCCCAAAACTGTTCTCAGCTCGGCTCAGGCCTCAGGCTTAGGGATAAAGCCCCTAAATCTAACACCCACAGATCAGAGCCTGCTCTCTGTGACTCCCTAGCTCTGCCGTGCCTCAGACTCGGCCAGCTTGTCCCACACACCTCTAGGACTGCTGGCCTTTTGGCTTTGGACGCTTCCCACTCATGGTGTCCTCCCGGCCCCACCACCCAGCACTCTTCCTTCCCTCATCCTGCTTTACCTGTCTCCATATCGGGCCACGAGAGACAGGGAGCACTGAGGCCCCACACCTCACAGGTGGCAGGACCCATTCTCCAGAGGCTGCACACCCATTAGCCTGGCCAGGGTCCACAGCTACATTTCCGGTTATTCGAGTGAAATCTGACACCTGCACCAGGCTTGCCCTGGAGCTTGGGGGGGTGTGTGGCTTGCCCACCACACGTGCAGGGGGAGGCTCCGAGGAGGTAAACAGCCTCTCCATAGAAACCCCATACCACCAGGAGGCCTGGGAGGCCAGGGTCTCCTGGATGAGGCGATGTCCCTTGAAAGTCTCGAAGGGGTAGAGGCTGGTCCCCTGCCTGGCCCTGCAGGGCTGAGCTGACCCAGGGATGCCAGAGGCAGGGCCCATTGCAGCGGGCTGTCCTCTGCGGTCCAGTCCTACCCACTTCCTCAGTCCCCACGCCCCAGGATTAGGTCAGGGGTCCAGAGACGCCTGAATGGACCCCAGGTCCCGTCATCCTGGGGCACGAGCCCCTCCTCGCTTGCAGGGCCTGGAGTCCCTCACCTGCGAGGTCCACCCCCTTCTCACTCGCGCGGATCTCTCACACCTGAGCGGACCCCCTAACCCTAGACAAACAGCGCTGCGTGGACTCCCCCTCACCTTCGAGGGCAGGCCCTAGAGAGCTGGGCCGGCAGACCCGGCCAGGTGGGCGCCCCGCGGCCCTCGGCGATGCCTCGGAAGCGAACGACAATGAAGCCCGGAGCCGCGGGGCCAGCGCCGGCGGCTAGCAACCAGCCTGGCACCACCTCCCCTGTCCGTCACACCGGCCCGCCTTTCCTGAGAGCGCGCCACTTTCGGATTGGCCCTTCGGCCGCCCGCGCTGGCCGCTTCACAAGTTCATTGGGCAGCTTGGCTGTCCGTCAGGGAGTTCAAGAGGGGAGGGGGCGGAGAGTTGAGGGCCAGGACCGACGCGGACTGTCGATTGGACGCGGCTGGAAGGGGGCGGACGCGACGCATGGGCCGGGACAGGCGGTGTGGGCGGGGCCGGGGGGGTGACTCCTGTGGCTGAGCGGCTAGCGGTGGTCTCCGCCCCAGTTTGTCCGCCTGCCCCCGGGGTCCAGAGCCTCCGACCCGCTGTGGGCTGTCCTCCTTCTGCCCAGAGAGCCCTGGCCCCCGGTTCAGATGCTCTTCCAGAGATGACAATCCTAAATATATATGCACCAAATACGAATGGCCCCAACTATACAAAACAAATATTAATAGACGTGAAAAACCAAATAAACACTAACCCGATTGTAGTGGGAGACTCAATACCCCACTATCACGAATAGACAGATCATCTAGACAAAAAGTTAACAAGGAAATTCTAGAACTGAACCAAGCTATTGAACAAATGGATTTAATAGATATTTATAGTGTTCCACCCCACAAAATCGGAATACACATTCTTTTCGGCTGCACACGGGTCAGTCTCCAGAATAGACCACATGCTAGCTCATAGGACATGTCTAAGTAAATGTAAAAGAATTGAAGTTACGCCCTGTATATCATCAGATGCTCTTCCAGCAAAAGTTGTATCAAAATAACAGCAGTGCTGACTTCCCGTTTTATTCATTTTTTTAATGAAAAAGTTTGATTAAGGTAGAGTGACGTTCACATTTTGGGCTGTGCGGTTGTGTAAACCAACCCCTCAATCCAGATGGAGGCCACTGCCACCTCCACCCGAACCCCTGGGTGGCCTCATTGTCCCCAGTCTTGCCCAGCCCTTAGCCCCTCCACCGACCTGTGCCCCAGCCTCAGCCAAGGCCACACAGCCGGAGTGACCCCCGCGTGACCCTGGGCTGGCTTTCCCCACTGACACTAAAATCCATCTGCATTCCCCGGAGAATGCAGGCTACAGGTCAAGCACATTTGGGGCCTCACTCACCCACTTAGGGGCTTCATGTGAGCACGGGACATTTCTCTGGATAAACGCCTACCAGTGGGATTGCTGGGGCCTGTGGTATTTATTTAACTTTATAAGAAACTGCCAAACTTTTCTGAAGAACGTGTATAACGCTACACTCCCATCAGCACTGTGTGAATCCCCAGTGGCTCCCCCTCCACTTACCTCTTGGAACCCTCAGGGTGTCCCCTCCTCTGAGATACTGGGGATTGAACCCGTGGCCTCTCCACTGACCCAAACCGCCAGCCCTTTTTAATTTTATTATTACTTTTTTTTTTTTAGACAAGATTTCACTATGTAGTTCAAGCTGGCCTCGACTTGTGGTAATCCTCTACCTCAGCCTCCTAAATGCTGGGATTACAGGCATGTGCTGCTATGCCTGCTTATTTTTTGAGCCAAGTTCTTGCTAAGTTGCCAAGTTGCCCAGGCTGGGCTCAAACTTGTGAGCCTCCTGCCTCAGCCTCCCAGAGTGCTAGGATTATAGGTGTGCACCACCATGCCTGACTGGTTTGTGCTTTCTAAAATCTAATGTATAAAGCCACGGCCAATCCCAATGACAGAAACTTTTCTTCCTTTTCTTCTCAAAGTTTGATAGTTTTCGGTGCTATGTTTAGGTCCGTGGCTCGCTTTAAATTTTGTATAAGGCATGAGGTGAAGTATGGGCCAAGATTCTTTTTTCCATACAGATGATTATTCCAGCTCACTCTTAAAAGGCTACCCCTTCTTCACTGAGTTACTTTTACATCTCTGTAGAAAATCAGTTGACTGTTTGTATGGTCTGTGTCTCCAGTCTGCTGCTCTGCTGACCTACAGTATGAGGAACTTTGCACCAATACCACAGTCTTGACTACTGCAGCCTTATAGAAAATCTTGAAATCTAGTATGTTCTTTTTCAAAATTATCCTGGCTATTTTGACTCCTTTAACTTTCCCTATAAATTTTAGTATCAGCTCCTCACTATATTAAAAATCCAGCTGAGGACTAGGGGTGTAGCTCAGTGGCACCACACCTGCCTCTCAAGCACAAGGTCGTGAGTTTGATCCCCATAACCAAAAAAAAAAAAAAAAATCCAGCTGAGAGGGCTGGGGCTGGAACTCTCGCCTAACAATCACAGGGTGGAGGGGGGTCCAGCTGAGCCTTACCGGGGCTCACCTTAAACCTGATGTGGAATTTGGGAAACATCGAAGTCCATTACCAAGTGGCGCATCGCCAGTCTTGCATCCAGGACACCGGCTGAGTAACCACCACCAAGGTGCACGGTTTTCTCTGCCCCAGGGGTTAATGGTGAAGACAAGAACACTGGGGAGCTGCACCGAACATTTGAGGGATAGCACCTGTCACTGCTGTTCAGGCAGCCTTTAAGTGTTTCCCTTCATAATGGTATTTTCATTAAAATGCACCTATACAAAAGGAGAAAACACCAGCAATGTTCCAGGTCCGTGTAAACAGCACTGTTTATTCAGAGTGTGAATCCCAGAGCTCCTTCCAGGTCTTCCAGGGATGGGTTTCACACCCCCACTCCCCACCCTTGACCTTGAAAGGGCCAAGGACACCAGGCAGCTGAGAACCGGCCCCAGCCCCAGGCACCAATCCCCTCAGCTGCCCACCCCACAAGGCCGCAGCTCCAGAGGCTGTGACCTTCCTGGGGAGGAGAGGTCTGAGGTCAAGATGAAAATAACTGAGCAGAGGCCTCCAGAGCCACACCAGCACCCCGGTCCGGAGGGCAAGGCGGGCGAGAGTTGCCCTGGGTACCCAGGCAGCACGTCTGAGCCCTGCCACCTTCCTGGCAGAACTCAAGTCCCCATAGCCAGCCTCTGGCAAAGCAGATGGTGGACAGGTGAGCTGGAGACAGGAGCAGGGTGAGCCGAGGGCTGGGCCTCAGGAATGCCAGCCCTGCAGATGCGCCATTGAAAGGTGGAAACCTCTGCAGTGGGCAAGTTGGCCCCAGCCACAGGGAGACCCCCAGAACGACCTGTGTGGGTCCTTATCAGGCAAGCTGGTTGGGGAGCAGTGCATCCGAGATGGCTCTGAGGGTCCAACTGCATCCTGTCCTGGCTGCTCCACAGCATCCTGAGGGACACTCGGCCCATCAGCAACCAGGCCAGCTGCTGGGAGGCCCACTCGGCACCATCTGGCTCAGGCTCCTGTACCCAGGCCACAGTGGGCGATGGGTAAGTGAAGGGGTGGGGTCGGTGGCTGCCAGCAGGAGGCCATGGGGTCCTGGGAGCCACCAGCTGAGGACAAGGAGACCAGCCAGGCCCACATGGTCACTTGTTTAAGAAGGCAAAGGCTGACAACTCTGGGCCTGCAGGCTGTGTGGCTGCCGCCCTCTGGGCCCATGTCCCAGGGCCGTGGGGGGCCGGGTTGGGCTCCTCTGCTGTAGCCTGAACCCCCACCAGGTGGGAGCAGGCGACCAGCTCCATGCCAGCAAACAAGGAGTCGTGGCTCCATGGGAAGTGGCCAGGGCCTCTCTCTGGGGTGTCCGTGTCCCCCAAGCCCTGCTCAGGCCATGCCCCCCGCTCTCTGGAAGCTGCTGGGAGGGTCTCAGCCTTGCTGGCATGTCCAGGGGTTGGGAGGGGGCTGGTGTCTGCAGCTGGGGAAGGGGCAGGGCTGCCTGACAAGACTGGGATGGAGCTCAGAGGCTGGAGGATGACCTGGCCCCCAGGGGGAGGCCTGGGGTCTGACAGCAAGTCTGACGGCCCCACAAGGGTGGATGTGGGGCCGGGCTCGGCACGGGGCCTTGGGGCTGGGAGCCGATGTCCACAGGAGGCTTCGAAGTGCCTCAGGATCTGGAAGGAAAGAGGAGGCGGTGAGGGCTTGTGTGCAGCTCCTGGGGTCACAGTCTGAGGGTGCCTTCTCCAAGTCCCTCCTCAGTCCACTGCCCAGAGGCAGGGCCAGTGTGGGGAGGCCGTGGTCACTTGCTGCTGGCCTTGTAATGTCAAAACATCGAGACACACAGCATGTGTCATTTCTGCACAGACACATGGCCCTGTTCGCCCGGGAGCAAGGGAGCTAGTTTTCAGCAGCCACAGAGAAAACGGGAAGAAAGCTGGGGGCGCTACCAGGCGGTGGAGAGGCCCCCAGGCACTCAGAGTGGCTCAGGAAGTAGACACAGACAAAAGCAAAGGCTTCTGCTCGCCTGGAGCTGGTCCAGGTGAAGGCAGCAGTGGGGTCCCTGGCGGAGGCTGTGAGCCCAGGCAAGGGAGAGGGAGGGGAGCAGGCAGCACTGGGTGGAGTGGGCTCTTGGGTTCCAGGAGCTGGACAACCCTCAGCTGGCACCGCCCACTGGGCAGGGCTGGGGAAGTCTAAACACAGGCTGCCCATGGCAGTGGGGACAGCTGAGGCTGCCCATGGCTCCCTAGGGCCCGGTGCACCTGTGGCTCCAACTGCTGCCCACCTTGGTGGCCTTGCTGGTCACAGGCCCGGGGCTACCCCTGCTGAGCTCCTGCAGCCGCTGCCGGGAGAGGAGGAGGATGTGCTCCTGGGGAAGGAGGTCGGCAGAACCGAGGGAGGAGATGGCGCCCAGGGCCCTCTGCAGGCATGGGAGGGACAGGTCAGCCGCCTACACCACTCCATGCCTTTGGGGCAGCGAGGCCTGCAGGGGCCCCTCTGCTGACCGCTCCTCCTCAGCTCCTGCGGACCTGGTACAGGGAGGGGCTCGGGCGGCTCCTCCAGACCTTCCTCACCCACTCCCTTCCTTGCTCCCAGCCCCACCCCGAGTTGGCAAGGGACAGCCACCCGCCACGTTGCCTATGGGTGCCCTCCACTGGCGCCCGCCCGCCCTCACCATTTGCTCGTGTTCACTGGCTGTGCCCAGCTGGGAAAGGAGCAGCTCCAGCACAGCCTCGCAGTTGAGCAGCCCGCACCTGCCGAAGGAAGGAATTGGGGGCGGTCATGGTGTCCCCTCTCCCCACAGGGCGGGTAGGACCAGTGGCCACTCACTCTTTTTTTGCGGGGGGGGGGGTGCTGGGGATTGAACTCGGGGTCTTGAGCTTACCAGGAAGGCGCCTGAATCACTGAGCTAAATCCCCAGCTCCGCCACTCACTCCTTTATGAAGTGCTGAGCCTCCTCACGGCTCAGGAAGGCACGGGGCCCCTGCGTCACAGTCCTCACCAGGCTCAGCTCCTGCTGGCAGTCACTCAGGGACATGGCTTCGGCCCTGACGAGGGTACAGCTGGGTCAGGGCAGCTCTGTCCTTGGTGGAGGGCTAGGGCCGGGCCTCCTCCCTCCCTGCGCTGGGTGGGCCTAGGGGCAGAAGCCAGCTGGAAGGCCCTCCTAGGGGGCAGGCCACATGGCCTGACACTGGCAGCTCCACTCACCTTTCTGCCAGGTCACCCGGCTCCTGGCTGGCCCCTGAGTAGCTGTCACTGCCTGACCGACTGCCCGAGTCTGAGGCCCGGCTCGGATCACTGTTCCGGGACGAGCTGTGGGAGCCAGGGCTGCTGTCCAGCTCATCCCAGCCCCCTCCAGCCTGCCCTGGCTGGTGTCTCACAGCTGGAAGAGACAGGGATGGCAGCTGAAATGCTCAGCAGCTTCCGATCAGCCCCACACCTGCCTCCCCAGGCCCTCTGTGACCTGAGCTGAGGACGGGGCAGCTGCCTGGGTAGCAGCTCCAGAAAACTTCAGGCAGGTGAACCCCACCCAACAGGCATTCCACTTCCCTGCTCTACCCCTCATCTCCACCTGCCTGAGCTGTTGGCGCCTTCTCCCCTGTGGTCATTTGCCTACAAGCCCTTAAAGCCCAGGGTCCCAGCAAGTGACAGGAGAGTGACCCAGAGCCCCCAATACCTCGAGCACCTGGGATGGCCCCAGGGAGCAGGTTCCCAGGGGCAGGGTGGCTGCCCAAAGGTGTCATCGAAGGCTGGTAGGTGTCACCCTGTGGCAGAGGCCTCTGGTTCCGGGAATTCTCAGCCCCGGGGTGCACGGCATTAACCACTGCCTCTGCAGCCCTCTGGATGGTGGATAGGAAGGCTCCACCTGAGGAGCCTGTGCCCAGGAGAAGGGGCATGGTGTTGACACTCGCACCTGCCCCGATGCTCAGGGCTGGGGACAGGGATGCACGCTGCACGTACAGAGCAGAGGCCTACTGGCAGGGGGTATCCCAAGTGGCTGTCCTTCCTTAAGGGGTACTAGTCCCAGCACTGGGAAGGGGCTGCCCTTGCCAGTGTGAGCTCCCTACAGAAGGTCCCTCCAGACTAAAGTGAGAGCCGGGGCCCCAGAGCCAGGACAAAGTTGATCTGTGACAGGGTCTAACAGCAAACAGCTGGCCACAGCCTGAGGTCCAGTCCCAGGGGACTCTGAAGTGGCTCTGTCCCTGTTATAGGCCACTTTGCACACCTCCAACAGGAAGGCTTCACTTGTCCTAAGGACACAGATACCGGAATGTGCCACCCCTGATTACAGCTCCAACATGGGACCTTGAGTTCCTGTTCTGGCTGGGACCACCACCTTTGGCCCCTCAAAGTAGGATTGAGCCCCCACTCTGGCCGACCCTGACTTCCACCAAGCAGACCTGGCCACCCCTGTGCTGCCCTCCTCTTAGAAGGGCAGAGGAGTTGGTGGTGGGGAGTATACCACTGTGAGCAGTGAGGCCTGCTCTGACTGCCCTGGTCTCCCTGCACCCCCAGATGCTGGGTCCACAGGATCCCCCTTACCTGCATGGCCCCGCTCCTGGCTGTAACCGAAACCCTGGAGTACGCTGAGAGGCCTGGACTGGGAGCCCATGCCTAGGAGGACCTGGGCTTCAGCAGAGTCCACTCACCCTGGCCACACCCACACAAGCATCTGACCCTGCCCACACAAACCCACCCACCCAACGGCCCGTACGTGCACTAAGCCCAGGACTGGAGGGCAGGGAGAAATGAGATGGCACTGAGCAGTACCAGAACTTCCTACCTGTGAGAGGCAGGGTCCTGGCAGGCCGGGAGGGAGGCAGTGGTGCAGCGTCAGAGAACAAGGTACTGCCCAGGTCCTGAGGGAAGAGGCAGGGCTCACTGAGCTACAGGCTGCTTTCTTGGCTCCTGCCCTGTCACTTAGCTCCATCCCAAATGTGCCGGGAGCCTCCCAGCCAGACACAGGAGCTGTGGGCCAGCAGCAGTGGGAGAACGGCAGATATTCTGCCGACACCTCAGCAAGCCTGGGGACCCTGGGAGGGACTGGGGCTGGGGCTCACCTGGGCAGCTGCTCGAACCTTCTGGTACAAGCTGTTCCCGTGCAGAGGGTCTGGGGGTCCTACAAAAACTGCAGGGCAGGGAAGGCAGAAGGAGGCAGGCTGAGCTGGCCACCCCAGAGAGCACCCCTTTACCTTTCTTTGCAGGTCCAGACCAACCAATATCCTCCTCCCTACCATCCAAGGCCCTTGGCTTCCCCTTGGTGCTGCTACCTGTGGCTTCCTGGATGAGAGCAGAGTTTCGTCTGAGGATGAGCAGGAAGGAGGAGGAGCCATGGCTGCACAGGTAGAGCAAAATCTTCAGCACCTGGGGAATCACCGGGTATGTGGGGCTGGTAGGACCCTACACAGGATGCTCAGGCCAGGGCCCGGCCACCCACCACTGGGCCATGTACCCCCCACCCCAACCAGCAGCCAGGCTAGGACTCACCTTGAGCTTCACATGGCCAGAGCTGCTGTCCAGGCGGTTCAGGAGGTATTCCAGTAAGCACTGGCTGCTGCCCACCGACTCATGGGAGATTTCTGGGATGCACTCGGGTTAGGAAAGGAGCAAGCTGATGCAGGCCACAGCAGGGTGTGCTGGTGAGGAGAGAGCCCGCTCTCCTGTGTTATCCACCTCCTTAGCTCACACTCCTTGCAGATACCTACCACAGGCCAGGTTTCAGGAGCACTGGAGCTTCTAGGGTCTCCTGGGCCCCAGGTCTTTTCATTTACTTTCCTCAAAGCACGAGAAGTCCCAATTTGCCCACTGTCCTCAGACCAGAGGGGCAGCTGGGCTGCATCCAAGGGGCCTAATGGTATCCCAGCTTCCAGACCCCAGCCACCCCAGGTTACTGTGATAAAGGGATCATGTGTGCCCACAGCAGGGCAGAACCTCCAGTAATCCCGGGTGCTGCACCAGGGCCCCTGCCATCCACTCTGTCCACACGGGGGATGTCAAGGAAGGATACTAGCAATCTCTTCAAACAGGTACCCTGGACATGGGACATCATCGTCTGAGGTTCCCTTCAGGAGAATTGGGAGCTGAAAGGGAAAAAGAGCCCTAAGCATTCACCTTCTATAAGAAGGTGAGATTGCAGCCACCAAAGGTCGTAGGAGAAGGCCTTGCTCTCACTGATGACATGCCGGCCTGGGGTAGGACCTGAAAGGGACAAGAATCGTTCTAATGGCCATAGGAGACCTGAAGGAGGGTCTCCTCTGCATGGTCAGGGATATGTGGCCCCAGGGGAGAGGAACATCAATGCTGGTCCTCTATCCAGACAAGATGAGGCACAGCCCCATCCTTCTACATTTATCAGTAAGACTATTTGAAGGTACTTTTAATATACATACTTACTGACTAGCAGAAGAAAAAGTTCAGGGCTGTGACACCAGCTCTCCTGAACACTGATGGGCAGAATCAGAACTCAGCTCAATTAACTCCAAAGCTCCTTAAGAACAATCAAGCTGTGGGCTTTTGTTCACACATCAGTACAGACTGTTTGCTTATGTTACCTGCTTGTCAGGAAAAGATAACATTTATGGGGTTGAAAAATGGAAACGCCTATTCAATACCTGGACTGTGGAGGGGTTCAAGGCTATTTACAATGACAAGTATGGGGACCACGTCAGGTCCTAAAGCAGAGAATACAGTCTGAACGCCAGGCACCTACAGTCATGAACACAGGTAAAACGTGCACCACGTGGGTATTCCGGGAGGCTGTGGGCACACGCCACTCCGACACACCGCCTATCTGCCCACCACACCATGAAGGGGGCCTGAAGGGAGGGCATAAGGACTCCGCCAGAGCCCTGCCTAGGACTGCAGACCTGCTGTACCACCTGCCTGGGACCGTCCAGGGCCTGAGACTTCAGCCTCAGAAGTCAGAGAGCTGTCAAAGGACTTTACGATTTGTTGTGACCAGCAGCTGGCAAAAGGCCCTGACCCCTCTCTTGGAGATCTACTAAGACGGGCCTGCCGCGGCCTCTGTTCCAAGGTGTCTTCGTCTCCTACACGAGGTGTCCCTGTGCCCTGTACCGCGTTCTCCCGCGGTCGGAGTGGGCTCGCCTTTCTCTGGCGCTGCTGAACCGTCCCCGCCGCTCCAGTGAGGTACCGGGACGCCCGGAAGTCGGCGAACCGGGCTGGCCTCACTCACCCGGTTCAGGAAGCTCAGGCGGTCCCGCAGCGGCGGCGGGGCCGCCATGGTCCAGATGACCTCCCGGCCTGCCCCGCTTCCGCCAGGCGCGTACTCTCCAATCACCACGCGACTCTGGCTCCAACAGCCAATCGCTAGTGGCAGGCGGGCCCTGAGGTCGGCTTCGTGAACAATTTGCACTTGAACCAATCCGACGTCCGAAGGTAGAGACAGACAAGGATAAAAACCAATTGTAGGGATTGAGGCCAGGAAATGCTAGTCAACGAGGAAGAATAGGAAGGATGATGGGCGGAAGCGCAGACTGGCCAAGCAATGAACGCCGGAAGAGGGGGCCCCTAAAATGGCGGCCTCCACGCGTGCCAGGAGGATCCTCTCATGTCAGCGAACGGAGCGGTGTGGCGGCGCGTGCGGAGCCGCTTCCGCGCTTTCCCGGAGCGCCTGGCGGCCTGCGAGGCCGAGGTAAGGAGCCGAGAGCGGGGCCATGTCTGCAGGGTAGGAAAGACTGGTGGGGCCTGTGGCCAGGCGAGAGGTGGCAGGAGAGCAGGCGAAGGCCACCGTCAGGCTCCCGTGACCGCGCCCGTCCCCTCGCAGGCTGGGGCGTACGGCAGGTGCGTGCAGGCTTCCACCGCCCCGGGCGGCCGCCTGAGCAAGGACCTTTGTGCACGGGAGTTCGAGGCCCTGCGGAGCTGCTTCGTCGCTGCGGTAGGTGGGGGCTGCCCCCTCCCCTGCCCTTCCCGAGAGTCGTCCCTCTCCTGCCTTTCCTTTCCCCCGGCTCAGGTTGTAAGGGCTGCCCTGACCCGGCAGACAGGCTAGTCTCTGCGTTTGTAAATCGAGGATCCCGCCAACCTCAAGAAGGCCCAGCAGTGATGCAGCGGGAAGCGCTCCTGAACTTTGGTACTGTCGCCAAGGGCGGGACCCAGACTCTGGACTCAGCAAGGCCCACCGCGGCCCGTTTCTACCCTGCGTAACTGCCTAATGGGGGCCCCGCACCTGCTGTAGCTCCTGACCTGCCGGACACGCCCTTTCATAGAGGAGGAAAGGGAATTCGTAGATTCTACAAAGAATCTACAAAGAAACGTAGCAGGTTCTCATGGAAGCACCTTGGTCCCTGATTCGTTCTACCTCTGACCCATCCACCATCCAGTCCTTTGTGTTTCTTAGTCATGGTATTGTCAAGGTCTTTGTCTGACGGGTTGCACCACCGATGAAAACGGCATACTGCTTGTGCAAATGGCCACATACTGTGAAGGAGGAAGACTTGCGTAAAGGCCCTCGAGAAAGTAGGGTTCTTGCAGGCTGGGGAGATGGCCATTATGAATGTTCCAGAACAGGACCAGCAAGGTGTCCCTGCCTATGGGGCTTTAACCACAAGGGTCTCGGGCTGTCATTCTGAAGCTGGTTCCCAGTGTCAGCATCACTGGGCCCCACCTGGAGCACCCTGATTCTGTGGGGTGCGTTTCCAGGGAGCTGCTAATGAGAGCTGGACTGGGGAAGGGTAGTTGGACAAGAAGTAACAGAAGACTGTGACTGAAGCAGTTTCTTGGTGCTCTGGGATTGTCCTAAGCAGAATGGCAGAGTATGTGGTACGTGTATTTCTTTCAGTCTTGTACTCATTTTCTGGAAGGCTGGGAGAACTCATGCCTGCCTTGTGGTTGTTGTGGCCCATCCTCCCACCCAGAGGTGGGTCCCTCATCAGAAGCAGCACTATTTTGGTCCTTCTGACTCGGTTTCTGACTTTCAGGAGCTTCCCAACTTGCCAGCTCTCTGTGAGGGGAAAGGTGGACAGGTCTTCACTCTGAGCAGCTCTCAGGAGATCAGTGATACGATACACCTGGGTTCTCTTTACCACACACCCTTTCTGTGGCCAGGCACGAGTTAACTATTAGGTATCTGGCCATCCGTGACCCCAACCCCCTTACACTCTTTTGCCTGGATCAAAGACCTTCAGGAGCCACTACCCAGGGGTCAGGGGGACCAGTCTCCATCATTAGATGGACTGAGCTCAGCTGGGACCCCCAAGACACCCTCTCGATGAGGAGCCTCTCCTCCCCGTGACTCAGGGTGCTCCTGGGGTGCTACCTGAGGAGGTGGTCCGGGCTCTGTGCTTCATCCCATGAGCCCTGTCTGCTGGGCAGACACCTCCAGTCTCCTCTGAGAGAAGAGGCTCCATTGCCCTTGGCAACAGCATGGGACCCAGTGGGTCTCAGAGACACCCAGCCTTGGGGCCTCCTGAGCTCCAGGCAGCCTGGTCCCCTGCCACACACCAGCACTCAAGTTGTGTGTAAGGTGTTTGGTAGAACATGGTATTTAGTGTGGTAGATTTCTTGTTTTTGAGCAATACCTAACTTAGAAATAAGCAATTCAGACAGAATGCTTTGTTTTTCAGGCCAAGAAGAGCCTGAAGGGAGGCTCCTAGGGAGGACCCTGGGCTCTGGCCCCTGCATCTACCACTGCCGTGGGCACAGACCCCACATGTGGATGGTGCCCAGGACCGCTCTCCGGGCAGAAGGAAGTGGGAGCAGCCAAGTTCTCGGTGTCCCAGTGTGTTTTCCTCGTCAGGCTGGACCTTGGGCAAGACAGGAATTTGTTTTCAGCTCTGCGTGCAGAAGGATCTGAGTTAGATTCAGATGTAACCAAATCAGCAATAAAGACTATTACATCTTGCATGGTTTTGTGTTTATCGTACACTGGCTGTGTTGTGGGGACCTGGTCTCTCCCAGGAACAAGGGGTCCTAGCCACCCCCACCCCCAAAAAAGCTGGTGAGTCTGGGCTGTGAACTCTGCCACAACATCCCTACTTAAAGACATTCTCACCAAAAATATTTAATCTGCGGCCAGGGACTTAGCTCAGTGGTTCCGCCGCCTGGCGCAAGGTCCCAACTTCCATCCTTGGTACCAAAAAAAAAAAATTTAACCTAAATCTTGTGAAGCCATTAGACCAAAAGGCCCATGACCAGGACACACCAAAGAGAAAAGCCCAGCAATACTGAGGGGAAACCCCATACCACAGGGACCCTCTGCAGAGGACTGTCCTTCCCAACCCACCTGAGCCTCTTGACGGCACCTGCCACCTTGCTGGCTGGGGCTTCTTCCCGAAGACTTAAATTATTTTTTAAAAATATTTTTGAGACAAGGTCTCGCTGTAGAGTTGAGGCTGGCCTTGAGCTCACTCTGTACCCCAGGCTGGCCTCACACTTATGATCCTCCTGCCTCAGCCTCCCTAGTGCTGGGATCACAGGTGTGTGCCGCTATGCCCAGCTTCCCTGAAGATGCCCAATCTGGTCCCGTGGGACTCCCTGTGGGAGCCCTCCAGACTGGGCAGGTGCTGCCTCCTGCTGTCCCCTGATACCCGCCTCTGTGGTGACAGATGGGGCCACCACTTCTCATGGCCCACGTGGCCCAGGCCGCCAAACTCAGCTCTCAGGCTTCCTGGACCCCACTCTGCATGGCCCCATCACCCCAAATTTCTCTCAAACCTCCCTCAGCCTTGGCTCCTGCCCACCTGTCTCAGGCCTCCCCCAGACTCACTGGGTGCCCAGGTCTGGGGTTCTGCTGAGGACTCGGCTGTCAGTGTGTAGCAGAGATGGCTTTTGTTCCATAGCCATGTCTCTGTGCTCAGCTCTGCTTCGGTCCTTTGCGCCTCGGAGACATCGGGGAGCTGGGAAGTCAGGGATGGAGCGTGGCTGGCGCTGTTGTCCGGCAGGGCCTGGGGCCATCTCCTCACTTGGCAGAAAGTAAGGGTGCGTACAACCTTGACACCCAGCACCGCGGGGGCCTCACGGGGCCTACACACCCTGCAAAACAGGCCCACTTCCCCATTCTCTCCCACAGCGGCCTGGCCCGGCCCCTGAATCTTGCAGGGGCCACATTCGACCGTAGCTGCTATAAATGTCAGCTCCTGTTAAGACCTCATGGCTAGCCGGGGATTTAGCTCAGTGGTTTCACTGCCTGCTGCACAAGCACAAGGACCGGAGTTCAATCCCCAGTACCAAAAAAAAAAAAAAAAAAAAAGACCTCATGGCTGAAGGCCAAGCCCACCAGCCACCTCATGGCTCTCGTCAGGCACACTCCACCCCTGTGGAGCATGTGCTGCTGACTGGCCGAACTGCGGCTGCTCTAGAAAGGGGCCCCGGAGGCAGGAACCATACCCCAGGGGTCTCTGGGGTGGGCCGGACCCTGTGTCTGACCTGGATGGTGGTGCGGCCGGGGTGCTGCCCAGGAAGCAGAGGCCCCAGATTTCTAGGGGAGACCTCTCTCCTCCCCATGGGGCTGCTGCCCAGGAGGGCCAGGAAAAGGAGTCCTGAGGGCGGCCAGGGCAGGGTGCAGAGGCAGGGCCACTCATGTGTGCCTGCTGCCTACTCCCAGGTCATAGGTTACCTGGCAGAACAGAAACTGAAACCAGCTCCGGGATTCAGGAGCATCAAGCAGAGACCCCACTCCTGGCAATGTAACAGGTGAGTTCTGAGCAGAGCGCTGTCCAGAGGTATTACCACCAAGTGATGGTTTCTTTTGTCAAAAAGAAAGGATGCAGCCAGGTGTGGTGCACACCTATAATCTCAGCACTCTGGAGGCTGACGAAGGAGGATCACAAGTTTCAGCCTAGCCTGGGCAACTTAGTGAGAGTCTCAAAATAATTTTTTTTTGTACTGGGGATTGAACTCGGGTCCTTGCGCTTACGAGACAGGCGGCGGAACCACTGAGCTAAATCCCCAGCCCTCAAAATAATTTTTTAAAAAAGGCCGAGGACATAGCTTAGTACAAAGGCCCTGGGTTCGATCCTCAATATTGAAAAAAAAAAAAAAAAAGGGCTGGGGATATAGCTCAGCAGCACAGCACCTGCCTGGCAAGCAGGAGGTCCTGAGTTCGATTTTGAGTACCAAAAAAGAGACCTGAGACCCAGGCCCCTTTGCTGGGTGTATCCCTCCTGTGAGCAGAGCCCTGGCCCGTGCAGCAGGAATCAGGACTCCGCTCACGGAAGTTCCCGCTCCTTTCAGTCGCTGTCTACTCTTCAGGACATGGAATGACAGGTTTGAGGAAACTCTAAGAAAACCCAAAAAGATTTTGTCAGGTCCAGGGAGAGTACACCAGGGCATGGGCCAGGGCTCCCTGAAGCGTTCACAAATGTGTCCTCCCATGGCCTTTGTGCCAGGACTGGGCACAAGCCGGGCTCTCATGCGCTTGCCCTGTATTTCTCAAGCCCTCTGGGCCGGGCCTCTCAAAAGCAGAACTCCAGCCATGGCTGCTCTGGGCAGCACGGGAAGGGGAGGCTGGCCCAAGAGGTGGCCCTGCCTCTGCTAGGAGCCCATGCGGATGCGGGACAGGCAGCGCCTGAGTAGGAGTTGCCGCCACTCCACCAGTTGCGACGTGCATGACGCCTGCCCGGCCACAGGTCAGGCCAGCCCCAGGCACCGGTGGCCTGGAGGTCCCCCGGGCACGCCCACCTGGCCTGCAAGCCCAGCGGCATCTGGTTTGGGGCGCTGTTCCCCCTGTGTCTCTCAGTGCTGCTGTCTAGAATCCCAAACTCGTTTTCCTTTAGGAATTGACTCATCACCAACTTGACTGGTCAGTCAGGTTTTTATTTATTTTTTACCTCAGTAATTTGATTTCAAAGAGCAGACCCCGGGGTGTGCAGGGCACTGATGCGGGTACCAAGGCCCTGAGGAGGGGCACAGTGCCGTGGGACACTGGCAGCCGGGACTGTCCTGGTGAGTGGAGGTTCTCAGAGCCCAGTGGTGGCCCAGCCCTGGCGATGTCAAAGGTGCCGCAGGCAGGACACAGCTCTCCTCAGCTACGAGTCGGGCCTCAGTGCCACCTCACTCAGAGCCACTTGTGGGACACACGAGCACAGCAGGTGCAGAGACGAGTACTTGGTGAGGGTCTCAGACACAGCCCTGGGGCTCAGCAAGCTTGAGGTCCAGGTTCAGCCAGGCCGGGGCCGGGAGGCCAACTGCTCAGGGGTGCTCAGGCCTCCTCAGGAGGCCCGGGCAGCTGCTTGATCTGCCGGCTGTGAACCACCTGCAGTGCGTTTCCAGCGGCCTGGCGGAGCTGGGTGTCCAGGGCGCTGCGAAGGTCATTGGCCGGGATGTCCAGGAGGGGGTTAAAGCTGATGATGACCCCATCCTTTGGGGACGGGTCCCCCTCTCCATGAAGGGCGAGATCCCGCCGCCGCCTCCGAAGGTCGGAGCCAGCTTGCAGTTTCAGGTCTCGGTTGGGCTTGGCCTTGTCCGGCCTCTGAGCCTCGGGGACAGTGAGTCTGGGCCCGGGCTCAGGGCCTGACCTCTGCCTGGGCTCCTGGCCGGCAGCATCCTGCCCAGCTCCTGGCTGCCGGGTAGGGGTGGGTGCGTGGTTTCCTCCAGGTGACTCCTGCCCTGCTTCCAGGTGACCACCCTGGCCCCCATCAGAGACGGCCCGGGGCTCAGGCTGATCCAGTGCAGCCTGGGGCTGAGGGGCCATGACTGCTGGCCGGCCCGACGGGCCCACAGCAGGTCCTGGGTCTGCCTGCCTGGCTTTCACAAGGGCGTCCCCAGGCTCCGCGCCTGCCCCTGCCATGGGCCTGGCAGCCTCATTCTGAGCGTTGGCTCCAAGGGCCACTACTTTCTTTCCAGTTTGCTTCCTTTCCTGGGAAGCTCTGCCAAAAACATCCTGGCTCTCTCTGGGGACCTCCTCAGCAAGCCGCTTCTCGGGGCTCCCAGGGGCCCCTGTGGGGTCAGACTTGGGCACGGGCTTCACAGCCTTGGGTGCCTCAGGCACAGCGCCCTTCTGGTCTTTGCTCAGCTTGGCCTGGGCTGCCCAGGGCTCTGTGTCAGAGACACCACCAGGAGGACCAGCTGGGTCTCTTTCCACAGCCTGCCTGGGCTTCTCCGGGGAGTGCTGGCCCAGCTCTTGGGGTGGGGCAGGCCGGTCCCCAGGAGCTCCGGGCACAGGCCCCACAGGCTTCGGAGGGCCATTCTCCACCATCTCCCCAGCATGCCTGTCTCGAGCTTCCTGCTCCTGACCTCTGGGCACAGCCACCCCGGGCTCTGGCTGCATGTCTCCTGTAAGCGAAGTTGGTACTCAGCTTAGCCACAGGAATGGGCATAAGCTGCTAATGCAGGGACTGAACAAACAAATGTGCAAGCAGTTTAGAATTAAGAATCGGGCCAGGGATTTAGCTCAGTGGTTTTGCTGCCTGCTGCGCAAGCACAAGGACCCAAGTTTGATCCCCGGTACCAAAAAAAAAAAAAAAATAGAATTAAGAATCAAAACCTGAACTCACCCTGTAGGACTTGAGGCCACCAAGCCTCAGATCCAGCCCGCAGGGACACCCGGAGACACCCTCACGTCACCGGACCCAGCTCCGTCACCTCCCTAGGCAGGGCCCACCGCCAGCTCTACCCTGTCCTGCCCAGCTCTGCCCAGCTCTGCCCACGGCCCCACCTACCCTGCCTGGACTTGTCCTCCTCGTCCTCCTGCCGCTGCTGGTGGATCTCCTTGTGCTGCTCCTCAATCACAGCCAGCAGCTTCTCCTGCTGGTCCAGCAGCCGCTTCTGCTGCACCTGCTGCTCTTTGATCACCTGCAGCAGGACGGCGTGGTCCAGCATCTCAGCCCGGCCAGCTTCTGCTAGGGACACACAGAGTCAGGGCGCTCGGCTGCCTGCACAGAGCAGCAGTGAGGACACAGCCCATGCCGGCAATGCTGTCTTCAGTTGTAACCACACAGGGAGGCGGTCAGTAGAGTCCCCAGCTGGGGCCGGTCTCCCACCCCCCTACCCTCTCGGGTGGCTGCCCTGCCTGCTTCCGCTCTCCCACTGTGCTGCTGTGCTGCTGTGCTTCAGGCTGGCGGCCCAGCTCCCTGCCTTGTGCTGACTGAACACACACGTCCAGAGAAAGCAGTAGAGGGAACATGCTAGCACACTGGTCACAGCTATCTGGGCTGGGTAATTTCCCCCATCTCATAAGTTCAGTTGTTCTACAACAAACATTAAGAAAATAAAACTAGAAGCTATTATTTGGGAAAAGAATATTCATGCTTTACGAAAGTTTGCTCTGGGCCGGCTGTGGTGGTGAACACCTATAGTACCAATTTACTCAGGAGGCCGAGGCAGGAAGAGAGGGAGTGTAGGGCCAGCTGGGCAACAAAGATAGGAAAGGAAAAAAGGTAAACAGAGAAGGGCAGGGGAGGGGAGGAGGGGAAATTTCCTCTAACTCGAGAATTTAAGAAACAAAAATGATGCTCCTTTTCCCTTTTCCCTCACAGTACTGGGGCTGGCCCAAGGCCTAGAGCACAAAGGCTGGGACACCAGGGAGGCTCACAGCTGTCAGCACACAAGTGCTGACGGGTGGATCCTGACCACCCACCAGGTACCGGCAAGCCCAGTGGGAGGGGAGACACACACCGGGCACCACAGACCAGTGTGGGGAAGAGGGAGCCCTTCCACGCTGCTCACACCTGCTGTGTCTTCCTCAGACAGAGCACAGGGCGGGAGTGGCCTGGAGTCTCAGCCCAGGTGCAGAGGATACAAGCTTTTACTACCGTCTCAGCCGCAGCCACAGCGTACGAATTCTCATGGCCCTGTTATAAACTGGGAGTCTGAAGGATGACGGCTAGGGCTGCCAGGTGTGTGGGTTCAAGTCGGAGGAAGAAGAGTGTCTGCAAGTAGTCAAAGTGAGGGTCCCAGCAAGGGCGCCGTGTGCCAGGGACAGGCCACGGGTGGCCAGAGTGCCCCAGGTTGGCATCTGCCCATGCCGGAGGCAGTGGACCAAGGAGAGGGCGCTGCAGCTGGCTGTCTGGAGGAAGGGCAGCTGCTCCCTGCTGATGCCCAAGGTTATCCAGACCCCTGCTGGGGAAAGGCTGCTTGGTTGGGACAACTCCACGTACTCCCCTGGGGACAGGAGCTTGGGGTGCTGACCCCACAGGCGCACACCAGCTGCCTCAGCCATGGCCCCTTCACCCCACTGTCCTTGAGCTGTGACCATGAAATCATCCATGGTACAGAGATGGCCCCCTCCCAGCCTCCAGGGTGCAGATCCGAGAGCAGACCCCTGCCCCACCGGCTCCTCCTCAGGGGACTAGCTAGACCTGGACAGTATCAGGAAGGGCGAGCAGGAGAGGCACCATGTCCAGCTGGAAGCCACACGGGACAGATGAGAAAGTGTGGGGTGACAGTCTGCCGGGCCACTGGCAGGCACACAGATGGGATGGACGAGCACAGGCCATGCACACACAGTGGGTGCACGCAGGCCCACCCTGCCTCTGACTCAGTGGTACTGAAAGCATCCCTGCTGACAGACACTGCCGCTGTCCTCTGAGGACAACACAGCTTTGGGGCCGAGAGGAACAGGCATCTGCAAAGGGAGGAGCCCCAACTGGCTACAGGGTCCCTGAGGTGGGCGTGCGGGCCAGGGGCTGGGGCGACCGCAGACCTCCAGAAGCGACTTCTCATCTCAGCACACTCCCTTCGAGCCATACCTGCTACTATCTTTTTAATTTCAGCTGCTCATCCCGTTGAGAGGCATACGGAAGAAAGGCAGAATAGGAAACCGTGAAAAGTCTCTTTTTCAGAAAGAAAAAAAATCAAACAGGTTTAGGTAACAGAATACAGGAATTAGAACCAATTAATAGACTACAACCAGAGACAACCAGATACACTAAGTGAAAGAGTTTTCCAGGAAACTTGTGAGCTCCAGAACCCTAACAGGTCCCTTAGGTTTGCCTTCCAGGGCTCTTGGGGGCAGGGGCTCGGGCTCCAGGCGCCATGCCTGGGGACAGGGTCCCGAGGCCATGGGCTCCCTGGGGGCAGGCCTGAGGAACAAAGGCGGCATCTCAAGGCCGTGGCAGGCCTCGGGCAGGAAAGTGCAGTGCAAGGAGTGGCATAAAAAGCCCAAACAGGCACAGGGGTCTGGCTTTGGGACATGGAGCAGCACGCGCTTCCGGCAGACAGGGGCCAGTGTGACTGCAGAGGGACAGCCGAGCTCCAGGGCTGGGGGCTCTGGCAGGGACCACTGCAGCCACATCCCCTAGACAGGCGCCAGGCAAGGCAAGGCCCAGCCTGGAAATAAAGTCTTCATATGTGGGTGTACTGATGTCCCACACCTGGCTGGCTTTAAACACCCTGAGTGTTGGCAGTATTAACATATCCACTTTCAGATGAAATAAAAATGCTAATTAAAAGCCATATGACAGAGCAACAGATTTTTTTTTAAAGGGAGATAAAAAATGTTCTTAAGGAGGTACCAGGGAGGAAGTCACTGGTGGGAGGCAGAAGGGGGTCTCTGAAGACGCCTATGTGCTGCCGAAGCGAGCACTTTTTTTTTGGTACTGGGGACTGAACTTGGCTCCTTAGGGTTGCAAGGCAGGCGGCGGAACCACTGAGCTAGACCCCCGGCCCGGGTCTCTCAAGATGTTTTGAGTAGGACAGGAGCAGACGTTGGGAGCGGGCCCTCCCTCCCCACCTCTCCCTGGCCAGGCTCACCCTCCAGCTTGCTGCCCGTCTGGTCTCCGCCCGGCCGCTCCGCTGCCTGCTCCGTGTCCCGTTGCTCCCGCTGCCCCGGCTGCTCCGGCTGCAGCCCAGCCCCAGCGGCTGGCCTCTGCCCCGGGAGGGGCAGCTTCCCACCTGCACACGGGGCACGGGAGGGGCGGGGGACAGAGGCGGCAGATGTTTCCTAAAATGACTCTCCGTTGCCGCCCCCCTCCCCCATCAGCAGTTTATACTCAACCTGATGATTACTGGGGAAGTAATAAAAAAATATTTAACAATCTCATAGGCTTGTGGCAGGGAGCCAATGCTAACTACCTTTGCCAATTAAAATGCAAGCCCCGTCCTAACCAGCTCTTAGACGGGCACTTAACAGTGTGCTACCTGTCAAGCGCTGCGGCGCCGTCCCCCGTGTGCGCCCAGACACACGAGAACAGCGTGGCACCTGACATTTAGTGGTCTGGGAAACAACTGTGTGACAGATATTATAGTAGCTGTCAAGCCACCAGACTCTTCGTTTTCCTCACCAGCTGCCGAAGGGGCTGTTACATTCACATGCTAATCTTGTGAACGGGGAGAGAGATGGGACACAAGAATAATCGACTCCTCCCGCCCCCAACACCGTGCCAGGGAGAAGGGCTTCCTTCCGTGGGCCCCAGGCCGACACTCACCAGGGCCGCTCTCCAGGACGTTCCCCGCATCCCCCGCAGCGTCACGCACGGCCTCCTCCCCTGCATCTGCCGCCCTGGGGTTCTTCTCTGCCAGGAGGGCCGCCTGGGGCCCTGGGTGCAGGTCTCTGCTGCCTGGCCCGGGGTCCTCCTTCTTCGGCTGGACAGCAGGCTGGCCATTTGCCTCTGGGACCTTCTGGAGGTCTTCAGGGAGGCCCCTCACGTCCCCTAAGGCCTCTGCCCTCTCCAGCTCCTCCTCTCTCTCTGGTTTGGGAGGTGGTGCCAGGCCCTCGCCCCCGGGAGCCCCTCGATCTGTGTGTCTGGAAGGCAGGTTGTTCTCTTCCGGTCCTTCTCGGTCTTGACCTTCATCCACCACCACCTTGTCGTGAGGGACGGGAGGCTCATGCCGGTGGGCCTCCCCCAGCGGGACAGCGAGACCTGGAAGGGCATGGGGACTGCTGGGGGCCGGGCTGAGGAGGGGAAACCCCACTTTCCTTCCCAGGCAACCTGAATTCTGGTTCTGGACCGTGTGACTTGGGTCAGCAAGTCCAGCTGAGGGCGGGCGCCACCTCTGAGTCCCGAGAGGCGTAGTGGGGTGGAGAGGATGAGGAAGGTGGAAGGCAGCGCCCGACACGGGCTGACGGGAGGCGCGCAGCCCCGAGCGTTCTCTGGAGCCCTCTCTGACCCCAGCACCACCCACCTTGCCCAGGGCGGTCCAGCTGTGCAACCTCCTGCCTCTCAGCAGCCTCTTCCCCAGCAGGCAGCTCCACGGGGCCCTTAATCTGGGCCCGCTCCAGCTCCTCCTTCTCCTCCGGCAGCTTCGGCTTCTCCCAGCCATCCTTGGCCACATCCACCACAAGGTCCTGGGCTGAAGCAAGGTGCCGTGAGCTGCCCACGCCTCCCCGCGGCCACCCAGGTCGCCATCATAGCTCCCAGCCAAATGGCAAAGCCCAGTCAGTCATTTTTTCCTGCTCAATCATTAGCGGCTAAGCAGCACAGAAAACTATCATATTTCATGTGTATTAACAACAAAAATGTGTCAAAATGCAGTTTACACTTAACTACGGTGCAGAAGACCATGCCATGTAATACTCAGCTGGGACCACCAGGTGGCAGCACAAGCCCACTAAAGAGCTGCATCTGCCGCAGGTCCCCCTTGCAAGGGCCCCAAGCCAGACACGCTCCTGAAAGGCTGCGAGCGAGAGCGGCTATAAGGGAAGGAACGCTGGAAACGTGCACTTGTGGTCCTGGCGACTTCTTACTCCTCATGTGGGAAACACACCAGAAAGATGAGAACAAGAGGGGCGCCTGCTTAAGCTAGCCACTCCTGGGAGCCGCGTGGCCCCATGGGAGCCACACAGCGCAGGGTCCCAGTTTAAAAAGACCACATGCTATGTGCTGGGCGAACACAGCAGAAACTGAAGAACTCTGGAAAGCAATCATGGCATCCCAGAAGCCCGAAGCAAACTCCACACCCCTTCCCCGGACTCTAGTTCCCCTGGAGGGGGAGGTAAAAGTATGAGTGGCCTGGGGAGGGCACTGGGGCCCTAGGACCCCAGGGAAGCTGGGTGGGGAGGGGTCACGCACAGCCCTGTCGGAACCGCAGTCTGACAACCTCCCGGAGAAGAATGTGGGAGCCACCTGGGCTTTGTGCAGGCCTGCAGCGCCTGCCCCGACCCTAGTCCAGGGAGGCAGAAGTGTGCACATAAGGGCCAGGCTTTGTCTATGTGCAGCCGAGGTTCCTAGGCAAACTGGAGGCCAGCGCCTGCTCACTGGTGACAGACAGCCCCACAGACAGCAGCCAGGCTCCACCGTGCAGCCAGCTGAGTGGCATGGACATGCTGGTGTCCGCCACTCAGTTACCTCCCTGCCAGAGGCCCCCGCCTCTGCAAGTAAGAAGGGGCCATAAATCAAGAGGGTCTTCCGGCCACGGCCACGGCAGAGATGAGACGGGGAGGGAGGCGGGACAACAAAACAAAGAGAAGCTCCACTCTCCACAAGACAGAGCTGCCTGAGCAGCAGCCTGGGCAGGAAACAAACCCAGTGCGGCACTGGGCAGGGAATGGCTGCGTCCCCTGGGTGTTGGGGGCTCAGTCGGGCGCTCAGGGAGCAGCACAGCACAGCTGGCAGCGAGCTCTGCACAGGACAGCGCAGTCACCCTAAAACACTTCTGGAAACCCTCCTGGGAGAGCTGCTAGGCTCCAGGGCACAGCCCAAGAGGCTGCAAAGGCTTCTTGGCTCACACCTCCCAGAAGCCGCCTTGGCCTGGCACCTTGCAGTTGCTGGCGGGCAGCAGCCATGGTCTTTTCATCAGGGACAGCTGGCTGGCAGTGCCTCCTGGCTGCAGCAACACTAACACAAAACTTCAAATCAGCAGCTAAGAAGACCCCGGTGCTCCGCCTGCTTCCAATCAAAGGCAGCCAGGTGTGCAAGCAGGCAAGTGCTGGGCGGCAGGGGCCCCAAGGTCTCGGCCAGGGCTCCGGAGAGCTCGGAGAGATGGGGTCCACTGCGGCTCTGCTCTGCCCTGTCTCCCTCACGCATCCTCAAAGCTGTCACCTCTGGTCACTGAACACCATGGCCTGCGCCAGAACCGGGGAAATTCCATCTTTATTCCGTGTTCTCACTGCTGGGCCGACAGCACAGGCTCTCGGCTCCTTCCACACACAGGAACGCTGCAGTGTTGCCGGTCTGGCCTTATTTCCCGTGGCCAGCAGGGGTCAGGGAGGCCGCAGCTCAGAGCCCCATCTCCACAGTCAGACACTTTTGGGGTAGCACATCGCACTTCCATCGCACTCCTCCAGGGGAAGAAGGAACATCACCTGTGGCCCTGACCACCACACTGGAGCTGGCAAGGCCGGGTGGCAGTGGGCCCGCTCTGGGCAGCTCCGCGGGGCACTAGCATCGCCTTCTGTCGCTGTATCTTGTGCTCAGTAAACATGGGAAGGGTCACCTCCAGCTGCCACCCCCATAAGCAGCAATGCTGGAACATGATTCCTGCATCCCACTGACAAGCTCCCACCAGCCAGCACTGAGAGCCCAGACTAGGGGTTGGGCCCCAAAGCTCCCTGCCCAGGAAGCAGGAGAAACCACTCTGCTGGTTTTCTAAAACCAGCCCCTGGGTTAGGTACCTTTCGTAATACACCTGGTTTCTGCCCTGAGGAAAGGATTACTCGTTAAGGGCTTGCTTTAAAAACCCGGTCAGCACTCAGCTGCAAGGCCTCACCAACTCATCTCTTGGAATGCAAGGATATCCCAACGGCTCGGCGAGAGACTCTGGTGCCCAGAGGGCCCAGGCAGCCCCATGGCCAGGACCAGAGTTGGCATCAGCCGGAGGATGCTGCCTGCCCCTCCTCAAAGGCAGTGCAGCAGCCCCGCGTCACACAGGCTCCGAGCAGGCCAGCAGCTGCAGAAAGCAGTGTCCCTTCCTGCCCTCCCGGGGCTTCAAAGTCGCCAAGTCCTGCAGAGCTGGGATGGTGAAATCAGCACCAGCAGGGAAACGGGGTGAAAACTGTGACCAGAGCAGGGGCCGAGGGAGCAAAGGAGGTTTTAAATATTGTTCAGTAGTCAGCACTCTGGGAAGCTGAAGCAAGAGTTCAAGCTCAGCCTAGGCAACCTAGTGGCTTAGCAAGACCCTGTCTCAAAATGAAACATCAAAATGGGCTGGAAGTGTAGCTCAGCACAAAAACCCCGGGTTCAAGCCCCAGTACTGCCAACAGGGGGAGCCTTGGGATCACACTGCCCCGAGGCTGGAGGAGCAAGTGGTCTGGACCCGGCTCAGAGCCCTGCCTCCTTCCAGAAGGGAATGGAGGCTGAGGGAGGTCCTTGGGAGGGAGTGGTGATGGCAGAGCAGAGGGAGTCTGCCAGCTGGAGGCGCGGGACACCAGGCACGGCTGTGTCCCCTGGGCCTGTGTCACCTCCGCTCCAGTGCCCACACGTGCAGCCATGCCACTGCTCACAGTGCCTCCTGCTTGGTCCAGTCCACTGTCCCGCAGGGCCGTACGTACCTTGTTTTCCCGTCAAGCAGCCAAGCAGCTGGCTGCTCCTGCTTTGGGCAAGGGGACAGCTTGCCGGGGACCAGGGTGGGGCCAGTGTGCTCATGAGGGGTAGGAAGAAAGACAAGGGGCATAGCAGCTTTCCAATGAGAAGCTGGACCACCACCAAATCCAAATCCGTCCAGAGACCCTCTGGGTGCTGTCAGGCCCAGAGACGAATGGCCTAATTAGCCTTTTAAATAGGTAACTGTCTTCATGAGCTTTCCCAGTGACTTGACCGTGCTTGCCACAGGCCCACAGCCTGCACGTGGGGCCTGGCTGTACCTGCCAATCATGCGTGTCCCACATAAGAACAGGACTCGGTCATAGCCTCGCCAGGGCTCTCGGCACAGCTGGCAGGGTCTGTCTGTGGCCTGCACAACATCAAAGAGCCCGTTGAGGCACTCCCGGGTCGGGTCGGGACAGCCCGAAGCCCTCAGCTCCTCACCTGGAGGAGGCAGGGCCTGGAGCGGGAGGCGGCGCTTGCCTTGGCAGAAGGCCCGTGTTCTGAGAGGGGCCTTGCCTGTGTGTTACAGCCTCACCAAAGAAATGGAAACCAGATGTGGTCTCAGAGGGCAACAGGTGAGCAGGCAGCCTGCGCAGGCCGTGGTGACAGGATGCAGCTGCTGGCCACGATCAGAGCTCCACAGCGCCATTCAGACAGAAGCCCTAGTCTAAATGGCCAAGAAACTCATCCCCAGGCCTGCCTGTGGCCGCTAAGATGAGAACAAGGTGGCACTCACTCTGTACGGGTGGTCCCAAAGTGCTCAGGGTCACAAGCCTTGCCATCTAGGAGAGGGACCCCTGCACCAGGACCCAGCTCGGGCTCCCCAGCATGCCACTCTCACCCGGACTCCTCTTCCTCCTGCAGCTGCCTCAGCATCAGCACCCGCTCTGCCCGGTGGCCCGGAAGCAGTACCAGACTGGCAGACCCCAGGTGGGAAGGGCAGCGCCACCCAGCTCCCTCTCGTGGGGACACCCCAGTCCATGGGGCTGCACAAGGCGGGGTGGGGGGTGGCAGGACAGCCACTCAGCAGTCTGCACGCAGGCACAAGGCAGGTGAGACCCACGGAGCCCTGAGCACAGCAGCCAGAAGCCTGGGCTCCCTGTGCTAAGGCAGAGGCTCCAAGAGTGCTGTCCCCGGGCTCCTTCGAGGGACTGTTTCCTCTGTCCGTCACAGAGGCTCTGTGGAGCGGGTGTCACAGCCGGCACCTCCAGGGCAACCTGAAACTCACCAGCAGGATGGCCATGCTCCCCACAAGGCCCGCCCAGAGTCACGGGCCAGATGCACGCCCACCGGGTCTGAATCCATGCCTCTCTACAGAGGCCAGCCGGCCACACATGGCCGCACCTCTGTGAGCCACAGGACCTGACTGTCAGCCCCACCAGCAGCTACCCCTGCCACAGAGCTGCCGGGGAGGCGTGGGTCTGGGCCTGTGGGCCACAGCAGAAACCGAGGGGCACCCCCAGGGTGCTTTCTGAGGTGGCCGGGAGCCCCATGAGGGAGTGTGAGCTGTGATCCTATCAGTGGGGCTGATGAACAACCAATGAATACATGAAACAGTAAGCAAAGCCGAGATAGCGTGGTTGACTTTGTTAAGGAGAAAACTGGCTAGAAATTTACATGCTGAAAAGAAAAAACAAACACGAGCCAACAATTTACGTACCTGTCAGCATGCCCTCAACCAGGCACTGTCTCAGCCGGTGAGACACCAGCCTTGCACACGGGTGGACGCCCCTGGCCACCTCTCCTCGTGGTGTGAGCCTCCAAGGGCAAGACCAGCAGGGCTCAGCTCCTGCCCCGGCTCCATCACCACGGGGCAGAGGCTGCTGGCAGCGGAGCAACACGCTCGGTACGGGCAGCCTGGAAAGCACCTCCTCCACCCCGTGGTGCCAAGTGACATGAGACACTCGCTCAGGGGCGGGCCCAGGGCTGTGTGCCTACCTGCGAGCTGGGCCACCTCCGCTTTCACGGCACCCTCGGCCTCCCCGAGCCGGCTGCTGGGAGCCTCCTTCACCAGGTCCACAGGGGCCTCCTCACTCACAGACAGGGTGGTGAGTGTGCTGACCACCAGCACGCCCAGGCCAACCCAGAGCACCACCTGGACCAGACAGAGACCCAGGACAGTGTGGCTGCAGCAGCTCTGAAGGACCTGAGGGATGCAGCAAGGGACACGAAGCATCCCTCCAGGAGGGAGGACAAGTGGGCACCGGAGTTGCCTGAGGACAGTGGCCCCCCGCAGACTGCGCGCCTGCGGATGGCGAGGAGCTGTAGTGACACTCAGTGGCACTGTTCCCTAACCCATCAGAGTGGTGTCCTTCCCTCCCTCAGCCGGGACCTCGGCCAAGCCTGCTGACCTGCATCAGCAGGGATGGCAGGACCAGGGTGGGGCGTGGGGGCAGGACGGAGGCAGAGGAGCTGTGTCTCTGGGGAGCTGTGGGCATGCAGAGGAGCCAGGCAGAGCACAAGCACCGTGTGTGTGACGGCTGCAGGGACCCAGGCCCTGACCCAGCTTCTCGGGAAGGGAGGGGCCAGGTCTCTTGAGCACATGGCAAGAGGAGCAAGAATCTCAGTGCAACCGCCCGGCTTGGGGGGTCCCCTTGCACATATCATCTTCGAGGTGCATGGGCCCCGACCCCACAGAGCAGGCCCTGTACAGAGGACGCGGGGCACGTGGGGACGGACGATCTGTCTCCAAACATCGGCCACACCCAATGCCCAGCAGCAGGCTGGACGTGTCCAGAGATGGCAAGGCAGTAGACCGTGCTGGGTCACTGGGGAGAGACAGGGCCTGACCTCTCTCAGCGGTGGCAGGGTGCCTGTCAGTGTCCCCACAAGCTGCACTCCAGGCACTCCTGATTTTTGAGGGGCCTCTCCTGCCTCTGAAGGACCCCAGAGTTGATCATAAAGTCTGCAGTCCTACAGACACCTCACCTGTCCTGCTGCAGCTTGGGCTATTTTAGGACATGCACCTGCTGGGCCAATGCTCGCCTATGTGCTGTCTCAGCACAAGGCTCTGCTACCTCAGCGCCCCCGTTTTGTGATGGGGCCAACAAGGCGGCCTCCTGCCCGGCCAGAGGGCCCTCACTATTCCACGCCCCTGAGGTCTCAGTCCTCTCCGGAAAGGTGTGTTGACTTTAAACCAATCAGCTCAGAAGAACTAACTGGTGAGACTTTCCCAGGTCCAACGCAATTACACAAAAAGATTTCTATGGGACAGGGAGACCTGCAGTCTCTGAAGTGGGGAGTGACCAACTTGGAAAAAAACTACCTCAAGGAAAAGTTCATCTGCTTCTAGCCTGAAGCAGGTGGCTCCAGCACTCACAGACACCCCAGAGTGCCTGATAGATGTACAGGGCTCTTGGGGGACCCACACACCCCTCTAGCAGTAGTCACAGCAGGCCTATCAGGTGACAGCAGGGCTGCCAAAGGTGCATATGGGACACTGATCTGAGTCCCCACAGGCCTGTGATACACAGAGCTTAGGGGCAAGAGCTCCTGGCCCCTGTTCTGCCCTAAATTATTTTCTTACACATTCACAGAGGCCCAGCCTCAGCTGTGTGGCTCCAAATCAGCATATTACATTCTTCTTACCACTGATGGGGTCTGACAGTGGGCAGAGTAATCTTAGAATAACAGAGGAGGAAACTCTGATGTCCTGAGGCTGTCAGCGCCTTGCAGGAAGATGTGGGAAGGCCTGCGTGACCAACAGCTGCCAGTGGGTGACCCAGGCTGACGTGGCGCAGAAGCTGGCATGGGAGGGAGGCCTGGGAGGTTCACAAACGCCACTGGTACCCCTACTCTGACCTCGTGCCTGCCCTAAGTCAAGACTGCCTCTGGGCCTTTTGTTTTCAAGGCCTCGACCCTCTATCTGCGGCACACTGCTTTATGGTGCAGAGCAGAAGCGAGGCTTGGCCTCTAGGGTGGACAGTTCTCCTTCTGCACTGCTGTGGGAGGGTCTAACTGCTGACTGCGCAAAGGATCGATGACAGTTCCCCTGGGGTCCAGGTGAGGACCTGAGCCCAGCTCTTGCTCCAACAGTCAGCCATGGCGGACAAATCCCTTCTAGCTGGGAGCCTGGGAGGGGGCCACTGGCTGGAGCACAGCCTCAGGCCTCTGGAGCCCCAGCCCAGCCCAGCAGCACTGTGCCCTCGGCACAGCCACCTGTGTGGGGGAAGGGCTGCTTTTGAAGCAGGGGACCTGGTCAATAAGCCACATCCATCTCAGAGGTCCCGCTCTATGACCCTGGCAATGGCCCAGCAGGGGGAGGAGCACAAATCTATCCTGGGCAGCCTCGAAACTGGATTTTCAGGCTTGGAAAATCTGGGGCGCTGACTCTGCGCCACAGTCTCAGCACGCCTCCCCTCCCGTCAGGCAATGATGGGGCTCCAGCTCTAGGTGGGCCCTGACCCAGAACAGACAAGCCCCAGGCTCGGGGAGAAAATGCTCACTTCTGCTGTCTGGACAACTAAATCCACATTCTGTGCTTCCCGACACAACGCACACCCCAGCCATCCTGCAGCCTGCAGCCTGCGCTCTGGTTCAGGTCCCATGGCCCTGCCATGCCCAGGCAGCCTCACTCTGCCCTCTGCACAAGATGGTGCTGATCATGCAGTCTTTCCAAGAGCAGGCGCTTCCTGCCCCAAGCCCCCTGGGCAGTGCCCATCTCTCCCCCAGGCAGGCCTTTCTGGCCCCAGATCACTTTCTTCTAAAACCATGGCCTGTTCAGGCTCCAGCACCCCCTGCTGGCTTTAGGACATCATCAAATCCACAACAAGGGGCCCAGGCCAGCCACACTCAGGATTAGAGACCCACAAAAACTGCAACTCCCCCCCCCCCACCAGGGATGGGAGACTCGGGACCTTGTGCTTGCTTGCTGCTTGCGAGGCAGGTGTAGCACCTCTGAGCTAAATCCCCAGGTCCTAAAAACTGCAACTTGTGAGGGCAGACAGTTTTCTTTTGGTTCATTTGGACCATTTTTAATCTTCCTAATTATCTTCTGGGAACGGCCTTAAACCCTTCCACACTGCCCTACCTACATGGCTCTTCATGGGCTCCCTAACTAGGGAACAAGCTGACAGCCCAGGCAAACCAAGCATGGACTCTGTTCCTATCCCACCTGTGAAAGCGGCAGAGCTCTCAGGACAGGGCCTGGCTACCCGGGCCCAGCCACCCTTCCCTCATGCCGGGAAGCTATGGCACACACAGGCCAGCTGATCACCTGCTCCAGATCAGCAGGGCAGCTGATAAGGTAACTTCTCGGATGCTAATTCAGAGGGAGAATTGTAGCATCTCCCCAACATGGTCAAAAAGTGGTTCAGGCCAGCATGGTGGTGCATGCCTGTAACCCCAGAACTTGGGAGACTGAGGCAAGAGGACCTCCGTGAGGCCAGCCTGAGCTACACAGAGAGACCCTGTCTCAAAAAACAAACAATAACAACAACAAGAAAGTAATTTAGACAATTTAACACATGTCCTAGGCTTTAAGAAACTGAGTATAAAGCTGGGCAGCACATGCCCATAATCACAGTACCTGGGAAGCTGAGGCAGGAAGACTGCCGTGAGTTCGAGGCTAGCCTGGGCTACATAGTGAGTTCACGGCCAGCCTGAATTAGAGTGAGACCCTGTCTCAAAAAAAAAAAGAAAGAAACCTAGTGAAAGGGGCCTGGGCAGACCTTTGACGTGATGCAGTGTGTGCTCACCCCCACACAGAGCTCTGACTGTGCACACTCACTCCTGCCCATCAAGCCAAGAGCCAGCTCAGGCTGAACAGCCAAAAGCTAGCAGCCATTCCAATCTGGGTCAGGGAGAGGCAGCGCTGGCCCTCACACCCAGGCCCACAAGGACACGTGTGGAAAAGAGAGAAGGAAGCGCTGTACTGATGGGAAAGAAGGGATTGAATTTATCATTAGTTGCAGGTGAGGAACCAAGGAGAGTTCAGTAAGGTTAACAGGTAAAAAAATTAATGTATGGGAATCCACAGCTTCCCTACATACACCGCTTACAAAAGCCAACAGAGGGGATCCCCACTTAGCAGCTCAGGGGGGCAGGACAGCAGAGGCCCTGGGGGGCCTGGTATGGCCTGGGCCCAAGCTGAAGGCCGTGCTCAGCTGGACCAGAGGGACGCTCATAAATGTACACTGTAGATCAGTCAGAGTCTAAGACACTGACTCTTCTAACTTAACCGACAGCGTCCATGAACTCCAACTAGATCAAAAAACAAAACCAGAACTTGTTTATCTTAGTGTCCTATCAGCTGGTTCAAATGTTCATACGGAAAATAAACCAAATAAGAATACTCAAAAATATACTAATAAGAGCAAAAAGCAGGGGTTAGAATGAATCCCTCAAAATAAATTAATAAGGGCAAAGAGGAAGAATTTTTAAAATGGTTCAGAGAGTGGCAGGTCAGAATGCAGTGAGTGCTGTTACAAGGCCATGATAATTACAACAGTTCAGAAGGAGAAACCGACCAACAACTAAAACGCAAGTCCCCAACTAGGTCCAGCCAACATTCCATTTCCATGAGGGTGACTCCAGTGATTCCTATCAGTAACGGGTTTACTCAATAAACAATGTTCTACACCCAGGAAACCACCTAGGAAAAGAGAGGATACTTATTGGATTCTTATACCAAAATAAAAAAGAGGGATCAAAAATTTAAAGGAAAAAAGCACTGGGCAAAGTGATGGAATTTTGTTAAAATAATACTGGAGTGGGGAATGTGTGATTTTTTTTTCCTTATAAAAAAATAAAGCATGATGAGCTTGAGACTTTGCAGAGAAAAACATTTGCAATCTGACCTCAATGGGCTAACTTCCTCCAGCTCACTGGGAACCTCTGCCTCAGACTACGGTGGGACAGCAGCTGTCAATTTGCTCTTCACACTTAAAACAGCAAAAGCTGCACCACAGCCCTCGCTTGCATCACCTGACTGAAGATGGTGGTGAACACCCTCAGCAGCTCAGATGCAGGGGCCGCAACCCAGGGGGCAGCACCACAGAGAGCCAGGCTTGCTCCTGGGGCCCTCGTCATCATGGTACCAGCACCAGGGATGACACCAGGTGGCAGTCTAGATGCCAGGCAGACTCACAGGGCTGGGCATCAAGAACAAGCAGCAAGGGCTCCAGCAGCCACAGCCCTGGGGACAAAGGAATCCCCACCGAAGCACTCAGCACACAGTCCTGTGTGCCGTTCTCCCCTGAGGCCATACCACCTACCAGCCGTGCAGAGGTGAGCAAGGACTGAGCAAGAGCACCTGCAAGAACATGAAGTGCAGCAGACAACTCAGCAGCCTGAGGGTGCCAAGGTTTGTGCAGATCCTAGCAGCCAGGGCAAGTGGATACAGGTTTGCCTCACTGGATCCAGCCCTCTGCTTATCCTAACGGGCAAAGGTCACATGACCCAGAACCTCTGCAGCTTTTCAAACACAATAACTGCAAAATACCAAGCATTCCAGAAGACAGGACCAAGACAGAAAACCTAGAAACTGAAAAGGAAAGGATCAGAAAGTATGGGCTACAGATGTTCCTCATCTTACAATGGGGCTCCATCTCAACAAACCCAACATACATGGAAACTAATCTAAGTTGAGAATGCATTGAATTCACCCAGCCTACCGGATACCTGTGAGCCACCCAGCACAGGACAGGCACTGGCAGTGTCCACTCTTGGTTGCAGGATGACTGGGAGCTACAGCTCACTGCCACTGCCCAGCATCACAAGAGTGTCACACCACACATGGCCAGCTTGGGAAAAGATCAAAACTCAAAGTACAGTTTCTACTGAATTTGTATTGCTTTCATAACACCAGAAGGTTATGACTAAGAAGCTGAGCTACTGTTAAGTCAGGAACCATGTGTATTTGAAACAACAATAATAATGTTGTGTGGGGCTTTAAAGGTATATAGGGTGAAAAGACACAAGAACAATCACACTGAAGGCCAGGGAGGGTAAATGGAGTTAAACACTCTGGGATGCTCACTTTGTCTGGGAAGTGATTAGAGCCTATAGTTGACTCTAGTGAGTCAAGGCTTTGTATTAACTACCTAGTGTAACCACTAGAAGAACAGAAATGCACCAGTAAGAATACTTTATTTTTTATTTTTTGGTACCAGGGATTGAACTCGGGTCCTTGCGCTTGTAAGGCAGGCGTTGGAACCACTGAACTAAATCCCTGGCCCCTAAGAATACTTTAAATGTTTGACTGATCTAAAAGGGAAAAAAAACTGATGAGGCAAAAAACAAAGAATAAGATGGAACTTTCCTCCTCCAAATCAGTAATCATATTAGCTGTATTAACTCATATTACCAGGCTGGATAAAAACAAAACAAAAAGCGTTACGATGCTATTACAGGAGAATAACTTCAATAAAAAGGCATAAAGATACCAAAAGAAAAAAGATGGAAAAGCTATGCTGTGCCAGCAGTGCTAAGGAAGCCGCAAGGCCAGCTTGGGCAGCATCTCCACAGACACACAGGGCGCTCAGAGACAGTGTCCAGTCAGCAGGAGACACGGCCAACTGGAGCCCGTGCCTGCAAACAACAAAGCTCCGAAGTTAGATGCAGAGGTTGACAGGACGACGAGGGAAGATGAATCTATACTTAGAGTAGGAGTTACCCTATCTTTCTCATAAATGAGATTAAAAACCAGTAGGAACACGTGAAATCTGATGCAGTGAGTGATCCTGACCGAACCCACACACAGGTAAGACTTCGCCCGGCTCTGCACAACACACAGCCCACTGACCTCTCGGCAGAGCCTGCACGGCCACACGGTGCATCCCCCACTGTCAGAGAAGTGAGACTCTCTAGAGTGCATGCTCCAATCACACCGACATTAGCATGAAAGCAATGAAAAGATTACTAGGATTTCCAAATGTTTGGTCATCTAAAGAAGCTACGGATAAAAGAACAAATCACAATGGAAATCAGAAAATATGGTCAATTAAAGGATAATGTAGGGGCTGGCGATTTAGCTCAGTGGTTCTGGTGCCTGCCTGGCAAGCACAAGGTCCCGAGTTCAATCCCCAGTACCAAAAAAAAAAAAGGATGTTAATTCTTCAATCTACTCTTATTTTTGTGGTGGTACTGAGGATTGAACCCAGGGCTTTCACACTCAGCTACAACCCTGGCCCCTTTCCTATTTTTTTATTTCACAACAGGGTCTTACGAAGTCACTAAATTGTCCAGGCTGTGCTTGAACTTGAGATCCTCCTGCCTCAGCCTCCCAAAGTGCTGGGATTGCAAGTACACACCACGGTGCCCAGCTTCAATCTACTGTTTGATGCAACCTCAATGAAAATTTCAACAGGTTATCTGGCAGAAGCTGACAGGCCATTCTAGGAAAGCATATCTTACAGAGAAACACACTGGGAGGACTTCTCCCAGTCCTCCCAATCACAACATACTATAAAGCAGCACCCCCTTGATTCAGCAGGCCTGGGACGGCAGACAGCAATGCACCTGTGGACAGAGAGGTCCCCCACAGCCTCACACACGTGAGGGCCTGAGAGGGACAGGCATGGGAGGATGGAGTGGATCCACCAGACCCACACAACCCACTGCACACCAGTCTGTTCCAGGTGAAATGAAGGCCGAAATGTGAAAGACGAAATTAAAAGCCTCCAGAACATACAACTGTCTTTGGGGCCTTGCATAGGCAAAAACTGCTAAAATAGGACGTAAAAAGCTCCAAGGAAAAGAAAAAGATCAATAAACTGAACCACACTGAGATCAGAACTTCTGTTCGTCAAAAGATGACCTGAAGAAAGCAAAAAGGCAGCCAAGGGTAAAACATCTGCAATATATATTTCTCTTTTTTTGGTACTGGGAATCGAACTCGGGACCTTGCACTTATGAGGCAGGCACCAGAACCACTGAGCTAAATCCCCGGCCCAAATTTTATCTTCCCATTCTTGCTTTTTTTTTTTTGTACCAGGAATCGAACTCGGGTCCGGCCATATATATTTCTGAAAAAAAAATCTAGAATCTATTAAAAATGCCTACAAATCAGTAAGAAAAAGACAGAAAGCCAACAGGAAAAAACAAAGCAAGTCTTAAAGGCCTGCACAAGAGGACACCCACATGCAAGTGAGCACACCCACGGGCTAATGGTGCCATCAGTCATCTGGGGACTGCAAACTGTAAGCCCAACAAGACGCCGCCACACCCCACAACCCCTCAGAAGGGCTGTGATCCCAGTACTGCAGGAGGCCAAGGCAGGATGGCAAGTCTGAGCCCAGCAAGGGCAACTTAGCATGCCCTGTCTCAAAATAAAAAACAATAAAGGATTGGAGACATAGCTCAGTGAGAAAGCCCTGGATTTGATCCCCAGTACTGAAAAAATAAAAAACTGAAAGGGACAGTAAACCAGAAGGGCAGTGGACTGTCCATGCAGTGGAGGCACCAGGGTGGAAACCCAAAACCCACTTGCCAGAAGCTGCAGCACTGAGCACCATCCACAGACCCAGCAACCTCCTCCCAAAGGCAGAACAGCACACAGCGCAGGCACGGAAGAAGCACTCAGAGCAGTGCCAGACCAAAAGCCACCTGTCCTGCTGGGCGCTGGGGAAAGCGAAGGAAAGGCACAGAAGGGAAGCCACACGGCCGTGTGGGTGAGCCCGGGAGACTGAGGGGCTGACACATAAGGACACATGTGAAACTCTGTGTGTGCCTGGCTGCAGTCGGGCAACAGCATCCTGAAGTGTGAGCACACAGCCAGCAGTGCCGCTGGGGCATGGGCCGGGTGACCCAGCGTCACACGGAAGCTTCGGGCACCAGATGCTGATATCTATCTCCCCTGATGCTCGTTCCGTGGCTGGGTTCACTTTGCACAACCATTTCAAGCTGCAGACACGGTTTATGTGCTTCGCTGCACACATACTCTACCTATAAACACCCACTGATACACATCAGTAACAAAAAGCTCCACAACCCTGTCACAAGTGAGCAACAGCAGGAGTAGTTTACAGGAAGAGAAATGCAAGTGGTTCCCAAACTCATGAGAGGAGCTCAAGTCCACTGCAGAGAAGCCCAGAAAGATAAAGATGGGAAGGATGGGCATGGGGACAGAGTCTCCTCGGGTTGCCCAAGGGAAGGATATCACGAGACTCACACTGGCCCAGGGACCCCGAGTCTGGAACCCCCTAGGGCCATGTTCTCACACGCCTGGAAATGCCCTATGTGGACCGTCACAGGTCATCGGAAGGCTGTCTGTAACAGCAAAAGGCTGGGCATGGGCTCCATCCAAGGCTGGAATTATGGAATTTTCCTACAATGTAGCACCAGGAAGCAGTTAAAAACAGCACAGCAGCTGGATGTGCATGCACACTGCTGATGGGCAACTTGCGCAGGATTTTAAGCAAAAGCAGCAGGAAGCTGGATTGCTATTAAAAAATAATAAAAAAGCATGAATATGAGCATGAACACACGCAAGCTGATGCATGCAGTGTCTCTGTGGACACACCCCAAGTGCCGGCGGCAGTGCTCTCAGGACAGAACGGGACCCTGGGGAGGGGATACCTGTCACATATGGAAGCCCCTGGGGGAGAAGCCCCCGGCCTCTGTGACTGAGCACCCCCCGAGCTAGCAAGCTGCAGACGAATCGGCAGACCCAGTCTGAACACTAGAGCAGGACAGCACCCTGCTGCCATCCTCTGGAGCCCAGCCCAGCCCGCGAGCTCCAGGCCCTGGCTCTCACTCACCTGGGCAGAGAGGGCGTTCTTCTGGGCCTTCTTGTAGATTAGAGCTGGACAGATGAAGCAGATGAGGCTCCCCATTGTCGCCCCCGTGAGGCCCAGGATGGTCTCCACTAGGAACAGATGTGACACCAGGGGGTGAGCAGGAGGGCTCTGCAGAGGGTGGCCTGGCTTTCACCCCACACAGCAAGGTGCTTTGCAGCAGAGGCGCCAGGTCCATCAGGCTGATCGGGACTTGGAGGAGGGTGACTGCTGGCTGCTCATTTTTGAAGGGCCAGGCTCCAGGGAATTCCCTGGGTCATGCTGCCTGGTACTTGGCAGGCGACCCAGTGGGCCATCCTAGGACCCACATAAAAGTCAAGTGTACCGGCTGAGGGCAGCCACTGCCAGGAATCTGGACAGGAGGCCTCTGGGGAGTACCTGCAAGTGCCCACACTCCTGCTCGCCAGCTGGGAGTGGGTGGTTGGATCAGATAAATGCTTCTCCTTGGTACTGTGTGGACCACTTCAGCAGTCGACAGAATGAGATCAAAGAATGAGGAGCTCTACAGACAAGACGACCTGGGCCTGTATTCCGGCCCTGGAGTTTCTGCCCAGGGGTGAACTACTTGGTCTCAACATGGGCCTGCTGCTCCAACAGGCTGCCGATGCTATCCTCAGCCTTTCTCTTTGAGTCAAAGAAAAATATGACCCAGGTGCTTCTAAACTTTTCTGAGGACAGCATGAGACCCTGGGAGTCTTAGCTCTACACCAAGACACAGGGTAGGGACACCTCAGGGCCTGAATGTAACAGCAAGAATGGACAAAAGGGGACAGAAAAGCGGCAGGGCCAGTTTCTGAGTGGCCGCCCACCTTACCATTGGGGATCATGATGCCACCAACCATGGTTCCAAACACAACCGAGAGGGTCAGCACTTTAAACCGGAGTGGGGGCATGTAGCCTCCAGCAGCGAAGGTTCCATCTTTTTGCTACATGAAAGGAAATACAAAAGTTTTGAACCGACTGACTTCCTCTGCCCACTCCTATAGAGCGATGCCGAGCACAGCATCACTGTCTCTGCATGGGCTGGGGGCACTGCCTAGCAGGAGAGCGAGCACCACCCGCACCATCGGGTTTGGCTGAGCGACCTTAATGGGAACCTGTACGATAGCAGGAAGGTGCAAGTATGTCTCGCCCCCAGTACTGACCACAGATCTCACAGCTTTGTTTTGCAATGTCAGAGTCCAGTCCTTGTGTTTTCCTTTTCACTTTCAGAGCAGAGCTACAAGAGAGACTCTTACAGAGACATGAAGTGTGGACAACAAAATAGGATTCCACTGGGACCCTGCTAGATGAAGTCTGTGGGTTTCAGGCCTTGGGCAGAAGCCTCTCCTACACCTGTGTTATCATCATTCCCAATACACAACAAGCAGTTAAGGGAGGAAGAAAAGGTAAGAAAGGTGTGAGGCGGCACAGCCACATCTCCCTGCTCACACTCCCCACACAGGGAGCTGGGAGGAGCAGCACAGGCAGAGGCACTGGCCTCAGATTCCACCTGCCATAGAGCCCTGGATGGCCGGCTCAGATCCATGCTCTCCTGATACTAGTTCAGTGCCTCAGTTTCCCCTCTCCCAACAGAAGCAGGTCCTTGTCAAGCTATGCCGAGGACCACAGGAGTTAACACACGGGCAGGATGACCATGTTAGGAACAACGACAGAACCTTCCAGACCTAGAATTCTAAGCCCCCAGTTTTCAAAATAAACTTTACACCAGATGGACTGAAGGAGCTGGAGCCAGAATCTCTATTGACTTTGAGTGACAGTTTGTGGCTTCAGGTCTACAGCCCAGGAAACCCAACACCAGTTCGCCAAGTGATGCTCCAAGAGAAAGGGAAGTAGGGAACTACAGGCACCAAGTCAATCATGAGATGGCTCTTCAGGGAGGTCACAGGGAAAGCCAGCGAGCAGCACCCCGCCCACAAAGGGAAAAAGCAGGGACTAGAGGGGCCATGGGTTTCCACAGGCACAGAGGCACAGCCGCTGAAGACCAGAAGGGCAAGTGAGAGGAATCCCACCACGTCCCTGTACACGCCCTGTCAGGGGAGGGTGCAGGCAGATGTTCTGCTTGTTTTGTTTTTTGGTACGGGGGATCGACCTTGGGACCTTGTCCTTGCGAGCCAGGCTCCGGAACCACTGAGCTAAATCCCTGGCACCGGGCAGGTGTTCTGACTTCATACTTTCTGTCATGCAATTTTTTTTTTTTTTAACTTCAGAAAAATGTATTATAAACAACAGCACCAATGCTGTTCCAATACAAAGTGCACATCTGCACTTTGAAATCTCCAGTGAAGATGGACTCCAGTCACCATGGGCGAAGGTGAAGTAAGGTAAGCCAGGGAGGACCCCACAGCCAGACGACCTGGCCCTGCCTCCTCCCCCAAGGGACAAAGCCCTACATCTTACTTCCTTTTGCCCAGGTGCCTGAGCGCTAGCAGAGGCAGCCCAGAGTGTTGGCACATGAGGGGCACTGGTCCTTGGGGCTGGCCTTGCTATCACTGGTGACAGAGTACACAAGAAGAAGTCAAGAGCTGCAGTGCTGCCACAACCACATGCCACATGGACAGGTAGCCCTGTGCCATCTGCTCCCATGGCCAGGGGCAGCCGCCCTTGCCCTTCTGCTGCTGGACTCTCTCCTGGATTCTAGAAGGCCACTAACTCCCCACAACACAACCAGGTGAAGTGACCTTGGGTCCCTGGCTACCAGAAGTCCCTGCTGAAGAGAAAGACTGCAGGCCTGGAGCAGAAGATGCCACCAAAGAGAAAAGCTATGTGTTGGCACAGACAGGGACTGCATCCTGAGCAGCAGCCAGGGTTCCCACGATGCCCTGGTGAGGCCTCGGTCTCCACCACCTGGGCACTGTGCCACAAATGCACCTTTGGTGGTTAACTCAGCAACAGGCAGGTGACACAGGCAGCCTCCTGGTTTCAACCCCTGTATTTAAAAAGCTCTTGTAAAGCAGCTGCCCCCATACACTATGGTTCAAAAATCTTTGGCTAAATTATTAATATTTTCAAAGTTAAACAAAAGTTCAAAAAAAAAAAATAGTTCAAGAAGGCCACCCCACAACTCCTGTCTTTTTTTTTTTTTGGTACCAGAGATCGAACTTGGATCCTTGTGCGCTTGGGAGGCAAGTGACAGAACCACTGAGCTAAATCCCCAGCCCCACAACTCCTGTCTTTACCAACAGTGGCCAATGAATCCAGTGCCATGTGCCCATCCCACCACCAAGGCCTGCCCAGGGCTGCTCTGAACCAAACTCCATTTCCTGCTATTCCTCTGAGTGGGGGGTGATGGCATTAATGCTAGGAAGACACACAGACAAGCCTGAGCTGCTTGCACACCAGCCAAACCCCAAAAGGCCTGTCTTTGGTGCTCTTTTTTCCAAAGGTAGTTTAAAATTTTCCTATTAGGGGCTGGGGCCGTAGCTCAGTGATAGAATGTGTGTGTAGCATGTACAGGACATGATAGAATGTGTGTGTAGCATGTACAGGACATGATAGAATGTGTGTGTAGCATGTACAGGACCCTCGGTCCCACAAAAAATTTTTTTTAATTTTACAATGAAAAAAAATAAAGCAAAACCCTATGAGGAGACTATTTCCATGGGATCTTGCTCATCTTTAATCAAGAAAAGCTTCCCCTACTGCTGCCCAGGAAAACAGAGAACCCTACCCAACCACCAGGATGCCTCAAGAACCCTACCTGCTGCTCAAAAAGCAGCGTGTTTAGGGCCTGCCTACAGGGCAGGATCATCATGGGGAAGCCCACGGCCACCGACATCATGAAGCCCACACGGATCATCTCGGTCACCAGGTTGGAGGGGAAGTGCATCAACACATTGCCTGCCGTGGCCTCGGTGAAGCTGACGTAACCACAAAACCCCACCTGCAGGAGGAGGAAAGACAGCAAGGTGGTGAGCATGGCGTCTGGTGGGGGAATGGGGGTGGCCCCAGAATGTCCAGCAAGCCCCTTCCCAAGGAAGGTGGAGCAACAGACGGCCTTGGAGGACAAAAATGCCACTCGACTCCTCATCCACACAACTCTCTTGATAACCAGAAGGCCAAAGGTAACAGGTAAGGGAGGGGTCGACATTAACTTTCCAAAAGGACTGCAGATGAGAAATATGCGGAAAGGAAGGTGCCAGAATGACACCGCCCCCCCAACAAGCCCTTCAGGGAGGCTATTCTTAGTCTGGCTTCAAAACTCAACCAAGGGGGCTGGGGATTTAGCTCAGTGGTTTTGCCGCCTGCTGGACAAGCGCAAGGACCCGAGTTCGATCCCCGGTACCAAAAAAAAAAAGAAGACTGGGAGAAAAAAAATCTACCCAAATCTTAACAGAGCCCTGAACCCCTCAGACAGAAGACACCCACAGAGCCTGGGGGAAGGCAGCTCACAGGGCCAGGCCCTGGAGGACTGGGGTTGAGGAGCAGCTGCCCTGTCACTGCACATGCAGGGTGTCCCAGACACTGAGACGACAGGGAGAAGGAGGGGGCGCCTGTGCGGGCAGGACCTGGGAGAGGAAAGAGCATGGAAGGCGTCCTACCGTGACGTAGAAGGTGGTAACCACATTGAGGGAGGAAGCAAATATGGAACTCATGGTCTTCACAGACGGCTCGTCCAGGCTGTCGTAGGTAGGCAGGACCTGGCTGTGTAAAGACAAGCAGTTCACAAAGCAGACTCCAGGGAGCCTCACCAGCCTGCTGCACGGCAGTTCCTGAGACCTACTCTGCCACCCAGCCAAGCCCGCACACTTCCTTCACATGACATCTACCATGCACCGTGGCTCACGGAGCCAAAGCTGGCAGATTTCATGACAGTACAGATGGCAGCACTTCGAGGGGCCCCCAGCAGCCCCCAGAACACACCCTACACAGACATCTCACAAGTGCCACAGAACCAGAGGCCCACTGGCCAGGAATCACAAACACCCCTGGCCAGCTGCAGCCCAGCCCGGCGCCACCACGCACCTCGGCACAGGAGCGAGTGGGCTCGGCCCCAGCTCCCGCCCTTGTGCCTGCGCCTGTGGATGAGAGGCCTGGCTCCTCTCCCAGACCCAGTGCCAGAAATGCGGTGCTGCTGGGCGGGTGGGAGGGGCCCAAGTCACCAGCTGAGCAGGGAACAGCCCCGCAGGCTCTCTTCAGACAGCTCGTCTTATGAGGGTGACAGCTGAGGAAAGCAGGACCTGGGCACCTGCGAGAGGTGGGGACGTGGGGAGGAGGGAGCTGCTCTGCAGTTCAGGCGAGGACTTGGCTGCAGCGCGCAGTGAGACAGGAGGGAGTCTGGTGGCTGCCCTTCCAGGCCGGGTTCAAAGGCACAGAGGAAATGAGGCCAGTGAGGGGGACAAGGAGGGATCAGGATGCAGGAAATCGGCAGCCAACAGATGGGCAAGCACAACGGTCAGTAAAGCCAAACACCAAAACTGCCTTTAAAAAGTGAAAGAAAAACAGAGGACGCCCCAACTCGATCAAAAAGTAGACAAGACCCTGAGGGCAAGTCTGGCATCATCCTGCTCACCCCAGGCCCATGGCACACTGTTCCTCAGGCTACCCCCAGCGGTCAGGCTGGGAGAGAACAGGCAGCCCTGGGGATACAGCAGAGAACCCAAAGGGGAGTCACCCTGAGCCCCAGACTGGCACCCTGAAGAAGACTGTCCCAGCAGCAACTTCCCTGCATGGACCAGACCTTGGCCACGGCTGAGTTTGCACCAGGAAGCCCAGCTTGAAGGAGTCCATGCCATAGTCCTGTGGCATGGGCCTGCCCCAAGCTAACACACACCTGAGTCACTGTCCAGGAAGCTGTGGTGGCCATGGGGGAGGCCATGTCTGGGCACAAGGGGGCGGAAAGGCCAAGTCAGGCTCCCTTCCAATCCTAACTGTGCTCCAGGCCTCCCTTGGATTGTACCCTGGAGAGATGGAAGGTGGAGCCACAAGACATCCCCGCTACCTGTGTGGGATCTCCCTATGCCATTTGGGAGGGTACTACAGCCACGAGCACCACTCTGTGGTATCCCCTTGCAGGGCGACCTGAGTGACTACATGCAGCTCTTGGGGTGCCACGCACTGACCCCCACTGCTTGGAGTGGGACCCTGGGTCGCCACTTGGACCCTGCCCAGCCTGGACATGTGCTCAGTTGCCACCTCGGCTGCTTCTCTGAGCTCAGGAAGACAGTTCTGTAACCAAGACGTGTTCCTAGAAAGTGTAACCAGATGGGCAGACAGTGATGGCAACAACTACACCAGTCACAAGGCAGGGGCCTGGCTGTCACCCAGTGGGACAGGCCATCTGATGCAGGCTGCCATGGAAGGAAGAGTCCTCTGCCGTGCACCTGGCAAACATTCATGTGTCCAGCATGGGTGAAGCAGGCAAGCCTGCAACCCTAGTGTTCTCCTGGGCAGGAAAGAGCTGGTGCTGGGAGGGCAATGTGCTGCCACCCTCCAGGAACTCGTAATTTTCCCTGAGATTCCAACCCAACAGATGTGCGAGGGCTGCTACATGGCCACCACTGGAGCTCCGACCACAGGCTTATTTTTAAAACAGCAAACACACAGACAGAAAGGACAACTGATAACTAGGTACACGGCACAAGAATGTAACTTCTGTCACTGATGATAATGGGGACATTAAACAGCAAGGCTGGAGTGTGTTCTGGTGGAAACAGAGCTGCCAAGAGAGACGGTAAGTGGGAAATGACGATTTGGATCTCCTATGTGGGTGTAAACACAGCAGTGTGAGCAAATTTTATCTGTCACATTAGTTTACAATTGGCACAATACATCCCTACCGACACTGTGGGGGGGCCACTCTGCCAGCCCCCAACACGCTGATGGTCTTTTCGGCCCATGCCAGATTTACACCTCTCCTTTTAGCTGGTTACCGCTCCCGTCCGGGCATGAATCACTTAGCTCCTGCCACCCTGGTGGAGTAGGTACTGCCACTCAGATCCTGGAGCAGCCTGATCTGCATTCACAGAGCCCCTTGTGCCAGGAAGCTCGCCTGATGCTTGCCCCCGCACGCCCACGCACGCACACACACACAAACACACACACACAGGGGCCTCAGAGCTGTCCCAGCAGCAGCCTGAAGTCAGTGTTTGTGCAATTTCCTTTCAAATATTCACAGAGCAGGTAAATTCTGGCAAGACTCTTGGGGACTCTGCACACCCACACAGCCAACTCTCCTCTCACAAGATCTGGAGAGCAAGGTGCTCCTGCCAGCGGACCCAGCAGCAGGTTCTCTCTCTGGTTCGCATAGAACTCTCTCCCTCAGCCTGGAGGGTGCAGGCCACACCGGAACATGACACTGCTCCTGAGCAGCCAGAAATGAACAATTAAAGAAACCCAGAGGAAAAAGCAGAAGAGCAGAGGCTCAGTCTCCGTGGTACTTACGACTGGCAGGCGAAGGACATGCCGAAGATGGGAATGCAGCGGAAGACGCCCTCCCAGCGCACATAGCTGACCCGCTGCAGCCACTGCCCACCGAAGAGGCCGTGCTTGAGGGAGGACAGCACGATCTGCACCAAGGAGAGAGCAGGGCATAGGTCAGGGGGCAGCCATGCTCAGCCTCCCAAGAGTGAGGCAGGTACCCCGTGGCTCTCAGCCCACGCTGCTGCCGGTGACCCCTGCAAACGCAGTCTGGGGTGCCTGGAGGGGTGAGAGGGCACCACACCTTCTTGGTACACTGCCTGCAGCCCAGGAGCACCCTAGTCCATGCCCTAGACATGGGGTGCACCCAGCTGCAGAGCATTTCCTGCAGGCACCCCAGCCTCTCCTGTGCGGGACTGCTTAGCACAGACGGAAACCAGCATGTGGCAAGTCAGAGAGGACGGTGCCCTCAATACGACCTGGTCCCTGCCTGGTCCTGGGCTGTGCTGCAGGTATCTTTCAAGAGCTCACCCTACTGAGATGCAGCTGTCCGAGAGTAGAAAACTCACTGTCCCTGGGCTGGTCCTGGCAGACAATAGAGAAATCCTGGTGACTCACAGCCCCCTCCGACACAGGCCTCCTGTAAAGATGCCCCCAGGAAGGGGCGTCTCTGACCTTGCTAGAGTGCATGCGGGTCCAGGGCCTCAGGTATAGGGGGCCTGACAGGGGCAAGGCAGACAGAGCCCCAAGGTCCTCTCTGTGAGGTCTCCACGTCCGCCGTCAACTCTGCACTTTACCCTAAAGCCTATCCTCCTACCAACTCTCGTTTAGAGAAATGAAGCTTGCCACATGCGACAAAACACTGACATCAAGCTCTTGGTCACGAATCCCACAGGAAGGCCCTCCACAGATCGCGCAGACACGACACCTGTCTGGATGCAGTGACGCTGGCCTCAGAGCCCCTCCTGCCCAGCATCCCCTGCATCTTCTGCTGTCTGGCTGCACCTGTCCCACAGTGCTCACTGGCCAGCAGACGCAACATACTTCCCAGGCCCGGAGCCGCTTTTCCATCGTCCCCAAAAGGTAGCTGGAGGCCAAGCCAGACCTGGGGCGGCCTCTCTGTGACCAACCCCTTCTTCTCACGCAGTGCTCACCACAAACATGAAGACGGTGTAGAAGATGAGGGCCATGGCGCTGAAGGATTGGATGGAGGCCATCATGTTCCTCTGCAGACTGAGCGGGAGCACAATGCACAGGGACATCAAGAAGAGCAGGAAAACACGGAAGGTGCCGCTCACCTGGAAGGGAATAGGCAGGGTCCCCAAGGAGCCACAGTGCTCAGTTCCCACCAGCAGGGCTCACCTGTGCACCGCTGGACAGGGAGCCCTGGGGGCAGAAGGCTGGAGGCTGGCACGTGCACTCCAGACGCTGTCCTAGGGCTCTGAGCTCAGGGCACCGACCACTTCCAATCCCACAGGGTCCAGCCCAGCCCATGAATGAGGCCAGCCAGAGCAAAGACGGTCACTGTCCGCCTTCACACAGGGAAGAAAAGGGGTGGGAGCAGGAGCCTGTGCTGCCTGGACCCTCCCTGTACACCCAGCGCTGACAGAGACAGGCTGGGACCCGAAGGAGCCCACCACAGGGTACTTCTCTATTGAATCAAAGCTGACCCTGCTTCAAGAAGGATGGGAGTCTTGCAATTCTGGTCCAGAAAATTAATCACAAAACTCCAAACTGGCATTTGCTACAGCAGAACACATAAAGGTCTAAAGACATCTAACATCTAACTTGGCTGCAGCCAATACATCCAATTTCCAGTTCCTGGCCAGGTGTGGCAGTGCACACCTGTAGTCTCAGCACTCAGGAAGCTGAGGCAGAACTGCTATAAGTTTGAGGCCAACCTGGACTATAGTGAATTCAAGGCCAGCCTGATGAAAGCTCTACCAAGACCCCTCAAACATGTTCCTTGGCTGTCTCTCCCCAGCTCCAAACTTCTACAGATGATATATTCCAAGTCCACAACTCAGCATGAGAGCAGCTCACACAGGGAACCCTCAACAACACACCAGCAGGGACGAGGACAGAAAGGCTCTGCACACAGCTGACAGGGGCAGCCAGCGCTCTCTCCAAGCCCCACAGCACCACAGGTCAGCTGTCCGGCTTGGGGGGGCGGGCAGGATGGCAGGTGCAGGAAAGTCCCAAGTGCTCTGTGGGCAGGACAGACTAAAAGTTCTGCTCAGTCCACAGCGAAGCATGCGAGATGAAAAGTCCAGGAGAAGACGTGTGCAGAACACAGACCAGGGCCATGCTCAGACCCCACTGTCCCCTGGCAGTGTGAAAATCTGGCACATTCCACCCTACCTCTGCTGCTATAGTCTTGCAAACTGAAATCCTTTTCTACCTTCGGGCTCCCACCTGACCCCGTCAGAGCTGGCATCCAAATATGAGGGAGGGCCTATCACAGAGAAGTGATATGCCTCCAATGCCAGGTGCCCCCCCGCCTCCCTCCCCCGTAGCCAGCTCTAGTCCCAGGTGTGCAGAAAGCTACTTGGGGCCCAGGCCACAGGTGTGACCCCCTCAGCGGCAGGGAGCACACGGCTGTCCACAGGGCTGCTAGCAGCGCGCTCACGTCCAGAGTGGAGACCAAGTTCCCAGCACGGCTGCTCAGCTGACGGCCAAGACAGCAAGAGACCCTGGTCATTGCTGCCCCTCACTGGGCAGCACCGGCTGGCTAAGACCGCACGGCTGTCCTTCCCCCTCCTGGTGCCTTTCGCCAATGCGACCCTAGCACAGCCCCTGAACCCTAGAACACGGGACCCGAGTGGACAGCTGGCCACAGAGAAGCTTCTCCCGTCAAGCGCACCAATCCCAACCAACCGATACGGGGCCGCCAGCTGCCATAGCACTCAGACCCAACCCCTCACAACGAAGTCCTCACCTGGAACCCAAAGAGCCGAGCAAAGAAGGTGGACCCCAGGTCACCAATCACAACATAGAAGGCAATGCAGGTTCCCAGCATCAGCCCAATCATGCTGTAAAGAAGGAGACCGTGAGTTTAAAATGACATTTTGGAGGAGTGTGCTGCCTTGTCATGATCAAAGCTGGGCCATGCACAGAATCAAGGCCCAGGCACCCACAGGCCAAGGACTCCGAGGGCCAGGCCCTGCCCCTGGACTGTGCATGGATGGACGCCACAGCCTGGCTGCTGAGAGCTGCAATTTCAAACATCCCTGGTCTCTGGACCCAGGCATGTTTTTTTAGTACACTCTTCCGGGCTTGGAGTGAATACTGAACCGCACTGAACTCTTTGCTGTGCGGTACTGTACTTTTCTCTCCACAGGAGGTTTTGAAAGTTCTTTCAGATGGAACAAAAATGCACCATGACATTATACAAAATCAACTGCTTCCAAAAAAGGTTTTCTTTTGAGTTTATAATTTGCTAATTTAGAAGCCTAAAAGTACAATTTCCCAGCAATTTTTCATTTCGTAAAATTTTACTCTAAAGGAAAAAAAATGTAGCATTTGCAGTTTAATGCCAATTTTATGTAGCAGTGTTGGGGTACAGTTTAAGGAAGAGCATTAAGAGATTAATTACAATGGAGGGAAAGCAATTTTACTATGTTCCCCAGGTTGTCCATTTTTAAGTACTTCTTGATAATATTTAAATAAAGCTTTCAACCTTGACAACAATTATTTTAAGGGTACAATAAACTGGACTTTCAACTATTTTGTAGATAACTCTTCAGAAACATATTAGAAGATATAAACCAACCCACAAGCAAAACTTGTCATTCATTCCTTAGCATGTCCCAACTGTTCCCTGTCTCTGCAGCCGCAGGGGACAAGGAACAGGTGGCCCCCTTACCTGGTCTCCACCAGCATCTTCCCGGCTTTTCCATAGGCGTGGAATGCTAGTGCGAAGGAAAGAGAACAGCCCCTCAGTCCGACAGCGTGAGAAGCACATCAGCAAAGGGTACTGAGTAAAGCTGTGAAGGGAAACCTGACACAAAGCCACAGGTCCGGAGCTCATGCGGCCTAGGGGGATACTTCTAAAATTCTGGTCCTCAGGCATTTTCAGGTTTACCATCCACAATCCAAACTACTTATGACAAGGACAAAACAAGGGAGACACAAGGCAGACTGTTCTTTTCACATGATATTTAAGGGAGGGGGCTGCAAAATGGTGGCTCCCCACATTTGGCGACTGCAATGAGACCTGCCCACTACAGTCCCAGGCAGCCAATCTGGCCCCATCCAGGGCCCTGGCAGTGTGTAGGTGGGGGTCCCCAGAGCTCAGAGGCACCCCACAGGTCCAATCTCACCCCAAACACCCAAGCCTGCACCACAGGGACACTACAGGGCTTTTGTTTCACCCTTTGGGTGTGATTTACAGAAGCATACAGAATCCTGGCAAGTGTGGCAGTTAGGGAGGGAGGGGACAAGAGTTCTGGGGCTCCCCAATGCCCAGGGAGGACATCCAGAGTCTTGCCGATGAGCAGTGTGTATTGCCAAGACACAGGGCATCCTGCCACAAAAGGAGCCTCTGTCTCCCCTTCCTGACCACAGAATTTTTTCCAGCAGATGAGAAATTAAATGCTGCCTTCCCAAAGTCCCTCCGAGGACCCTAACGCTGATCCGGTCACTCAGCATTTCCTCAGTCCAGTCTAATGAGGCCCACAGAAAGTTCTGGTCTCCAAGGAACGGCCCAAAAGGAATGCGAGTGACAGGATGGCTCCAGGGAACCCCAACTCCCTGCCCCTTGTTTCCTCCCTTTGCACAAGGCCAGAGGCCCTCCAAGGGGATGTGAAGGCCGGAAACACAGCCAGGTGGGTATGAACAATCTACACATGCTCCCTGTTATTTACAACTTACTTAGGTAGAGGCACAGAGTTGTCAAGGGCCCGAGGGCCTTGGAGCAGTGAAGGCTTCGGCCTCCAGGGGTCACTCTGCCTTTCGTGGACTTGGATCACTAGTAAAGGAGCCTAGCACCCTTCAAGGGCATCTAACAAAGCAGAAACCTAAGCCGGGTCCCTATACAAAATCCTGAGTGCAGATCAAGATCTAAACTAGAATTTCAAAAACTAAGAACTCCAGAGGCCCTAGCCAGAGAACGTGCTGTCACCAGAGGCCATTCAGACATGGGCACCAGCACACCTAGCACAACACAGTATCCCGGCCCAACACAAGGAATCCTGAGTGCCTACCCTTTTCCATTCCTCCTTACTGTCCAAAAGGAAGTGACAGTCTACAGCATGCTCCAAAGCCTGCAGTGCCCTGCCTGAAAAGCCCAGGAAATGTCCGCAGCCCGGGCACAGGGAAGTGGACAGTGGTCAGAAGTCAGGACAAGTGGGAAGTGTTCTCTCTCCAGGCTCCCAGAACATCCCAGAACAGCTGCACGGAGACCAGGCCCTGTCACCGTGGCCTCCCCTCCCCTCTTCTCTTCCCCTGGGCTACCCAGGGGTGTCCTCACGTGGACACACGTGCCCTTTTCCACACTCCTTCTCTTTCTCCATCCAGGCCTGCCACACAGGAGGCCAGGTCACACCTGTGGCTCTGGCCTCACCAAGCCCCCAGGCTTTCACCTGCCCTGCCCTGCATTCCCTGAGCCTGAGAATTGGGCCAGCTTCTCCCCAGGGCCACATGCAGTGCTGACCCCTACTCCACCTGCTTGTGATGCCCCGCTGCAGCAAGAGAAGGGGAGGTGCTGTTCAGATGAGGGCACAGACAAGGCGAGAAGGGGTGCTGATCAAGATGGGGGACACCTAAGAGGCAGGGAGGGCCACCAGCACACAGCAGCTACATAACTAACAGCTGCCTGACAAAGCGGTAAGAAACCCAGTGTCTGTTCCCTAGTCTGTATGCTAAGTTATGTGCTGATGGCCCCTCACTGCCTCGGGATTTCGTACAGAGACCCGGCAAGAAGTTTGCAAGAACCACAGAACAACCAGAACGGCAAAAGCAAACTAAACAAACATGTGCACAAACCCAACAAAACCCCCACACGTGTGACTCTGCACACCAGCAAAGATCATCTCAGTAACTGGAGCAGTGGGCTGTCAGGGCAGAGAGACCACCGCCTCAGCCTGCCAAACTGCCAAACCCGCGTCAGGACACTATCCTTCATCCACACTGGAACACCACCAACTCTCCCAACAAGTATGCAAGGTGAACAGGCTATCTGGAGACACATCTGCAGTACCTGGGTTTCCTACACTTTCTTCTAGTCTCCAGGTCCAGATGAAGGCCATCTGCCCATCTCACCAGACAGCTGCCCAATGCCCTGACCTGCCCGACAAGGCGTTTGCTCCCTGCATCTACAGACACAAGCCGGGTGCAGCGAGGACATCTCTGTCCAGGCCCTGCAGTGGGGCTACATAGCGCAAGCCTGTGAGGTCCTCACCCGGGGGAGGACAGAGGAAAAGGCTCTCCCAGAAATGTCTGCATCAGGCCCCAGGAAAGGACCACATTGCCACAAGGGCCACCCCTCCACAGCAGCAGCACCAGGAGATCTTCCTCTGCACTGTCCAGCTGCTGTCCGGTGTGGCTCCCTCCCACACAGCGATCTATCCACCTCTGGGGACAGAGGAAGCTGGTGCTAAGCGGACAGATCAAATGCACAATCTGAGGCCACTGGTATTCAGCAATCTTTTCTTTCCAGCAGTCACCCCACTCAGTGAAAGTTGGAGCCCCCACAGCCAGTGCACAGGGATGCCCATCAGGCAACTTTCCTTCAGGCTTTCATGTCTAGCCAAACTGGTCTGACTTCTCAAGGACTTTCAAAGAATAATCAGGCAGCCTATAAGAATCAGAAACCACAGCCTCTCCAGCAGAGGGTCCCCAAGCTTCTTTCAGAATACAGCGCATACCTGAATTGTAGCCTCTGCTACAAAGCCTAGCCAGAGACCTCAGCAGGGAAGGAGCCAGCCTGGCCATGGCTCTGGAAAGCAGGAAAGGGGGTCACCCAAGAACCTCGCCCTGGGTTCCAGTAGGCACACTTCATCCCTAGTGGAATTAGATCACCTACCTCAGTGTAGGTCAAGTTAACTGATAAACCTCACTTCCTCAAGTGCCAACAGTAAGATTGACAACACCACTGCCCTCAACAGAAGAAAAGGAAGGCACTCCTTGGTTCTGAAGCCAGGAATAAATGCCAATGTCCTGGTCCCAGCACAAAGCAGACTAGCAGGAAACAAGAGGCTGAACTGCAGAAGCCCTCGTGTGCATCTCCAGAGATGTCTACTTTGGCTCCGGAACTCTGTGCCCCACTTCCTCTCACACCTGCTTCCTCCCTCCTCCATGAGAGGGCCAGGCCAGCCCTCTGCAGGGTGGCCCAGCACCCTGGCCACACACTGGCTAGAGAATCGGGAGCTTCACTGCAGGTCAGGAATGTTCACCAAACACCCTCAGGCTGAGCGCTGAGAAGAGGAAAGTGGCATTTCAACATCCACACCAAATGTTCCTGGTATGGACACTTGGAGCCTGGGCCGAGCCAGGAAGAGAAAATTAGGCTTCACACACCAGCCTGACAGGGGCAGACAGGAAAGTGCAGGACAGTGTCCTTGAGCCAAACTACCTAGAAAAGATTCCAAACTGCTATCACCAGCTCCTTCTGGACTAAAACAAACAGAGGGCTGGGGATTTAGCTCAGTGGTGCTGCCACCTGCCTCAAAAGTGCAAGGTCCCAAGTTCAATCCCCGGTACCAAAAAAAAAAAAAAAGAAACAGAACCACAACCCAACACCACCAGGAGGGAGACAAAGCCTTTGGGGAGATGAGTTACTTAATCCAGCATGAGCCTGACCAGAGTACATTTCCTCCTGGGAATTCCAGGTGGGGCATTTAGCAGGATTCCTCTCACCAACTCCAAGGAAGGCTCCTCACTACCTGGAGACTTACAGGGTCAACAAGCCACTAAGAGGCAGTGAGTGCCGCTGTCTGTGCTAGACCTGGAGGGGAAGACTATGTGTCCCTCTGCTCAAGAGTTGGGGGGAGGGCTGGGGATGTAGCTCAGTGGCACTGTGCCTGCCTGGCAAACATGAGGTCCTGAGTTCAATCCCCAGTACCGCAAAAAAAAAGAGTTGGGGGTATGTCTCATACCCTTCTGCATCACTTCAATTCTGAAGCAGTTTTTTTAAATGGCATTAAATTTTAAAATAAGAAAAGATGGGCCCAGGATTTAGCTCAGTGGTTCCGGTGCCTGCCTTGCAAGTGAAAGGTCCCGAGTTCAATCCCTGGTACCAAAAAACAAACAAAAAAACCCCAACAATAAAATAAGAAAAGACACTCCCTCCAAGAACCTCACCAAGAATAAAGTAGAAGAAAAATAACTAGACAAGAGGACATGGCTGGGGATTTAGCTCAGTGGTTCTGCCGCCTGCCTCGAAAACACAAGGACCTGAGTTCGATCCCCGGTACCAAAAGAAAAAAAAGGAATAGGTCCCCTGTCCCTGAGAACTAGCGCGCCCCTCTTCTTTTTTTCTTTTTCAGGTACCGGGTATAGAACTCAGGACCTTGCACTTGCCAGGCAGGCGAGGCACCTCTGAGCTACATCCCCAGCCCTCATCTCTCTTCTTGAGCAGGTATCTGATACAGGCCGGCACCCAACCACCGAGGGAGCCAGTTCTCACCCAGGCTGGCGTAGGTCCTCCGTTTGCTCAGGCTGGCAGACTTTACCAGGAACATGCACGACTGGTGCGTCATCCAGGAGCAGAAGACCAACAGCAGGGCCCCCAGGACAATGCCACACTGCAGGGAAGACAGGGAAAGCACTGTTCACAAAACTGGACACATCAACAGCACCGGGCTCACATGAGCCTCCTCCGTTCATGCCTGCATGCACTTGGGACCCCACTCCACTTCCCTCTCCTGTGGGCTTCCTTTGAGCACTGAGCAGCAATGCAGGAACCCTGAGTGTGGATCCCAAAGAGTACCAGGGACACCCCGCGCCCTTCCAAGTCTGGCTGGACGGCAGAGTGTTGCCAAAGCTAGTTCCCCGCGCTCTGCATACCCCACGTACACTGCCTTGTAGCCATCCCGGTCACCTGTATGTGGAAAACACTTTCCGGAAGGAAGAGATCAGCACTGACACGTGCACCCTTCTTATAAGTTAAACAGACGCTTACCATGTGACTGCAATTGCACTCCTAGGTATTTCCCCCAGAGAAATGAAACGTGGCCATGCACAAACCTGTACTTTACAGCATGTTTAACCCTAATCCAACAGCTGAAGAGCAACTGAATGGCTTTCTGTGGGCGCCTGGACACAGTGGGGTCCATCTGTGCAAAGGAGCATCACTCAGAGGTAGGCAGGGAACCACCCACTCCACGTGGACATGGGTGCTTCTCAGATCCACCATGCTGAGGGAAAGTAGCTAGACTCAGAGGCAACAGACTGTGAAGCCATTTACAGGGCATTCCAGAAAGGCAAACAATCAGGCTGGGAAGCAGGTCACAGGGTGGGAACGCAGTTGACAGCAGAGAGACAGAGGTAACTTTTTTTGACCATGGTAGCCACATGACTGTACACATATATCAAAATCCAGGGAACCGTACCCTAAAACCAGTGCACTTCACTGCATGTGAATTATTTCTCAATAACTCTGACCTTTAAAACTTCAGCACCACTATACTAGTGTAAAAATATTAACAAGGAGGCTGAAGGGACAGGGAGGAGGTCTACTGGAACTCCCTGTGCTTTCTACTCCATTGATCATAAATCTAAAACTGCTAAAAATAAACAAATTCTACCAATTTTAAAAAATACACACAAACAAGCCATGAGCAGTGGTACATATCTGTAATCCCAGATACTCCAGAGGCTGAGTCAAAAGAAGTGCAAGTTCAAGGCTGGCCTAGGCAACTTGGCAAGACGCTGTATCAAAATAAAATGTTAAAAGAGATGGGGATAAGGGCCAGGGATTTAGCTCAGTGGTTCCGCTGCCTGCCTTGCAAGCACAAGGTCCTGAGTTTGATACCCGGTACCAAAAAAAAGAAAGAGATGGGGATAGAGCTCGGTGGTTGAGCACACAGGATTCGATCCCCAGTATCACACACACAAACACACCCATGAGTGCACATGCACACCATACCACCAAACTTGCATCACAACGGCTCCGCATTCTCTGCAGTATTTGATAACATATGGAAAATCTGGGCCTCAAGATACTCACTGGCAGGAGCACACACTGGTACATCTGCCTGGAAACTCTGGGCAGCATATACTAAAGCTGAACACACGTATACCCCACGACTCTGCCATTCTACCCAGCAGACACACGGTCACATTCACCTATATTCACAATAGTCCTCTGTACATCATAAGAGCTCCAAATAGGAAACACCAGGTGCCTCACAAAGGTATAAAAAACTCTGGTAGATCCATTCAATGGGATACTGGCCACTCAAGTACACACACATTACAATTCTACCTCAATTTAAAAACAGGCCAGTGGTGCCGCTGCCTGCCTCAAAAGCACAAGGTCCTGAGTTCAATCCCTGAGACCAAAAAAAACAAAACAGGGGACATTAGCTGGGCATGGTGGCACACACCTGTAATCCCAGCATTTGGGAGGCTGAGGCAACAGGATCGCCATGAGTTTGATACCAGCCTGGGCTACGTAGTGAGTTCAAGGGCAACCTGAACTACATAGTGAGACCCTGTCTCAAACAAAACAAAGGCAGTCGGGTATGGTGCCACATGCCTGTAAACCTAGCACCTGGGAAGGTGAGGCAGGAGGATTGCCCAGAATTCCAGACTAGCCTGAATTACCAAGGGAGACCCTGTCTCAAAAAAGATAAAGAAAAAACACAGCCAATACTAACCTCTAGCACCAAAGGTAGTTGGTGGGCACGAGTGATTGGCAGGGGGCTGGAAATGTGGTGTTCTTCAATGTGGAGTGAGTCACATGTGCTTGTTCACTGTATGAAAATTCATCAAGAATTGGACTGGGGATTTAGCTCAGTGGTTCCAGCACCTGCCTTGAAAGCGCAAGGTCCTGAGTTCGATCCCCGGTTCCAAAAAACCCTCTGCTGGGCGTGTGATGCACAACTGTAATCCCAGCACTCAGGAGGCTGAAGCAGGAGGATATCTGCAGGTTCAAAGCCAGCCTGGGCTCAATAGTTAGTTTACGACCAGTCTGGGGTGCATAGCGAGATCCTGTCTCAAGAAACAAAAACAAAAACAAAAAAAGAAAAAAATGAAAAGAAAGGAGCACACCTAAAGTGTGTACAGTTTTCTATACATTAAACTACGATGTTCTAATATTTTCAATAGTGCCAGAATTATTGAAACAAACAACAATTTTAGAACCCAACACTAAACCAAAAAAAAATTTCAATGACATGACTGCCAAACACTATACACACATCCCCAAATAGCCTGCTGGCCTCAGGCTGTGCTCTGGTCTGAGAGGCCTCCCCTAGAGGAGATGCTGAGTCCAGAGACAGCAGCAGCTGGCAGGCCCTCAGGACAGTGACTGTTTCTGCACATGGGCTGCCCGCTGAGCCTCAAGCTCCTCCCAGGCAAGTCTCTGCCTGCCTCACCCTCACATGCTCTGGCGGGACACCAGGTGTTCCCAATATGGAGACAGCTGAACCACCTGGACCCTACACAGGGGTCAAAACCAGAGCTCAAACCACTTTGAAGACTGGCATCAAGGATGACAGCATCAGACTGCAGATGAGGAACCAGCCACCATTCCACACCCCAGGATGCAATTCTGCTACCAGGCAGGCTGCTGTGACACCAGAACACACAGGTGCTCCAGACACACCCAGGAGTGGCTGGCACAGCACACGATTCAGAAACAGATGTTATCCCGGAGGCTGCAGCGACCTGTAACTCTGTCCTCCTACCTACACTGTAACCATGTCAGACAGAACCCACACCATCAACCCTCCGTGCATTTTCACCCAGGCCAGGATGCGGGGCCCTGTGGGGATGGAAAATTCTAAGATCAAAAATAATCTTTTATATTTTTATCCAAAAGATGCAAAATATGAAAAACACAAAATGTTAACTTAAAGTTAAACTACCAATAATACCATTTTCAGTTCCAAAATGTCCATCTAGCTGGGCATGGTGATGCATGCCTGTAATCCCAGCACTTTGGGAGCCTAAGGTGGGAAAATCGAAAGTTTGAGTCCAGCCTGGGAAATTTAACAAGACTATCTTAAAATGGGGCAGGGGACAGGACAAAAGCCCTGGGTTCAATCCTCAGTACTGCAAAAAAAAAAATTTTAATTCCATCTTATTTCATTTTCTAACTCTAGCATCAACAGATACAACTGCCAGGACCTCTCCAGAGCCAGCTCCTCCCTGCCACGAAGCAGGGGACAGCAGCACACGTGGCAAACATGATTCCCCTCAGGGGGGAGCCCCACGTTCATCTGTTAAAACAGTCTTAAGGCAAGAAGTTACCCAATTTGATGTTTCCATCAGCCTCCGAATGCCTGCTCATTTGTGGATTATTTAAATATAAGCTGTACAGAAACCACCGTTTGCTTTCACGTGGCATTCAATGGTGAGATGAAACCAAACGTTTTTACATAGTAAGATCGTTCCAGTGGCGGTGAAATTTGCACAAAACAGACCAAATACGTACAATATGTTTGTGGAATACAGCTCTCAAGTCACGGAGCTGGTGATTTTTTAAATTACCTTGTAACCAACTGCTTTCATGCAGTTGGGCAGAGTTTTAAAATAACAGAATGGAACTCTACTGAATCCTCTCGATTCTCCCTTGTGCTCACACAGCCCTCCGGCACGGTTTTGCGAGCGGGACTCGCCGGCACCGAGTCCCCGCGGCCCCGCCTCCCGACCCCAGGGCCCCGGCGAGGCGGCCCGGACGCACCTGTTTGAAGCAGAAGGGCATGGTGAGCACGCTGACCCCCACTATGCTGTTCACTACGTTCGTGACCAGCCCCCAGTTGGAGGCGGCGGGCGCAGTCATCCTGAGGGCCGGCGCCGGCGGCTGCCAGCAGGAGACCCGGGAGCAGGCGGCGGGACAGTTCAGCCTCCAGACCCCGCCAGGCCAGGCAACCGCCTCATGACCATCGTCCCTCTCTTGTTCTGGTATCCGCCTCCGAGCTTCCGAGCCCAGACCACGGGCGGGAAGCGACGCTAGTGACACCTCAGCGGCGTTTCTCCACTGCCGACTCACATACTTCCGCCTTCCGCGGGCTCCCCAGCCGGAAGTGACGGCATCGAGGGCGGGGCGAGGCGGGACAGGAACCTAGGAAAAGCTTCCCCAAACGCTATCAGGGCGGGGCCTGCCATGCTGGGGCGAGACTCGGAGGGAAGCGAGCCAATGAGATGCAAGAATGTAAGGCCCTGGTTGGGCGGGGCCAGGACGGAACTGACTGGGTGGGATCAGGGCTGGGCTCGTTGCGATGTGAGCCAATGACAGGTAGGCCTGCGAGGGCCTGGCAGGGGCGCGGTCGGACTCTGGGCGGAGCCTGGGGGCAGGGAGGGGCGGGGCTAAACCCCACCCCCACCCCACCCCACCCCCGGCTTCTTTGGTCGCGCACCTGCCGGAAGGCGGAGCCGGGCTTCCGCGCTGGAGAAGCAGGGTGTTCACCCGTGGGGCCTCAGTCCGGAAGGGCGGAGGAGAAAGGAGGGCGCTGCGCCTTCCGGAGAGGAGAGGGGTTGGAGAGCTCTGGGTCGGCATTTAGCTGCTGGAACGGTTTCCAGACAGGTTCCTGGTGCCCGGGGCGCAGGAGGCGGTGTGCTTTTCCTGGGCTGAAAACAATCTGCGCAGAGAAATTAGCACCTCCGCTTTACAAAGGAGACTCGAGGCACCGAAGGCTTCAGCGACTCAGCTAAGGTCACACAGATCGTAAGAGAGGGCGTGGGGCTCGGCCACACAGCCGGTGCTCGGCCAGACGCCGCCCCCAGAGCGGGGGAGAGGAGAGGTAACGCCCTGGAATGCAGGAGCAAAGGAAATGTGAGAAGGCGAGAGGGAGAGACTGATGTGGCCGGAGAAATCTGCGAAGGCGTCAAGAAGGGGTGGCTTGGGCCGGGGATGTAGCTCAGTGGCGCCGCGCCTGCCTCGCAAGCGCAAGTTCCTGAGTTCGATCCCCAGTACAAAAAAAAAGGCGGGGTGACGGGGTGGCTTCTAGGGTAAGGCTTGAAGGACAAATGAATGCAAAGAAACGGGAGTGGGGTTGGAGGGTGGCAGAGAAACTCCTCCGGAGGAAGCAAGTAATTCCAAGTGGGCTGGAATTGTGCATAGGAAGAATTACAAGCGCCTGGGAGAGGCCGCCAGGGAAACAAGGCCACGTCTGCAAGCAGAGCAGCGGCTCAGGTCTTAGGAGGCGGGTTCTTCAGGCACCAGGCAGTCTCTGTCCTGCTCTCAGACAGGAGAGGAAGAAGAAGAAATGCCAGGGTGAAGAGTGATTTAAGGGCGGAGTGTGATGGCCCGTGCCTGTAATCACAGCTACTCCGGAGGCTGAGGCAGGAGGATCGCAAGTTCAAAGCCAGCCTGGACAATTTAGGGAGACCTTGTCTCAAAATAAGTGGGACTGGAGATGTAGCTCAGTGGCAGTGCACCCCCTGGGTTCAATCCCCAGTATTGGGGGGAAAATAATAATTGAATACAAAGCGAAAATAATAAATGCCTGATTTGTGTTCTTTTTTTTTTTTTCTCTTTTGGAACCGGGGATCGAACTCTGGACCTTGAGCTTTCAAGGCATTCTTTTTTTTTTTTTTTTGGTACTGGGGATCGAATTCGGGTCCTTGCGCTTGCGCAGCAGGCGGTAAAACCACTGAGCTAGGCCGGGGATTTAGCTCGGTTCTGGCGCCTGCCTCGTAAGCAGAAGGACCGGAGTTCGATCCCCAGTACCAAAAGAAAACAAAACAAAAAAAAGAGTTCTGAAGGGTTGAAGGGAGGGCAGGGGAAGGGGGAAAAAATAAGAAGCAAGAGGGTATGTAAAGGTGCATATCTCCAATGATGCATGTCATTATATTGTACACCTAAAATGTACCAATAAAAGGATATACAAAAAAAAAAAAAAAGCACTGAGCTAAATCCCCAGCCCAGCATTCATTTATTTTTAATGTGAATGGAATCATATATATAGTCTATAACCTGCTCTTGATTAATTGTGTAAGTTTTAATGAAATACATGCAAGATAGGATGTGAAATTTAAATGTATATTTTAATGAATAGCAATAAATACCCATGGGACCAACATCAGCTTTAAAAACAGGATGTTAGGGCCAGGGACTTGGCTCAGCGGCACCGTGCCTGCCTCTCAAGTGCAAGTTCAATCCCTGGTACCAAAAAAAAAAAATGTTTTTTAAAGCAGGATGTTAGCAGAAGCTGGGGTTCTCCCTTTCTGTTCCCTCCCAGTTTCATCTTCCTCCCCTCTTCCCTGCCATCCTCAAATGGTCTCTGTCCAGACTTTGTCATTACTTTTCTGTAGCAGTTTACTGCATCAGATATAGCTCTAAACAATTACAGAAAGATTACTATTTGTCTCTTATTATTCATGTAGTCCATCTTCTAATTTAATAGGCATGCACATGTGGGTGCCTAGAATAAAGAACACAATCCAGGCCCAGGGATTTAGCTCCGTGGTTCTGCTGCCTGCCTCAAAAGCGCAAGGTCCCAAGTTTGATCCCCAGTACCAAAAAAAGAACACAATTGTTAGAAGGCAGGATCTGTCCTTTCCTTCCTCATGGAGTCTGGAACACAGACGTGGTGGTATGGAGCCATCTTGTCATGAGGCCAAAGGCAGGGGTGGAGCAACAAGCTAGACAGAGCCCAGATCCCTGGGCAACATCACAGAGTGGAGCCACCCCGCTGATCCCTGACTACCTTCTCCCAACTGCTCCGTGACATAGAGACAGAATGTCTGGTTTGGGCTGCTGTTGTTTTGGATTCTGTACCATGAAGTAGCTATGGTCTAATTCAGTAGCGTATTGGGATAGAGCATTTCTGCACTTTTTACTTTTATAATAAAGGAATTATATTTCAGATATTCTTCTGCAACTCTCTCATTCAACATCATTTACAAGATTCACCATTACTTGTATATCGCATGTGTGTGCTGTGAGTCATTCCTTCTCACTGCTCTATGGAATCCCATTGTTAAAGTAGCCCAGAATCCATCTCCATTCTCCTACAAAGGGCACCTGAGTTGTTTCCAATTATCTGACATTTTAAACAGCAGCACGGTGAGCATTACTGGACTTGTCTCCTTGATGTCTGTATGTTAGAATTTCTCTAGCACGAATAACTAGACGTGGAATTGTAGATCCAAGAGCATCCATACCTATGACTGTAGTCAAAGTGTTCTTCAAAGTGGCTATAAACGTTCTGGTTTACATCACAGGTTGGCAAGCTTTTTCTAAGGGTCAGATGGTACATATTTTCAGCTTGTCAGGCCATGCAGTCTGTGTCACAACTACTCAGTTCTGCCATTGTAGAAGCGGCCTTGGATAAGTGGGCCTGCCTGCGATCAAGAAAACTTTTATTTACAAAACAGGAGCTGTCCCAGTTTGGCCTGAAGTCCTGTGTGTCTGTGTCGTCTCCTCTCATCCCCAACAGTTTGATAGCATCAGTTTGGCCAGTGTAGTGAACAGAATGGAGTCCCCAGGACAGCTTTCATTTCTTTTCCCTTAGTTAGTCTTTTGTTTTGCTTTGTTTTTTGGGTTTTGGGGGGAGGTTTTTTGAGATAGGGTCTCACCTTGTAGCTTAGGCTGGCCTTGAATTCACTGTGTACCCCAGGCAGGTGTTTAACTCATGGTGATCCTCCTCCCTCAGCTTCCCAAGTGCTGGGATTACATACATGCGCCACTGCACTTGGCTTATTCGTATTTTTATTGTTCATGTCTCTTCTGTGAAATGTGTGTTTCTTTTTTGCCCATCTTTCTGTTTAGCTGTTTGTTCTTAGGACTTTTGAGGAGTCTGGGTTTTGGAAGGAGAATGGGGTACTAGGGATTAGAACCCAGAGCCCCGTCCATGCTAGGCAAGCCCTCTACCAGTGATACACATCCTCACACTTCCTTTTGAGACAAGTTCTCTCTAAAGTTGCCCAGGATGGCTTTAAACTTCCAAACGTCCTGCCTCCGCCTCCTGAGTAGCTGGAATCACAGGTATTCACCACCCAGTGCGCCTGGCTTCTTGAGTTCTTTCTTTCTATGTGCTTTTTCTGTGGGATTGACAACTAACCCTGTGACCTTCAATTTATGTCTATGTCAGATGTCTTCCTGTTGCATTTGTAGTTCATCACTGTTGTAACAAAATTACCACAAATTTGGCAGTTAACACAAATTATTATCTCTCAGTTTTCGAGGCTCGAAGTCCCCTTTAGATCCCACTGGGCTGAAATCTCCCTCCTGGAAGCTCCAGGGAAATTGGTTTCCTGCTCAGCTGGTTGTTGGCAGAATTCTGCGCCCTAGAGTTGCAGGACCAAGGTCCTCTTTTCTTGCTGATTGTAAACTGAAGGCCATTTCCAGGCTGGCTGCCCCTTCCTCTATCTCTCAATCCAACGAAGTTCTTCCAGGTCACATCTCTGAGCCAGCTGGGGAAAGTTTCCCCATTTTAAAGATTCCTGCAATTAGCCTGGCCCATCTGGATGATCCGGGATAATCTCCACATCTCAAGGTCTGTTCCCTTGTCAAGTAATTTTTTTTTTTTTTTTTTTTTGGTACCAGGGATTGAACTCGGGACCTTGCGCTTGCAAGGCAGGCAGCAGAACCACTGAGCTAAGTCCCTGGCCCCCTCAAGGTCTGTTACCTTAATCACGGGCACAGTCCTGCCACGTGAGGTCTGGGGCCAGGGCTCCAATGACCCCCTCCCGATAAGATGCCATTGTGTGTCCTTGTCGCAGTGGTGGCAGTGAGTCTCTCTGAATCCCATCAGGTGTGGCATCACCGTGGTTGTCGCTGATGAGGTTTGCTCTGATCACTTGAGCTGTCTGCCAAAAAGGCCTCCCTTTGTCCTGGGGAGTTCGTGAGCGGTTTGTGGAGAGATACTTTGAAACTAAATATCTGGTCCTTGTCAAACTTTCCATTTTTTAATTTACATTAGGAGGGACTCCTGGCTCCTATTTTATGCAGTGAGTTACAATCCATTGCGGACACTTTTTTTTTTTTTTTTTTTTGCAGTGCTGGGGATCAAATCCAGGGCCTCACACAGCTAACACTATCTTGATTCTCGAGTTACCCCAGATTTGGACCTTGGAGCCC